ACAATCCCAAGGTTGGTACTGCGCATTGTCTCTGATAATGCACGTCGAACTGTTTCGCGTGTTATTAGCGTTTTGCAGCCGTCATCATGCGTATTCGTGATCCCAAGACGACAGCATTGATCTTCGCATCGGGCAAGATGGTCGTAACGGGTGCCAAGTCGGAGGATGATTCGAGGCTAGCTTCGCGCAAGTATGCTCGTATAGTGCAGAAGCTGGGGTTCGAGGCCAAGTTCTCGGAGTTCAAGATCCAGAACATCGTCGGCAGTTGTGATGTGAAATTCCCCATTCGTTTGGAGGGATTGGCATACAGCCACGGACAGTTCAGCAGCTACGAGCCTGAAGTATGTCCCGTCAGCTTTTCCTCTGACCCATTCCTTATTCTTTGACAGCTATTTCCTGGTCTTATCTACCGCATGATTAAGCCCAAAGTCGTGCTTCTGATCTTCGTCTCTGGAAAGATTGTGTTGACTGGTGCCAAGGTATGTGTCTTCCAATTATTGCTACGTCACACTTGGCTGGTCCTTTTGTGTTCGTTCTCGTGGGCATGCTGTTGAACGGCGTGTGGCGTCATTGATTCCCGGATGCTGACACTGCGTTGCGCACCAGGTTCGGGAGGAGATCTACACTGCCTTCAACACGATCTACACTGTGTTGTGCGAATTCCGCAAGCCGTGATCGGCGAGCGTAAAATTGGGCGACGGTGGGCTGGCGGAAACGTAGTGCACGGACGCCACAAACCTGCTGCCAGTATGCCCATGCCTGTTTTTTTATTCCTCTTCGGGGTCCACATGCATTCACACATCACCATCATCATACACCCTACATTGCAACTCAATACGTACAACCACATACAGACGCATATAGTCATTAGTGTAAATAGCCCATTCAACGTCTCTTGAGAGACATGAATTCACAATCACGCGTGAAATCTCTCAGCTCCAATCAGCGCTAGAAGGTATAATATATAGGGCCAGTGTAAGATTGAAGTCGAGACTGTACGCTAATTCCACGGAAAGGCCACTACTATCCGCCAATATTACTCGATCTAAACACCAGCAACAATCCTGGAAGCGGCCATGAGTAAAGAAATGAGGACGAGAGCAGTGAACGAACTCCTCGGCCTTGTTAAGGGCGGCGACTAGCGTCACCAACTCCTTACGACGGGCCACAACATGCTCGCTCTCCTTGAGTAATTCGTCGAGCACCTCCGGCTTGTACAGCTCCTGCAGCAGCTCGCGCTGGAGGTTCTTGGTCGCGTGAGATACCAGCGTAAGCGAGATAGCTTTCGGGACCATGTCGATCATTTCCCTCTTCACGATGTTGAAGTACGAGTTGATGAGCAATTCTAAAAATGGGTCAGAGAAGAGTGAGTGCTAGCTGAACTGTCACGCACTGATGACCTCGGTCTCCATCGTCTCGCGCTCGCTGAGGGCAGCCTGAGGCTTGATGACAGCAGGCGGCATGTCCATCGTCGATGCACCCTTCTTGGCTGGCGCCTTTCCCTTGGGAGAGAAGAACGAGCCGAAGAAGCCAGGATCCTCTTTCTTGGCGTCAACATCCAAGTCCCGGTTGTTATTGATTTGACCAGGAGCCAGCTTGCCGCTTTTGGGGTCAGCTGAGGGAGGCGGGGGTTTGCTGGCGTTCAATCGATCAGTGACAATTTGGAGAGCCTGATGGCCGTTGATAAAGTCGGGGTGAGTGGTATTCAAATAGCATGCTTGCATCCTTAAAAACTGGACTCAGAGACCTGGTCAAGATAGAGAGATAGCACTCACGAAACCATGTCTGTGACCAGCTTCGTTGTCGGGCCCATGGCGGCTTTGAAAAAGCTGACAACCACAGAATTGAACCTCTCCCTGAGCGCAGGGTAACGACGGAATGCTTGCTACATTGCATGTGAGACACTAGCAACACAGAGGCGACGATGAACGCACAATTTTGGCCAAAAGCTGCCCCAATATACGAATGAGCTCATCGTATACTAGAGTACAACACTTTTGACTGGGCTCCTCCAGACGCATAATCTGCTGCTTGATAATCGTGTCGAAAGCGGCTGTGCCTACGAAGAGGGCTGGGGTCATACCCTGAAACGCAGTGAGGGTCGAGGTGGTAAGTAGTGACTGGGCATACCGAAGTGTTATACAGGCGCAGTCGAATATCACCGTCCTTGACCTCGTCGAAGGGATCGATATTCCTGATCCCATTGTTATACAGCTCATGGAAGACGAAGCTGATTCGTGCTCCACCGGACAACTCGTTCAAAGACATGTCGTTTGAGTTGCCATCGATGACGGTCTGGAAGGCAGATGCAAACTCGGTGATCACGGCCAATACAACGCTGGCGTTGTTATCACCCAGAGGCCCACCAAGCGAATGTAGCTCAGCGTTGGACTTCTGTAGCTGCTGAGTGATACGGGCTTTGATATCCGGCAGTGTGTTGCGGACATGCACTTTGAGGATCTAGACACTACATCAGGATTCGAGTGCCGAAAAGAAAAGAGTCCTGCCTGGTTCAGTTTGTGCGCGAGAAACGGGGTTCCGCAGTATTGCGCCTTTGATCGGTAGGACGGATGGTTCTCGAAGAATTCTCTCTCCTTGTCCAAAGCGCTTGCGATAGGACGGTTTGTTTCAATGTCCCGTTGACCTCGGTTAACTACAGGGACATAGCCAAGTCGCAGATTGATGACACGACCAGCTAGAATTTCGACGACATCGGTACCAGCATCCCTTTCATATTCAATTAGTGTCGATCAACCGACAATACACCAGAAACTTACATGAGATCCACCTTCGTGAGGACACCGATTGTGCGAGTACCATCGGGATCAACCTCTCGAGCCATCTTTAAACCCTCAGAGTTCGCCAAATCCTGATTAGCAGGAGTAACAGCCAGGATGATACATGACGGCTTCGAGATGTATTTGAAGAGCATGTCACGAATCTGTTTTTCGATATCTCGAGGCTGGTCTCCGACGGGAACCTTGGTTAAACCAGGCAGATCGACCAGAGTGAGGGTGAGGACGTTTGGGGAGAATATGCGCAGGTTGATGGGGACGGGTGAAATGCCAGCGTTGCGCCCAGTCTTCGCTTCCGTGTCGCGTACAATTTCATCCCGGATTTTCGTGAAGTCGTAGAATTTCTCGCCTGGAAGATGGAGGAACTCGCCCCATTCATCTGCGTTCGCCATCTTGTCTCCACTCTTCTCCACGCCATTGGCTTTAAGAAGTATGAGTCCCCCATGACGGCATAGGAAAGAAGAGACTTACGAGCCGAGGGAGTGGCTGGCCTGTTAATCAATTGAAGCACCTGGCGAACGCGACATATATTTCAGAGTCATCAATTGCACTGAGAGGAGGAACACACGAGTGGTCGCCGCGTCACAATGCCTCCACCACGAGGCAGGAAATCTCTACCAACGATGTTCTATTGTAGTTCAGATCGCGCACAAGAGGGGTAGACGAGTGAAATGACCTCTAGGACACTACTCTTCCCACTACTCTGACTGCCGAGCACGCATATCTGAGGAAGGTCTATCTGCGTGGACCCAACAGTGGTGAAGACGTCTTGGAGTTTGTTGATAGTCGCAACTATCTCGACACCGAGTCCAGTGGCTCCAGTCGCCATGTAGATCTAAAGTGATTGATGGAGGAGGATGTAAAGGTGGTTATGAGGACTGCGCGAAGCTGCGTATCGAATGGGATCACCGTCTGAAATCAATCACCACAAACAAGCTCCTCATTCCTCCAAACCCTTTCTTGCTTCACGCGTCCGCCTTTGGGTCGAGATTCAGGGATGGCTCGCTCCGTATCACGTTCTTAGTGCAATTTCCCCTTGTATCATACACTCTATCTCTGTTTCTTTCTGCACGTCCACTCGACACTTCGCCTCTTTCCGGCCTGATCTAGGCTGCTACTCAGCTGCTACATCAACTTGAAAACGAATATCTATCATTGGTACTTGGACTCTAGAGCGTCTGGGACTCCATCACCGTGCTTTTATGCCCTCTCTATTCTAGTCTCTCCCTTTTTCATCCTTCCCTTTTGCAGGGAACGCCCCGCGAGCATGACGCGCGTTCCGTGTCATTTATTGTTGTTCCTACATCGCCAGTATTTCCGACGCTTTTCTTTTTTGTCTTGCCATACTCTGCAGCGCTGTTCTCGATTATCATTATCCCGACTATACGCGTTGTAAGTAGCCGTCGTCTCCAACCATGTACTAGCGTGTAACGTCTGCTACTCATGCGTATGTATGATGTGATTTGGGATGTCCCTTCACCTATGACATTAAACCGTATTGACCCACCACCGTCGCGCAACACGTGACACATTTGGTCAGGTGTTTGATGATTGTTTGTTTGATTCTGCATTTGTATTCCGCAGCAAGTATCTAAGTACTAAGACGCGGTGCCCGAAGGCAGCGGGGAGGTGAACGCAAGTATGAGGATGTTTACTGTTGGTGTTGGTCTCCTTGGGTGAGAGCTTTTGGGTTTGCGAGGCCGAGAGTGGCGTTGTCGGTGCGGGGGTTTCCAGCGCGTCGTAATGATGCATGTGCATATAGGATGGAGGAGGGATGAGGGGGTGGGCTTGGCCATAGCCGGTCGGGGCCACGTCGTTAAGAACTATCCGTTCTCGTCTTCTTCGTCTTCCGAGATTTCTGGGTCCGGTTCGTTGATGAGTGTGGGGAGGTCGCAGTCCTTCCATGGGCGTCCGCTTCGGGTGAAGGCTCCTGAATCTTTCAGGAACTGGGCCAAAGCGACGATGCCCTCTTTCGTGCCAAGGATTATTTCTTCGTAAAAGTTAGCTGATGTCGCGCGGATGACGGGTCGGTGTTCGTTGTACAGTGGGCACCATCGTAGGACATGATCTCGTGTTTGGATTGGCTCTCCGCATGGGCAGTCAACGTCCTCGGGAATATTGAAGCGTTGGTAGAACTCGCCTAGGTACCCATGTCCCGTCCTGCACTGTAAAGGTGTTTGATGACTCTCGCCTTCAATTTTCGTCATCAAGTCCCACGTAAATGTACACCAGCCACTGGCCATGCACTTGATTTTGGACTGAAGGCCAATGTACAATAGATGTAGCCAATTAATGTCAGAATTTGATTACTCACATGTCGGGTAGACCTTGATCACAAAAAGTGCTCGTCTGTTATATACACTCTACCCATCACATAGGTATTCTTCAGTATCCAGTACTCACATGATGCATTGTTCGGACTACTAAGATCCCGGGTATTCGTCGCTCACTCCCACCCACAGGCTAGTTATTCCAAGTCGGAAAGCTCAGATCCCTGAGCTTTGTCCCGTTTACTATCACACACACATTTTCAAGCCAGTGTCCCAGAATATCAACGCTGGTGTCTCCTTTGAAGCAACACATGCAATTCATAGACAGTGGCTGGTGTACATTTACGTGGGACTTGACAACGAAAATTGAAGGCGAGAGTCATCAAACACCTGACCAAATGTGTCACGTGTTGCGCGACAGTGGTGGGTCAATACGGTTTAATACCTATGACTGTAGACTTTGACTCATCATACCTATTGCTCAATATCATTGGCAAACAACTTTTGTGACTCGTCGACTTGAACCACCGCCAACCTTATAATCGAAATGAGCTCCCCTCCAAATGCGGTTGCAGTGTACTGTGGATCTTCTCCCGGCACAGAGAAGGCGTTCAGTTCGGCGGCGATCTGTCCGTCGGTGTTTCCATCAATCACGCATTCCCTCATACCGACTGACATGCGGCACGAATAGCTCTAGGACGTGCGATTGCGGAGTCTGGCCGCGCTCTAGTCTATGGAGGTGGATCTAAAGGGATTATGGGTATCGTTTCTGGCGCCGTGTTGGATCGCGGCGGTAAAGTCACTGGAATTGTACCATACGCGATGGTTCATGCTGGCGGAGAACAGGAGAAAGTAGGATCGGATGAACGCAAGACTGTAGCGTTGGTCGAGACCGGCAGAGAGAATGTGCATCATTCTTACACTCTTGTCTTCCTGCGTTGACTGATCCTATAAGCTCTTAGATCGAACATATCGTTGTTGGCTCTATGCATGAGAGGAAGGTAGAGATGGCCAAGAAATCTTGCGGCTTCTTTGGTCTTCCTGGAGGGTTCGGCACATTCGAGGAGGTCTTGGAAGTGACAACCTGGACGCAATTGGGCATCCACAACAAACGTCCGTTTCGCGCCGCATTCGTCTGACCTGTCCAGGTCCTGACCAAAGTTGACAGCTGTGGTGCTCATAAACGTCCTTTCTTTCTATGAGCCATTGCGCCAGCTCGTGAATAACGGGATCAAGTATGGATTCATCAAGCCAGAATCTAGAAGTCTGCTCGTTTTCGTGGATGGGCCACAATCGCACGCTGAACATGAAGGCTTCGATTGGGGGAAAGCTGCTGTTGCCGCACTAGACAGCTGGAAGAGAGATGCTGAGGACGGTCTATTTGATTGGTCGTTAAAGTCGACTGGCGGCCACGGTGAACCGTTGGAGTCTACATGACATCTCACTTTTCATTGGTGTCCTCGGGTACAGTGGATAGATATAGATTTTACACGGTCGATGTCCGAGGCTTGAGCGTCGGGTCGATTTTCCGAGCAGGATCCATGAATGCATCTATCATGGAGTCTGTGACCTTCGCTTTGCGCTGAGGATATCATCAGTATCTTGCTCAGAACGGATAGGAAGAGCGAATTGCCTCTTGGAAGTCGGTGATGAACTTTTGTAAAAGTTCTATGCAACGAGCCTTCAGCTGCCCAGTCAACATTCGGCCAGCGCGGTATTCCTATCGAAGATCAGAACAGATTGAGAGACGAGCCGGATCGACGGACGAGACCAATCCTCTCCAATTCTTCGTCGTCATCGAGGAAGAAAGTGAGATACTGGTAAGCAACATCGACATCGGTGTTTCCCCCCAAACGTCTGTGCTCTTCTTCTGTCTCTTGGCCACCAGAGAACCCGTGTTTGTTGACCTTGTTTTTGATCTGAGCGGGCTTGTCCGTCATGAAAATGCCGCTGTTCGGGTCACTTGCGCTCATCTTCGTCTGCGGGCCTTGCAGTGCAGGGAAGAATTTCGAGTGGAGAAGAGCCGGTTTCGGATACTTGAGTTTCTGCGCAACATCACGGGTGAGGCGGAAGTATGGGTCTTGGTCGATGGCGCAAGGAATGAGGCACGGAATGTTCGATACAGTGCCAAAGATTTGCGGGAAAGAGTTGGAGAACGACGGGGCAGCCTGGATTGCTGCGAAGTGTATTTTACCGATGTTATCACTATGGATGTGTGAGCATGAATGTCTGACGACGCAAGTGATAAAAATTCAACGCCACTCACGAGTCATTGAAGCCGAATGTGGCTTTGGCCTGGTTGTAGCTGATCTGCCGTGAGATCTTCGAAACGTTCTCGTAGAATGGACCACCAAGGAAGCCATAGTTACTGAATATGAACGTCTTTTCGAGATTGACACCCGAAGCGATGATATCGCGAGCGTTTTGTCGAGAGAAGGCCTTGGTCTGTTCGACCTTCAGTTCATGCTTGAACAGGAACTTCTCGTCATCTGAAGCATGTGTCAGTCTAGTAAGGCACAAACAGCTATAAGGTATACATGCCTGTGAGTTGAATGACCAGTGGCACATCAAAGACATCCTGCAGCCATCTATGTCGAATGAGTCGTTTTGTTTTCACTGACAGAATCAGGCATCAGGCACACACTTGGTGAATGTGAAGGGAATCATGTGTCCGAGATGCAGGCTATCGCTACTTGGCCCTCTGCCGGTGTAGAGAAAGAAAGGCTTTCCTTGCTCGTATCGATCAAGGATTTTGTCGAACTCTCTTGAATGGAGGGATCAATAAGATACTACGGCGATGGAGGGCAATACATGCCGGTGAGAGAAAAACATCCCGCGTCGGAGCAAGACATGAGGTTTTTGACCGGTTAGTTTCTCGAACCGCTCTAGCAGAGCTGCATCTACTCGTCGCGTGCCAAACTGAACGACCAGCTTCTCGTAGTCAATCGCTTGCTGCTTGCCATCTGCGGATACAGATCCCTGAACATCCCAGGGAGTGACGACCTGATCTTGACTCGACTTATCGATCTCGGCAGCAGCAGGTGTCGCGGGCCCAGAGGGCGAGATACTGAGTCGAAGAATGAGTCAAGTTGGGTTGTGTCGTTGATGTCGCGTACTCGGCAACAGAAACGGCGCCCAGAGCTGATGTCAGCGTCTGCACCGTCGGAGGGGCGGTGGTATCTGTCGTCAGTTCTTCGGGAACGGGAGCTGGGGCGAAGGCCATCGTGGTAGAAGCTAAGGGACACAGCGGAGAAATCTCTTGATCTAGGCTCTATCAAATCCATCCGATCGTTCACGTCAAGGGCGCCTGTACATACTATGGCAAACAACGCGTCTCTTCTCTCGACAGATTCCAAGTATGGCAGACTGGACTTGCAGCGCCAACGATGCTTTCAAAATCTCTCTGGGTGGGCTTCTATTTCCCTCCTCCGCGTATTCACTGGTTTCTCACAGTACATTTCTCGCTATTTCTTGGTCTATCACATAGTTCGTGCCACCAATGATCAAGAGTCGCTCGGAGAGCAGGAGGCGTTCGAATTCTATCCGGCATTCACCTATCCCGTCTGTAACACCTCTCGTCACCAGCTTAGCGCGTCTAAAAGCGTCTTGTCGCTCAGATATTCGGGACGGACGAGAAGATCTATGGATACAGAGACCTGGTTATAGACGTGGGTTTGGGGCCTTTCTCATCATCCGTACCGCGTTCTTACACTTTCTGTAGCTCAGACTCGCCTCGGCGTCTCTGACACCCTTCCTGCACGTCAAATATGGGGAGAAATTGTCGTCTTCCACAGTGGATGATGTTGAAGGAACGCTCTCCGAATTTTTGCCTGACGGTGAGGGCTTCCTTCGACCCCATTGCAGAAATTAAAACTCGAAAAGAATACCATACGGACGAGGCGACTTGGAAGGCTCTTGTTGAAAATGAGGCGACTACGTTTAAACCTGTCGGGGAGCTGATCCACACGTACACACGACCAGCGCCAGGGTGGAAGGGAAAGGATACAGAATCATTGGATCCGGAAAGTGAAAACGCTATTGCATTCGAGATATACCATGTGCGTCCATGACCGTGTTAGTTTTGGCGACTGCTCAAGGTTTATTCAGGCAACATGGAATTCACCTGGTTTCACAGAGTTGCATCGGCGCATGCAGCTGTTTGTCTTGCTTTATATCGAGGGCGGTTCGTATATTGAAGAGGATGAGGAAACATGGGAGTTCATGGTGCTGTATGTGCCAGTGTCGGCCTATTAAGAGTTACTGACGTAGCTGCTTCACAGATACGAGAAGCGGAAACGACGGTCCAATCCCAGCGTTGCAACATATCACTTTGTTGGATATTCTTCTTTGTACCCTTTCTACTGCTTTCCAGACAAGATCCGACTACGGCTCAGGTAAGAAACCTTGACACTGTTGGGGTGCGTTCTAAAACATTCACAGTCAATTTGTCATTCTTCCACCGTATCAACGTAGCGGACATGGCTGTGAGCCTCCCCTGCTGTATAAAATGCTAACTCACGATTCTGATAGCCGAACTCTACAATCGAATCTATCAATACGTACTCTCTGAAGAGCGTATCTCCGAACTAACAGTGGAAGACCCCGCTGAAGCATTCGAGGATCTGCGAGACAAGAACGATTTATTGATGCTGCTGTCGCATCAACGCTTCATGGAGGAAGGTGTCGGCGGCGAAATCTCGTCTCATGGTGGCGGCCGGGTTGGCGGCGTCGGGAAGCGTGGCCGGAGTGGAAGAGGAGGATCAAGCACTGCGACAGTCCAAGGCAAGATGGGTCCGCCGGCTGATAAAGTCTGGGTCGAGCACTGGCGCAAGGCGCTAAAAATAGCGGGGGTATGATTCGTGATGTTAATACTGCAGTGTTCTGATAGTTTTTTTGCAGCGCCAATTCCGACGTTTGATTGAGATGCTTATACTACTTCGACTCGATCCGAGCGACGGTCGTGCGATGAGAGCTTATCGACTACAGGTCAAAGAACGACTGTATCGATTCAATTTTGTGCGTTTAGTCTGCTTCAACAGGACGACATCGATGTCTGATAGATTTTTAGGAATCTTTGGCTCAGGTGGAGAAGGCGGAACGTCTCGAAAAACTGGATGAAACATTCCAGAGCGTGCGCGATGATTACATGCGAATATTAGCCTTGCTTGGCCACTAAATGTGTGGTGCATATTATTGAATTTTACCCGTCAATTGTACCCGAATCCGAAATCGAACCCTGCGCGAATCTCCCTCGGAACCGCAGCCGTCGTTGGCGCTTGGAATGGTGGAAGTGACGTGAGAGCCACCTCGTCTGCTGGCGAATCAAATCTGAGCACTTGCAGCCTCTTCATTTTGCGTAGACATCTCTCCCAAGCTTCGTGTGTGCGGTCGACGCTGAGTCCAGCCACCTCTAACCGATGAAGATCGTTATTTTTGATTTTTCCCTCTCCCAACTCCATCCTCACAAGGAGTCGATGCAAGGATGCACCCAGTTCCTCTGAGGCTCCTGCTCGTCGCCCGTCAAAATCCTTGATCCGCAAATCCGTGAGAGACGGAACGGTCAGGTGGTCGAGCACGGGAATGATGTTATTGGCCCTGAGTTCGAGTGCCTCGAGCTCAGGCAGATGCAGGGTCTCCTCCTCCTCTTCCTCGTGGTCGGAATTCATCTCCGCCGCACTCGGTTCAGTCAGGCGAGCCTCGATGAAAAGTTTCCGCAGGCCGGGGGCAAAATGTAAGAGTGCCAAGACATCGTCTCCGGAAATAGGCGACGAAACAAGGGGCTGGGCGAGACAGAAGCTTTGGAGACTTCTGAGGTCCAGACCAGGCAGTGACGACAACACGACATTGGTCACTTCCAGATGAGTAATTCCTGAGAGCGCGGGGAACGTAGGGGGGTTGGCCACGGGGAGCGCGTCCTGCGAAGTGGCACAGATTCGCAGATTGCGTAGAGCGATGGGCTCGTGATACATACAGGCCAGAGCCTGACTGGCCTGGAGCTGAGTCTGCACATTCAGGGTTATGGATCCGATCCGATGTAGGGGAAAGAGAATCGGTGCCAGGAGCGATTCGGGTGTGTCTTTGCCGTCGAGTTGGATGTGGAGATCGATGCTGCATGCTCCAGAGCGGCTGAACCACAAATGTGCCTTTTCTGAGTCGTCCCCCTCTTTAAGCTTGAGCGTGCGCCAAGACGTGGGTGTGCGGAACGCGACGTCCCGAAGCAGACGCGACACGGCACCGAGAATGAGTGGTGCAGCCCAGTGGCTGGTAGAGCAGTGGGTGATCACTTCACCGAGCAGTTCGAGGGGCAGCGCGCCGATGCCGATTGCAGACATGGGGGAGGGAACGATGAGGAACGGATTTTGCAAGAAATCATGGTCGTCGTGCTGATATCCACTGCAGGGCCTGTCCAGATTTGGAATCTGTAGTTCATCCGTCAAGTTCTAGACCACCCGATCATAAATCCGATTGACAGCCTCGACCGTTGAAGCTCGTTTCAGAAGATTTCAACCATGCGTAGCCAACGTAGCGAGGCTGCAGTGTGAAATCCCTGGATACAGGGCCCAGGGCTCGCATACAGTGCATGTTCCGCGTAGCACACAGCAGATAATTGCAAATTTGCAATGAAATACATTTTCTGCAAGTATAGACCCCGCCCAATGTCACCAGTCCTCGGCCGCGGGCATTTGGCCGTAAATCAGATTGAAATCTCTCCGTGATTCGAATGTACGTTAGCCATACATAATCGAACGCGGCGCGAATAATCTCATTCGCTGTTGCCATTTGACGAGCCACAAGTCCGAATCACCGCAGGGCTCGCAGACGCGTGGCACGCCGGCCCGGATCCTGGCACTCCAAGCATGCCCTTGCATGTGGCGGTGGCTTCTCGGATCAAATTCTCATTTCCCTAGTTCTGGGGCCGACGACAATGAGCACCCGCCTATCCTCCGCATCAGAGTACGACGCTCTCTTGGAGAAGTACGACACATGGATGTTTGACTGCGATGGGGTGCTTTGGCACGGCGATCGCCTTATCGAAGGTGCCATCGACGTCCTGCAATTGCTCCGGAGTCGAAGTGCGCCTTCCCGTTTCGCCGCCGCCATATATCCTTCTGAGTCCCGCTAGATAAGCAAGTCCTCTTCGTCACCAATAACGCGACCAAGTCCCGCAAGAGCTACAAGGGCAAGTTTGACAAATTGGGTGTGGAGGCTCATGTGGTGCGTTGTTTCCTCCCAACTGTTCGTTGCCGTTCTAGGCTGAACCAATTCAGGATGAAATCTACGGTTCTGCGTATGCAGCTGCGGTATACATCTCATCAGTGATGAAGCTTCCCAAGGACAAGAAAGTTTATGTCATCGGGATGAAGGGGATGGAAGAAGAGTTGCAAGGAGAGGGTGTCTCGTTCATAGGAGGCATGGTGCGCAGTCCAGTCACCCATCTTTGCGTCTGCCCATCTTCTTCGAGGATCCCGCCGACTGTACCCTCGAAACTTTCTCTTTGGACAACTTTACTCTTGATCCCGATGTTGGCGCGGTTCTCTGTGGCCTGGACACGAACATCAACTACACCAAACTCTCGAAGGCGTTCCAGTACTTGACGCGTAACCCCGGCTGTGCCTTCCTCGTCACAAACGAGGACAGCACATATCCTGCCGGTGCAGGGTTGCTACCAGGGGCTGGAGCGATCAGCGCTCCTTTGCGGTACGCGCTTGGCCGTGATCCCATAAGCATCGGCAAACCAGCGAGCACGATGCTGGACTGCATCAAGGCCAAGGTCAACTTCGACCCTAAACGCACAATCATGGTCGGAGATCGCCTCAACACCGACATCCTTTTCGGTCAGGGCGGTGGGCTTGCAACGCTGCTCGTCCTCAGTGGTATGTGGACATTACACGGCGGCAGCCCTGCTTCGCATTCTAAAGTTCCGCAGGTATTACGACAGAAGCTGAGATTTCTGGTCCGAACCCGTCCCCTACCGTCCCAGACTACGTGACTAGCTCCATCGGCGATCTTCGCGCCGCTGCAAAGAATTAGAAATCGAATCTAGACAAATTGTAATGTGACATGCATACATAGACGGACGTACTCTATTGTGTCTTCCTTTGCGATTGCCGGTGTTCGTCGGCCAGGAAAAGGGTCGCGTTCGATGCAAGGGCGAATACGGATGATGCGATATATCCACAGATCGCGCCGAAAGCAGGTGTCAACGGCCATGACTGGTGGGCCGTGTCACAGAGCAGAAACTAGACGAGAAGGGAGAGGACTCGCCTGCCAGGGACGATCCCAGTCCAATGCGATAGGAATGGCACCCGCCCAGCTACCGATTAGAGTTCCGAGAGCCGGGAACACAAGTGCCCGTTCTATGGGAGAGCGGAGGCTGATAAATTGTGAAATGTGTTCCGCAAACAACCAGAAGACGCACGAGAATTCGGCAAACAGGCGGATCCAAGTGAACCATAGTGCATTCGAGGTGGAATCGGGAACACCAAGTGCGTAGGCCGACGGGAAGACTGCCAAGATTGAGAGCAGAAGACCCAGCAGATATGTTTGCGACAGATGACTACGAATGAGGTAAGAGACGAATCACCATGAGAAGGATAACATTCATACTTGGTTAAAGGCGCTCCAAAGACTATTGCGACAACAGTGAAGAAGAAAGAAGCTGCCCCCGTCAACAGCCAAGCATTTATCATGGTCTGGGGCAACACTTGAGATTCCGGGCGTCGGTAGCATGCATGAAGGGCTCACAGAAAGTTTCTGTTTATCGGAACGCTCCCTTTCTAGCTTGACCTCCACTACCGAGCCGTGCAACGCGTAGTCAACACTCCAGCTGCGGATCCAGCCCGCCCACCAGCTCTGCACAACTACCGCGCCGAGACACATCGTCGCGAGAGTGAAGACCGGACTTTCAGTCAGTGCGTCGAGAAATGGATGCTGTGGGCGGTCCTGGGAAGTGAACACAGTTCTGTCGATGTCCGGCTTGAGGAAGTCCATCCGTGGAAGAAAGAGTGCGGAGAATGCGAGAAGGGATGTGTGGACACCCACAACGGAGGTGTATCGTGCGAGAGGAAAGAACCCAAGTGAGACATCTTGGGACTCTGAAGGTGGATTGGCAAGAGGTTCAGGCACCACCTTTCTCTTCTTAGGCTTGGAAGGCATGATTGACTGGGCAGAAACGAATGGACTGGAAGGGTTCAGACAAATAGAATGAGCCCCCTCGTTTCTTTTTGTGAAATCGAATCCCTTACCGCTACTGAGCGCGTCTACTATGAGATTGAGAACGGAAGGCTCATTCAGCTGGCGGTCAAGAACAACGCGATGGAATCTGACATGATCGACATGACGTGATGCCACTTGACTGGCAACTACCAACTCGACATCCTCCTTGAGCTCTCTACGTCCTCTCTTCTTCGACGCGTGAAACTAGACGCCGTATGAATGTCTCAGACCTCGAACACCATTGCTTTAGAGCCCACGGCGCATAATGACGCGGCTGATATCACCGTGCAGTCGCCCCACGAATCAGCACCTTCTTTAAGCTCAAAGGCGAGCACGGGACTCAATCTCAACCGCCCGCGCGCCTCCATGGTGTCCCAGCGGAAACCTGCGCCGTACAACAAGTATCTTCTCTACGAGAACAAGCTGCGATTCTTCATAATCGCGTCAAACACGACCGATTCTCGACATCGGATCATCAAGGTCGACCGCACGTCGCAGGAGGAGCTGAACGTCGTCGAGGACGACGCGGAGTATAGCGGGAAGCAAATGAGCGCCATGATCAAAATGTTGGATGATGGGAATAAGAGTTCGGGAGGCTTGGGCAAGCCGAGAGTCTACTTTGGGGTTGCCGGTACGCTTTACAGACGCTTGCTTTGCTTTCAGACTCATGTTTCTAGGCTTTATACGCTTTACGGCTGGCTGGTATATGATTCTGATCACGAAGAGGTCATATGTCGCGCTCCTGGGAGGGCACTACATCTTTCACTGCGAAGGAACAGAGATCATTCCCGTGTGCTTCAATCACAAAGTCGAGAAACAGGCTGAAGAGCAACGATTGATGAACATTTTCAAGCAAGTGGATATGTCCAAGAACTTCTACTTCAGGTTGGATTTGGTCATGGAACAAGCCGCAGAGCTCTGATCGACCGCATAGCTACACCTACGACATTACATGGACGCTTCAGCACAATCTCGTCGGCTGCAGCCGTCCAGCGAACGGCAAGTTCACGTTCAACGATCGCTTCGCTTGGAACTTTCATCTCATGACTGCCGCGTTTGGAGAAGAAGACCGGCCCCATCTCAAATCATATTGGATGCTTCCCATGGTGCATGGACATGTCGACCAAGCTAGTATGCTTTGAAGGTGGCAATAACTGACGGTGGCTGACGCATCGGATAGAGCTCACGGTGCTTGGCCGCGTTATCTTCGTTACCCTCATTGCCCGACGGTCTCGCCACTTTGCTGGGGCTCGTTACCTAAAACGAGGAGTCAACGATGAGGTCAGTCGAGTCGTGTTCAGAGTCTCGTGTGCCGCTCACCCTCCGGCAGGGAAACGTGGCCAACGAGGTTGAAACGGAACAGATCGTATCTGAGGCCTTGACCACCCCGTTCTACTATCCACCTGCCCGTGATTTTGGTGCCGAGGAGCATGAAGATCGGAGACCGAGTCCCAATTATACGAGTTATGTGCAGGTGAAGTAGGACTTGCCGTGCAGAGTGTTGATCTGATAGCCGTGCACGCTCAGTACCGCGGCAGCATACCCGTCTACTGGACACAAGAGACTAATAGTATGAGCCCTCGGCCTCCGATTGAAAGTGAGTCGCAAATACTGTCATTTGATGCGGATTCTGACACATCTCAGTCAGCGTCGTCGATCCCTTTTTCACGGCTGCGGCTCGCCATTTCGACAATCTGCTCAAGCGCTACGGTGGTCCCCTGATGATCCTCAATCTCATCAAGAAGCGAGAGCCGGTCCCCAGAGAATCTAAGTTGCTGGACGAATACACACATTGCGTCAACTATCTCAACCAGTTTCTACCCAAGGAGAAACGGATGCATTACAGGGCATGGGATATGTCTAGGGCTTACAAAGAGTGCGGCGGTAAAGACCTGTTTCTATCGAGCCGATTCTTACAAGCGTCGTAGGAAGACACAAGACGTGATCAGCATTCTGGAAGATATGGCAGAGGAGTCGATCCAGATGACCAGCTTCTTCCACTCCGGACCTGAACCCTATTCCCATCTGTTTCAGATGAACTCGGACGAGGTATCGACCTGGAGGAGCACGATATCGCTGCAGAATGGTGTTTGCCGGACGAACTGTGTGGATTGTCTGGATCGAACCAACGCAGCGCAGTTCGTCTTCGGCAAAAGAGCGCTGGGGCATCAACTCTATGCGTTGGGTGTCGTCGACAACCCAAATCTGGCGTTTGATTCCGATGCGGTCAATATGTTGACGGAAATGTATCACGATCATGGGGATTGTAAGTCGGGCGCAACGAGGACGGCTGTCTAACTGACAGGAATCCAGCGATTGCTTTGCAATACACAGGCAGTGCCCTTGTGAACCGGGTGGAAACGTACCGGCGGATGCCTCATTGGAACAGTCACTCGAGGGACATCATTGAGAATATCCGGCGGTTCTACACAAACTCGTTGCTTGGCAAGTTCTCCTTGCACGAAAGTCTACTGGCTCATTGACAGTTGCAGATGCTGACAAGCAAACTGCAATCAACCTCTTCTTGGGAGTTCAAGCTGAAGGACCCATCGTCCATAAAGCTGTCCGCGGTGGCTATCAAAAATGGTTCAACGAAGATAATTTGGAACCACCGTATCCTATGACCGTATGCAATCGAACGCTGCGAGAGTTCGTTCACAACAAGTCGGACTTTTGGATCGAATACTACCGGCCGCTGCTGTTCACGTCTCTGGGGAAACACTTTGCGTATTCCATGAACAGCACGCTGAAATTACCGGGGAAGACGCTCAGAGACATCCACAACAGTCCCTTTGAGCCCCACGGAACCCGCAGCTCGAGACATCATCCGAGGTAAGTTTGTATATTATAGGCTCGTTCGTCTCACAGATTGCATCAGTGTTGTTCAGGGTGTCCGGCGTTGGATAGGAGCGCAGCCCTCGTCTAGTGCGAAGACTAATCATGTGCAACCTCCGTCCCGGGTCGAAGATAACAAACCGATTGTGGAGCTCGACGTGACTGACCGTTCTACTGAAGGCATCGCTCGGCAGAAACTGCAACCATCTGTCTCTGAAACAGAAGTCCAAGAATATCAAGGGTATGTCATTGAAATCGCACTGCCGTCTGAAACTAGTCCTCAATGAGTTCTGGCCAGGTACATTGACCAGTGCCAGGAGATCTTGGACGCGCCAACTGTTCTCGGAGAGCGTAAAGACCTCGAAGTGTACTCAATGGCAGTACGGACAGCGATGGGTGAGGCGCCTGATTCCGTCGGTGAGATTCCGAAGGAGTTTATCATCCATGTCGATCATACCCTACAATATCTTGATGGCCGCAAAGAATTCGTCCCTTCGTTCAATTATGAGCGGTGGTTGACTTCTGTAGCGTAGGATTGTATCAGATGTTAGACACTGCTCGGGTTTAGCGCATGTTATATCTCGGACTCCTTCGAGGGAAACCCGATTCGAGATGTGAGTGACGCGGGCCGGCTTGCGTTCCCATCAAACACGAACTGTCACAGAAGTGACGGTTTAGCTTCACGGGAAATGACGATTTAACAAACTGATAACTGTTGGGCGTCCGGTTGCCTCTTGAAAAACTCAGAGCTACGAAGCGTAGTCATGAGATATTCGACAGACGAAGAAAGGTCGACTCAGTCGAAATTGGTGCAGTGACGGGAGTGAAGACGGCTGGGAGCACCACGCGCCGAGTCACGGTCACATGGGTGGATGGCAGTCCTGATTGTCAGGTGCTACTTTTCAACTCAGCTCCGCGGGGGTGCAACCGGGTGATGGCGGTGGTAACTGAGGTGCCCCAGAGGTGCACTGCCGTGTAAGCCAAGCCCTGAGATGAGTTTTGCAAGGGATAATGGCCTACTACTACATCAACACACACCACCATTCATCCCTCTGGTGGAGAGCGGCTGGAGCTGCAGGTTGACCAATGAGCCCACGGTATAAAACTTGTACCTCGCGCTGGCGACGCTCTCAGTTTCTTGCATGCATGTATATATGTACCATATACATCCCACAATCCACTCATCTGAGCGAAATTCAACACAACCGAAGTTTTTCAGAGCGTCCTCAGTCACCTGGTGGGTGCCATTCCATCACGTGAGGAGCACGTGATGCGACGCGCTCGCGGCGGCATTTGAAACACATTGTTCATGCTACACATGGATCACAGAGCAAAGCAGCCAAGCAAGACGCAGAAGACACTCGTGCCCAGGTCAGCAGAACGCGTCGCAAAGTCGAAAGCCAGGACGAGAGAGTCGGACGACACACCGCCTGAGATGATCTCGAGTAGTTCCGGCCACTTCTGTGAAACCAGGGGCAACTTTCTAGCACAACAGTGTAATTATCTTCCGTAGCGGCCGTGACAAATTCCCATATTGGATTATTCGGGGCTCGGAGACCTTTGTCGGTCAATTGGGGTCTTCCTGACATCTTCGACGTACGTCAGACTGGATGGCGAGGGAAGTCTTGGGCAAGGCTTTAAAGCGTACTATGGAAATGACGGACTATTAACGATGTTGCCCACGATTCTCGTCCTGCTTACCCTGTCTGCTGCTTGCTCTGGCGCCCTGCACAAGTCCCATAGGCGTGGAACCGTCACCGTCAAGGCGTTCAATGTAGCTAGCATCACTGCATCTATGGTTCCTTTCTTCCAGCCCATTCTTCCGGGTCATAACAACATCGCGGTCCCGGTGCACGCCTTTCTCATCGAGCACGAGTCTAACGGGAAGAGGGAACGCGTCATGTTTGATCTTGGAGTGCGCGCTGACCCGCATAATCTCGCGCCGACTGTCGCAACCCTGGTGAAGGATGGGGTGTATACTATCGCCCCGTTTGGACCGATCACAGAGCAGTTGGAAGACAGCGGTGTTCATTTGAGCAGTGTAAGCGCTGTAATTTGGAGGTGCGTTCGAATCTTTGTTAGATGAGCAGTTGGAACGTTGAGCTGGATGTAGCCACTCACACTTTGATCATACCGGAGATGTCTTTGTGGCCGCAGAGCACCAAACTGCTGATCGGACCGGCCACGAATACCAGCACGTATCCTCAATACCCACATGCAGAGCTGCTCGAAACCGATTTCGCGTGCGCATTTTGAGCTCGACGGTAGCGCATATATTCTGATCTCACCTACTTAGTGGTCGCGAGATACTGAAGCTCAACTTCAACTCGACCTTTAGTAGTCTGGCCGCATTCGATTATTTCGGCGACGGAAGTCTCGTCCTAATTGATACGCCTGGACATCACCCCGGACACATCACAGCGCTTGCGAGGGTGACGGAGAAGACGTTCGTCCTCCTCGGCGCCGATGCGTGCCATCACGTAGGCCAGTTGCGGCCTCGATCGGCATTTCAGAAAGCGTACCCTTGCCCCGCGCAGCTCAGTCAAGGTGTCTCGACGGACTTTTTCTGGTCTCCGGACAGCCAGCTCGGTGACTTCGATATCGCGTCGAGATCAGAATCGCTGCTATCTGTTGCGGACCTGCCTAATTCCGTGCACGGTGATCCTCCCGCAGCACGTGTATCAATCGACAAGCTGGCTAAATTTGATGCCCTTGAGGATGTCCTGGTCGTCTTGGCCCACGATCAGACTCTGCCAGGGGTTCTCCCATATTATCCGCAGTCCCTGAACGAATGGAAGAGGAACGGAGTGAAGGAGAGGCTCGCATGGAGATTTTTAGAAAAGCCTAGTCCTGGGTTTGTATTTGAGTCTATTCTGTAGAGCCGAGTCGAGGTGCAGTTGCATTGAGCAAGTCTGGACAGGTAGAATCAGGGGCTATCCTGCTGAGTCGGTCACAATGACGTGACCCATCCCGTCGCTTCGGACGCTTCGGCCACAGGGGGGCTGTGCTTTCGTCCTTCTCTCCTGCCGCGGAGACCACCTCGCGCGTCCTCATATGCCCGGTGTATATCCTTAAACTTCTCGTGGATTCGACCTACTCCTCCTTATCGCATGCTTCTCTGATCCTACCCACATCGCTTCTCGAATATTAAGCCGTGACAGTGCACACGGTCCTTGAACTCGTGCCCCAGCATGGTTCAGTACAGCCCAAGTTTATTGCTTGAATATGCACGGACATATGGAAATCGGTTCTTCCTACAATTCGGATTGTGCGTGCTGTGCTCTCTCTCCACCACTCCGTTGATTGTCGACTTCAGGCACTGCGCGACGCATCAAATCCGAGTAATCCTCATCTCTGGCATCGTCATCACCTCTCTTTTCTACCCAGCACTAGCGCTGTACTTCAATAACGACACCTTGTCCTCCTTTTCGCGGCCGGTCTCGCTCTTCGACGTCACACGGAATCCGCAAGATCTTCTGGATGTCTGGTCCGGACATGACTCGCTACGAGTGCTGGGGGACACCGTTTCTCGGGCCAAAACACACGCCAGCTGTGGATCTGACAACGCACTTCGGGTCGAGCGCATCTTCATCCAGAGCTCGTTTGATGGTGCCGTAAACCATCAAATTTTGCAATCCACCTATGATCTGGAGCGGCGGATAGAGGAACTCCAACTCGGCTGCTTGGAGCGACCGGATGCTAGCAACGGAGAATGTTTTGTGCTGTCACCCCTGGCGTTCTGGGGCTACAATGAAGCGACCCTGCGTGAAGACCACAACATCCTTGACACTCTGCTCACACGGAATGCCTCGGTGTCCGGCATCCCAATCACTCCGCAGATGGTTCTAGCTGGCCGTGGTTCCGACGATCAGGGAACGAGCGGGACTTTCGATTACGCAGCGTTCCTGGCGCTGACTTATTTCTTCCCCAATTCGGACTGTCTGGGAACTGCGGAACACATTGCTTGGCTACAGGCGCTTGACGTGGCTAGTGCGGGCGCCCCGAGGACGATGAGCCTCAAGAAGCATGTGGAGCCGACCCTGATCCAGCTCGAGGTGGGTTCCTGGAGCGTGCGTAAGCGGTTACTCATCAAAAGGTAGTATCATGAAAGCCTCAAGCTTGGCAAGGAATGGACGGCCCTTTCCACCGTTTTGTATCTCGCATACGGGGCTTTTGTTGTCTATGTGTCGTGGTCCATGAGGCAAATGGATGCAGTCCACTCTCGGGTCGGATTGACCTTCACTGCGCTGGTGGAAATTGCGGTCAGTACGATAACAAGTCTGAGTGTCTGCGCGTTGGTCGGATTCAAAGTGACACTTGTTCCCTGGTAAGCCAGTGTCTTTACCGATGCTGACAGTCTCTCATTCTTCACAGGGAGCTTCTCCCTATTGTGATAGTCTTTGTCGGCGCTGAGAACATGTTCAACCTGGTTAGATTCCCTCTGTTTCACCTAATCACAGCTAATCTCTATCAGGTTGGCGCTGTCGGCAAGACCTCTGTCACTCTTTCGGTTAAACAGCGTATCGCAGAGGGCCTGAGCCACGCCGGAACCTCGAATACCTTGAAAGTTGTCTCGTACAACAGCATTCTGGGAATCATCTCCGTCTTTTCGACTGGCGCCATCCGCCAGTTTTGTGTATTTGCTATTGTCGTGCTGGTAGCCCACTGGTTTCTTGCGCACACATTCTTCATGGCTGTTTTGTCGATTGATATCCAACGACTGGAGGTGAGTGGGACTATGACCAGTTGCACAGCTACTTACCATCGGCCGAAGCTTGATGATCTGTTGCGCCAAAACCCCAGCCTGGCACCCGTTGTACCCAAGGACGTTGCTTTCAAACAGTCGCATTCTCCCCGAGAGAAAGTTGTCGCCGTTATCCAAAAACTTTTGCATGGCCGTGCAACGAAGAACATCAGTCTGTTTATGGTGCGTATCTGCACCAATGCATCGATTCCATGGCTGAGCTCGACCAAGCTTCTGGCGATTACCGCCACGCTTTACTACACCACGATCCCACCGGACACACGGCTTCCTTTGGAAGAAGTGCAGCCCCTTACTCGTGCGAAGATGAACGTTTCCACCCCGATGAATCAGCCGCAGTCGCCCGCGTGGAATATTTGGAAGACATTGAACCCCAACGAGACGACGTTGTACTTGCGCATCGAAGAGCCGACCGTCCTCACCTTCCGTTCGGAGCACAGCCCTGCCGATCACAAGGCCCTCAAGTCGAAGATGTCGATGCGCACCTTCCGAGCCATCTTTTGGACGTTCAAAATCGTAGTGGCACCGATCGCAGCGTCGACTGGTCTGCTCTATGGACTGTTGCTCTATCTATTGAAGGATGCGGAGCTGCTTGAAGCTCAAAGGAACCGACCAGACGGTGATTCGGTCGAGAAAGAAATGGAAGAACCGTTGACGTCACAGATCGCATTCTCAACTCTTCCGCGCGCTTTCAACAGTGACGTAGAGCTGATGGCGACGAGCCAAGATGGAAATGTGGTTGCCTGCGTCGGCCTGAACAACGAAGTCGTCATCTGGCGCCTACCAAATCGGAAGCATATCGCGATTGATGTGACGAATGTGCTACTGCGGTCTGCAAGCTCGTCCAAGTCATCGTCGACGCTGACGAGCGTGGCCGTTGACTGCCGGGGCCACTACTGTGCTGTCGGAACGGGTTCTGGGAACATTGCTGTGTGGAGCATCGACAGCCGGGGCATCACTCCCCTTCCGCTTCTGTCTCTGGCGGACTCGTCTGCCGGAGTCGTGAGTCTCCATTTCCTCACGCCATCGAATCGCACATCGCCCTGCTCGGAGCCTAATTCACCGCTGGACCGCGAAGCAGCGGTGACGTTATTGGCCACCTACGAGAACGGGATCGCCGCCTACTGGAAGCTGGGGATCGATCCCAGTGTGACTTATCATCTTCCGACGAAGCGCGGGGTAGCTCTGATCCACGTGACGCTGCTGCGAGTAGGACAAGACGTGCTGCTCGGCTTCAGTATGGCAGATGGGACATTGGAGTTGGTCGAGGTGCAGGTGTCGAGGCCCCTCGTTCTCCCCGACCATCCGATTGCAGCTGGGAATCCTGCAGATCTGGTTTCCGCTGCCGATGCATGTCTGGTGGATCTTTGCGGGACCACTCGGCTGGTTGTCGCTGTTACGACCGAATCGGGGATAGTCTCGTTGTGGGATGGTGGGTCGGGCGAGATGATTCGTCTGTTGGACGGGTCGCATGGTCGGATCAACCGTCTGCGCGTCTCTCCTGTTTCGTTGGCCCTGTGTTCTTCGTGCGGAAAGCTGCCGTTCGATGGCTGTCTCCTCGCCTGCTCTGCCGATCAGGCAGTGACTATCTTCCGCTTGTATATGACGGACCAGCCGAGACGATGTTCGTGCAACCTCCATTTTCCGAGACGCGTTCCTTCGTGGGACAGCAGTCTCGGTCGACGGTCAAGGGGACCCTCGCCCAACGGATCGCCGTCTATCCCGCGAGCCAAATTGAGCGCGATGTTCGAGGCACCGCAGTTCCCGGTGTCTGGCCACGGTGTGCATTCTCGCCGGGCATCTGAGAAGGAAGCGGCGGGGCGGCGCTCGCTCGAGACGGACGGCGACGATCTGCTCAGTCCGATTGACGGCCGGATGTCATCTGTTTGGCTGAATGCTCTGGTTGTGCCTGTGTCGGAGATGACCTGTGACCGGGGGGCATGGGACGTATGGAACCGTCGGGTTGTTGGAGTGAGGAGACGTCCGAGGGAAGGGAGTACAACCACAGGAAAACCAAACGACGAATCCGGCTTGTCTCCTGCGACGCTTGAACGCTGGGAGGTCTGGCTCTGTGACGTGTCTGGCACGCGATCGCAGAGCTCTTCCCTGGCCGCATTGAAGCAGGATCGGGTCTCAGAGTCAGTGGCCGCAGTGCCTCGGCTTCCATTTACGCGCGTTGCGCCGCTGGTCGTGGTCAGCCAACGCGCGGTGGCGGGCTTTGGAAACACTGTTGGCGTGTTTGATCTCACGTTATAATGTATGCGTTTAGTAAAGAGTAGTACATGCTGTATCTTGTAGATGGATTGTAAGAGTATATAGACGAGATGTTAACCGGCCTGGGCGCTTTCGCAGCTCGACTCGTGAGGTCGGCGAAGTATGTGGTATGAGAAGAAAGTTCTGCTTTGGGAAGAGCCACATTCAACGCCTTGACGGTGGAGGTTGCACGCCTGTAGGACTTGTGCAGGGCGCCAGAGCAAGCAGCAGACAAGGTAAGCAGCACGAGAATCGTGAGCAACATCGTTCATGGTCCTCCATTTTCGTAGTACACTTTAAGCCTTCCCTGGGACTTTTCCCATCATCCGGTCTGACGTACATACGTCAAAGATGACAGGAAGACCTTGACTGACACCTGTGAACCAAGAAAGAATGTGTGGGACGTGGTATTCTACTCGAAGCAGACGGAACGTCCGACTCGCTCGTCCTAGCTTCCGACTTTGACACGCTTTCTGCTGGCCTGCAAACCAGTATCCTCTGACTCTCGCTTGGATCCTCTGTTTTGAGGCAGCGATCCCAAGGCCGTGGGACTGGAGATCGATTCGCGCTAGAGAGCCTTGAGAGCGCGAGCGTCGTGCTGACGAATCGCAGTGGTCTTGTGGCTAGAAGGGGGTATGTATTCGACCCAATGATCGTGCGGCATCGCATCCCAGCCTTTAACGGCCAGCCGTTTTTTGATGAATTTGTAGACAGAGCGAAAGGCCATCTTCTTCGGTGGCTTTTCAGGTTCGACAGGAGCACTGTCGCTCTCTTCGCCACTGCTGTCGGTATCGTCTGCCAGGCTTGGAGACAATTGTTTCAGTGTCGGAGCCACGACGCGGTTCTGCTCTTTGACCTCCAAGACCCATTGAAGAGTGAGTGATCGGAGGGGTGAATTGGGCGGTCCGATGCATTCGCTTCGAGTTATCCATGTGTTTTTCTTGTCCGGAGAGTGAAAACCAAATAATTCTGCGAATTTGTATGGGCTGTGACCATGGAATTCTGGAGGAGTGTGCCGCAGGATGATCCAGATCAACAGCCAATAAAAGGACTCGATGTCATGATGAGCTCCGTGAGCGACACCTCTGTCAAATGCAAGTTCCAGAGCCAGGAAAGGAGGTGTTCCCTGCGTCAACGTCAGATCATGTTTTCACCCACACGGTGGATGGGACGAACAGTGATCTCTTTCAGGCTCTTGTCGATGTTCTGGTAAAGATGATCATCCTGCCTGGCTCGGTCTTTGGATAGCTCAGCAAATGCAGCAAGACCCTCTGGTGAGAATTCCGCGTAGTCGTAATCGAGCAGGAATCCTGAACGAAGCACTTTGTCGACCATGACATTGCCGTCGCTGATATCTCGATGTCTCACCCCTGCAAGGTCTGCAATCCATGCATCTACGACAAAGTCAGAGGGACACAGCTGCGGAATGGACACTCACCCATCAGACCTTCGAAAACTATAGAAACAACGTCCCTCACACATTTGAATCTCTCGGCGCGGACACCAATCGGTGTCAGCAGACTGCGCGTGTGGTATCGGATCAGATCTCTGGCGCGCTCTCCCAAGTGAGAGACGGAGGTCGTACGGTGAGATCCACAGTCCCATTTCGCTGATGTCCTGGGGGCCGAATTTGCGAGAGTGAGCGACAGGTCAATCGAGCCGTGGCATTTGGCCACCGACTTGCTCGGTCCAAGTCCGGACACAAATTCGGCGTTTTTGCGGCGGTAATCATCAACCACATCGTAGTAGTCCACCTCAGGCCGGCGACAGCCTTCACGCCACGAGTCCTTGAGCGCGTAGATCGTTGGATTGTCGCTGTTCAGATCGCACTCCAGAACGACGCGGATCACTTTCGTGGCACGACCAAATAGTCCATGCGAGACCCAGAGCGGTTGGCCAAACGTGAAGCAGTGCACAAGCTGGTGCTGGCGCCCGCCGTCAGAACCATCGACGAATTGGACAGCAATCATGGAAACACTCCTCTCCGTGAGATCACCGTCGACCTGTGCCAAGTCAGATGCATAACTGTTCTCCTTCCTGTCCAATGCCGCTTGCAGAGCCATCTTCTCCTTCTCGGTGAGCGGAGAGATCGTGAAGTCGTCGCCGAGCATGCGCCCCGGGCTGTTCTGTGGTCCTTCGGGTGGATTATATAGTCGAAGCAAGAACCGGGGCAGAATTGTTTTTTCTTCGCTCCAGTAGATCGGAGGAGTCGCTGTCCAGCCAGAGCGGTCGTAGCGAACGATGTGGGCGGCACGACCGACAATGAACAGCAGATAGACGTATAAGCCGCCCGACGCGAGGAGCATGTTCCTTGCACTCTTCGCCAACTGCACGTACGCCTCGCTGCCCTCTTTGCCCTGGGTCAGCCTGTACTCAGCAGGATCTGTATCGCCGTGGTCGACATCGCCGTCCTCGTCGTCTTTGCTGCCGTCCTCGTCCTCGTTGCAGTCCTTGTCGTCCGGGTCAGTTTGCTGGTCACGAGCCCTTTTATCCAAGCCGGTGCGTTTCACGATGATGTGCAAGTTGTCCTTGATTTCGGCAACGAACCCAATTTCACGCCAAGTGAGCCTGTGATCGGCCGCGATCCCTGGTCGTGTCCCACATAGCTCAGGCGCCAGATCGTGTTCTTCGGGATCGTCCACACAGGGTATCAGCTCTGCATGAGAGTCTCTGAAGTAAGGCTTATGTGCGTCGTCGAAGTTTTGCGTGATGTCAGCGAAATATGTGGTCTGAGGAGGACGTGAAACAAGAGCATGCGTACACTGAAGTAGTCGCCCACCATCGTCTTGACCAGCGACTGCTCGTTCCGCTTCCGGGCCTTTCTCTTGTCACCATTCTTGCGAGGCCGAGGATGGATCGCGGCGTTTATGGCGTCCAACTCGTCGCGTGACTGTCGGGCTCGGTCCAACGCAGACTGGCCCAGTTCCACCATCTTCGCGATGCATGCATCGTCCTCGGTGGTAGCCTTTGGCATCGAGTCCAGCATGGCATCCGTAGAGATCACGCCTCTCCAGTGAGCTTTGCATTCCTCCATCCACATCGACAGTGTGTTAACGTTCCACTGCTGGGGCTATTTGAAGCTGGTCCCGACGTGATGAGCTGCTGTGACGCCGGGCTTGAGGGACGCGGGGGATAGTTTGTCACCGCCTTCGGAAGTGGAACCTGGATGAAAACTGTGACATGAGGTTGTCGCGAGCTGTCACGCCCGTCAGTCCGTCGCGTTGCTAAAGTGACTTGACTTTTGACTCGATCCGGATCCAGTATACTGTCTACTAAGACTTCATACGACGATGAATCTCTCAGTCCTATTCGCATGTTTTTCTTGCCACTGATTCATCGACGCGTGGAGAATCTCGTTGGGGCCCAGGATACTGTGTCAACCGTCTCTGTGGTTGACCTTGCGACTCGTTCTATGGTGCGCGCCGCTTAGTCACCGCTACCTCGGAACAACTGCCAAATCGGCCGGAGGCCGAAATTTTTTCGACACATATCAATTACACCATAGATTTTGTATCAATATTCCCTTCTCTTCTTGACTAGAGCGCCGCCTTCGCCGGCAGATGCCTTGCTTGCTCTCGCATTTTTTAATAAAACTCAATAGCAGTCACATGTCACAATTCAGATACAAAAGATACAATTGCAATAATTCACAGACGTTGATGCAGGGGCAAAGTGTGCTGTGTGTGTAAGGGATTGGAGCCACAGATTGGAACAGAAGGTGTACTTGACAACAGTACTGCATTGAACCCCACTCCTTGTCTTGCATGTGCTTTGTTCTAATGTGATCGAGCATAGATGCAGGACATTACAAGAGCTTGTGAATGTGTTTACATGCATATGCAACGACTGATTATGAACAACAAATGAGGTTCGAACAAGTGACTGCACAATTACATGCGGAATGATACGGAAGATCGGATCAAACCGTGTGCAACCGGATCAAACAAATTATGAGGGTGGAGAAGCCTTGACAAGCAAGGCAATGCTTAGAGCAGTGAGCACCTAGAGCAGAACACTCTGAAGGATAACATGCCCCTTACACTTGCTTCAGTTCCAGTCGAGACAATACAAAGATGGGAGCATCAAATGATTCAATGGATGCAACCATATCGGAAGGGATTGGAGGCTTGTGATGCACAATTGGTGTAGACAGAGATATATAGATTAGATCTCAGTTGGTTACAGAAAGTAAGACGACTTGAGCACTACCTGTAGACAGAGATATATAGATTAGATCTACAGGTTTGGTGAGTCCATCTGGGAAGAGCTGCAGGTGGAGGGCAGAACACGTACCTCAGTCAGTTACAGAAAGTAAGATGACTGAGGTCCACAAGCAATGGAAAATGATATATATGTGACCTTTCATTAGGAGTTGATCCAAGTCCCGAGTAGGATTGATCACCCCAATCACTGCACCGCCAACACCCCCCCCCCCCACTCGGACGACTCCTCCTTTCGAATCCCCAAGGCCGTTAAGTGTTTGCGTAGTATGACCGCAGCCACTGGCTTGGTCAGGATGTCTGCCGGATTTGCTGTCCCCGCAATATGCGCCACTCGTAGTTTCCCCGTGTGGACCAGTTCTCGAATGAAATGGTACTTGATGTTGATGTGCTTAATCTTGTGATGCAGCTTCGTATTGCTAGTGAGCTGTATTGATCCCAAGTTGTCCCCGTGGATTATGGACGGCTCTGGCTGTGGGAAACCCGCCTCCTTGTACCAAGAAGCGCTCCACATCATCTGTTGCGCTGCTCGAGCAATGGATGTGTATTCAGCCTGGACAGTGGACAAGGCAACTGTTGGTTGGCGCTTCAAGCTCCAATCGACGGGGCAACCAGCCGCCACTGTTACGTAGCCCGATGTAGAGCGTCTCGAGTCAATGCAGGCAGTGCAGTCGGCATCGGCGTAGCAGGTTGGACACAGCCACTCCTCTGCAGACACCCCAGGCGGGGGCGGTCGATATGTGAGCGCATAGTCAAGTGTCCCATGGACATAACCCACGATGTGCATCAACGCGCATCAACGCGCTCCAATGCTCTCGGCCCGGGTTTTGCTGAAAGCGGCCGAACACGCTCAGGCTATGCACCAGGTCGATGCGAGTTGTTGCTGTCGCCCAGTGGAGTTTTCCAAGGATCTCCCTGTATGGGAAGGAATTTGTATCCAGCTTGTCACCTGCGACCGGACAGCTCTCTTTTGACAGGGTTGACCCCACTGGTAGGGGTGTCGCACGCACACGCACACCCAGGAGGTTGTATTCCCTCAGCATCTCCTTGAGGTACGCCCTCTGGCTGAAGCGCACTATCCCGCTCTTTGGGTCCCACTCGAACTTCAGCCCCAATAGCACACCCTTCGAATCGACCTCCTTCAGCTCGTAGCACCTGGCCAGATCGTCTTTCGCCTCTTGCACCATTTCGGCCAATGAACCCACACCAAAGATGTCATCCGTATATGTGTTCTTGATAATGTAGTCAGTAGGACTCTTCCACTTTGTCCGGACGCATGGATCGGCCTTCGATGTATAGTAGCCCAGATCGTCGTATGTTTTCCCCAACTCTTCAAACCAATTGTGGCCCCCTTGCATTGTTCCATAGATCGATTTCTTCAGTCAACACACCCAGTCCTCTTGATCCGGCTCCTCGTGGCCTGGTGGTTGGCGCATGTATATTGTTTCCTTGGTCGAACTGTTTAAGTATGCCGACGTGAAATCGACAATGAATGGTCTAAGCTTGTGAGCAGCACATAAGGCGGCAGTGTACCGGATGCTTTCCAGTTGGGTGACCCCTGCCCAGGTCTCCTCGTAGTCCACCCCCTTTTTCTGCGTTCGTCCATCTCCCACAAACCTCGCCTTATCCGCTATCCAGTTTCCATCCCCATCCAGTTTGTAGCTGTAAACAAACATGGATCGGATGACATTTGCTGCTGGTGGTCAAGGAACCAGCTCCCACACGTCTCGGGATTTCATCATCTCGAGCTCCTTCCTTTCCGCCGCAACCCATCGTTCCTTGTCCTGTCTATATGCTTCCTGCTGGTTTCGAGGGGCTTGTCGAGTTCAAGAGTCGGAGGGGGACACACTTTGCGTTACCTCATTGGGTGGTGTCCCTACCCCTGCACTTTCCTGCACCCTAGAGTTGGAGGAGAGCACACTTGACGTGACCTCACTGGGCTGTGCCTCCTCCAGCGCGTAGTCCCTCCCCGCTTGAGCATCAGCAGCCACACGGGCTTCTGATTCCCGTGATTTGATTGCACGATGGGACGCATGAGCGGAACGACCAGAGCGGTGTGGCGGCAGAGCAGGCTCAGCTATTATGGTAGGTAGAGGCGGCATGGCGTCTGGGCCCGCCTCTGGAAGCGATACAAGCGGTGGGGTAGTGGCGATCTGATCCGCGGGCAATACAGATGAGCTAGCTGACGTCTTGGCAGTCGGTGCAGTAGATGGTGAGATAGCGGTAGGAGGTGGGGCAAGGTCGTTGTCAGTGGGGGCATCGACATTGGCCAGTGTGCGGTGCGGGTTACCATGCTCAAATATTACGTCCCCAGCCGCAACCACTTTTCCCCCATTGGTCAAGATCCGGTAACCTGAGTCACCTCCGAGGTATCCGACCATAACGCCGTCTAAGACCTGAACACCCAACTTGTTTCCACCATTCACCTGCCGTCCATTCCCGTCAGTTGAGATTACTGCGTACGCCCAACAACCGAAAGGATGCAGGTGAGCCACATCAACTTGGCGACCTGTCCATCGCTCAATCGGAATCCAACCACCGCGACACATGAGCCTGTTCCTAGTGTATGCAGAGTAGGCTGATGCCTTGACCCACCATTCTGCCGACAGTTTTGCGTCGTTGAGGCATGCACGTACATCGTCGGTTGTTGTCCGGTTTCCACGTTCTGCCATGCCATTCGGCTCAGAGGAGTGCAGGGCAGTTACCTCCGCAATGATTCCGTTCTCCTCAAGGTATGTCTTCCACACTGATGACTGGGCAAATTCGCCTCTGCCGTCAACATGTATGTGTTTGATCTTCTGTCCCGTCTGCGTCTCTAGGCGCTTCACAAATATCTTTAGCGCCTTCAAAGTTCCATCCGCCTCCTTTGACGGTAAGAAATAAAGGTCGCAGATGCGCGTTGCTGCATCAATAACAATCATCCGATAGCGTGATCCATCTTGCGCTACCACTGGTGCAGGGCCCCATAGGTCCATGCACACCAGATCGCCTGGATTGTTGGTGCCATTGGCAATGGGGTGGACATGCAGAAGGGCCGGTTGCTTCCCGTGCAGACATCCAATGCATCTCCCATTGAGAGCCCGGCTTCTGATCTCCAAGCCATCCACGAGTTTGCGGCGGTCCATTTTGAGGATAGTACGGGTGTCGGCGTGTGCAAAGCATCGGTGCAAGTCTTCGAGCGTGCGTGTCGCCATTATCTCTGGACGCAGCCTCATCTTAACCTCTGTAGCTCCCCCACCAATTCTGTACATCCGGTTCTTGTTCCGAAGGCAAGTGAATCCTTTCCCTTCTTGGTTGGTGACTGATGCCTTCTTGCCGCTGAACGTTGTTGTGTACCTGCGCTCATCAAGCTGGCCCACAGACATCAAATTGGCATGCAAGTCTGGCATGTGTAGTGCGTCGGAAAAGGTAAGTCGGTGGATGCTCTCCCCAACCATGAATTCTTTTATGACGGTCCCTTTTCCAAGGATCTTGAATGTTCCTGCCTCTCCAACTGGCGCAGCTTGACCAGTTCGCGACTGCGGCACATAAGAAGAGAAATCGGATCTATTGGTGAAGCAGTGATCGGAAGTTCCGGAATCCAGGTATGTGGGGACTACCTGACCCACAACCGAATACACCATCGGGTTCGCAGTGGCTACAAAGATCTCCGGTCGGTTTCCCATGTCCACCCCATCAATCAAGTCCGGTGCTTCAGGGAAGCCTGCGTTGTCTAGTGTCGTGTCGCAAGTGGCAAGGCTGGCCACCGCATGCAGCGCAATCACATTCATCGACGTTGTAACATCCTGGTTCCCGCCGCTGCCCCCATCGCCATTTTGATTGCCGCCACGACGACCAAACCAGGCTGGGGCTTGCCCCTTGCGACCACCGCCCTTTGACCAGCATTTCTCGATTGTGTGGCCGCGCTTCTTGCAGTTGCTGCACGTAACGGGGACCGCCGCTGCATTGGTGGCCATCACAGTGGACGACGGGGTAACGCCTCCAACAATATTAACGACACTCTTGAAGCTTTTGGTGATCTGGTGAGCCTCGATAGGTGTCGCTGCATTGATGATCATCGGGATTATAGGGATGAATTCACTTGATAGTCCGGCAACTAGACCTGCAATATAGGTCCGTTCATTGTTAACCGCACCCTGGGATGTGAAGTCACACCAGGCCAAGAACTTGGCATTGACATATGCCTTGACAGGGTCTTTGTTGTTGAGGTACTTCTCGAGCTTGCATGCGTTCCATGCGTTCTCTGCGACTAGTCGCCCAGCAATTGTACTCTTCCCGTAACCGTCCTCCATCGCCCTCCATATCTGTGCGGCCATCTGTTTCTCTCCTCCCAGTCCCAGCATATGAGGTTGGACAATGTTGTTCAAAAGGGTCGACCGCACCCAGGCGTGCCGCATTTTGTATTCCTCAACAAACGGGGTTGTCGAGAAGATGGGAGTAGTTGGATCGGGGATGAAGTGACCAGTTGTGGTGATGGACCCAGTGAGTCAAGCAGTGGTGCCTGCTCCTGACAATGTGAAAGTCAGATTAGGGGTCGATATCGTACCATTGAGGTAGCCCCCAAGACCTTGCCCGACAATGGCAGGCCTGAAGACAAGTACAAAGTCTGAGTAGTTGTTCCCTGTGAATCGCTGTTCCTCCGGGAGTAGGAACTGGCCAAGAGAGTTCATGGTGTATTATATAGGGGTCTTGGTAGGATTCAAGGGATGGCACACAAGTCACAATGCGGACAGTACAGCAGCGGCGCAGTGGGTTGGTTTAGTTCCGTGAGTTGTTTGTTCAGCGTTTCTTTACGCAACGGGGCCCATAACCTGTAGACAGAGATATATAGATTAGATCTCAGTCGGTTACAGAAAGTAAGACAACTTGAGCACTACCTGTAGACAGAGATATATAGATTAGATCTACAGGTTTGGTGAGTCCATCTGGGAAGAGCTGCAGGTGGAGGGCAGAACACGTACCTCAGTCGGTTACAGAAAGTAAGACAACTGAGGTCCGCGAGCGATGGAAAATGATATATATGTGACCTTTCATTAGGAGTTGATCCAAGTCCTGAGTAGGATCGATCACCCCGATCACTGCACCGCCAACAATTGGAGGACCACCAGTTCAAGTCAAGAGTTTACCAGTTTGCACAGAAGGATTCCTGAGGTCATGGCCCGCTCATTCGATCAATAAATACCAATTTTTCTACTTACTGCCAAATTGACCTTGTTGAAATTGTATGACTTTCTCAGGGATTTAGCTATGGCTTATCCCTCTAGCCATTCGACTCCTTGCATGAAAAGGAGTCGAATCCCAAGAGGGAAAAAAATAGCTAAAAAACTGCGTGACTAGTAACGTTGTTACTCAGGTAGTGGTGACTAAGCAGCGCGCACCATATTTCTTACGGTAGCACTTGCCCAAACAATATTGCAGAGGGTGGAAGAAGACTGCAAGACTTCTCAGAAACCACTTTTCTCATTGAAGATGCCGCTCCAGAACTGAAATTGCTCCAAGGGCAGGTATACCTTAATCATGATAGGCTTGGAGTCTTTGAAAGACATCCCAGCTTGTGTTATTCATTATCAAACGATGCACAGGAAAAACTACTGGTTCAAAATATGGCGGAAAGACTTCAACTTGCAGGGCGTGGCGCCCACTAGCTGACCATGTTCCCTTGGGAAACCCACATAACCCTTGAAAAAGAATCAGCCCAAGCTGGAGCGGCATGGCGTCATTGGGACAACCTCACCTTGGCCTCATGCCCAGTGAAAAAGCGGTATCGTCGAGTATCATATAGTAAGCCCACGTATCTCAAGTGGGCACCCAGCCAAACAGTCATCCCGGAGGGAATACAGGTGGATACTCCGGCATACAGTAGGGTAGTAAAATGAGAATTGATTCCTGCAGTGTATTGGCCTGTATCTCAATGTATCGCTGTGTAATATAATGGTGTGGCTTGGATACATGAGGATATGTGACAATACTATTGATGATGCGGACTCCCTCTGCCAATCCCACCATCTTGCCACCATTCAAGCTACAGTAATGGCGGAGGGAGATGTCCATTGGAAGCAGGACCAACCTGGATCTGCAGCCATTCAGATTCAGTCTAGAGGACCTGGTTAGTCACGCAGTCAATACCCAAGCTTCAAATGTACCGCATTTTCCCATCTGATTCTCTTGACTGCAGTGAGAGAGTCCCAATATAGAGCAAAGTCGGAAGACATTGTGTTGACCACAGCTCTTGAGTATCGGAAAGCGCAACGCAAGCTACATAGAAGTTTTGTTAGAAGATTTACGAGTAGCTTGACAATGGGTAGTACGCACCGGGTGGTCTTCCCAATCTTTGGTCACCATCTAGCACCTTTTGTACCTGGCTTTGAAGTGTCTACAAGCCCAAGTACTACAGGTATCGGATTCACTGTAATGAATAAGCGACATGTGCAGAGAGAGAAGGCATGAGGGAAGTAACCTTCTTCTGGACCTGACACAGCGGCAGAGCATAAGCCTGATGTCGTAGTTGTTGTTATCGTCTTGGTGACTTCTGGCTGTGTGGCTGGCTTTTGTATATCTGCGGACAAGATGTCAGAAGCTGTCACTATGGTGGCCGTGGTATCTGTGGCCTTCTCGCAGGGGTCAGTGACAGTGACCAAAGTTGAGATATCAGCGACTGTTTTGGTATGCAATGTTCTAGTGCCGTTGAAATGCTGAGGGCGTGCTCACAGGTGAATCTACTATGAAAGTAAACCCAAATATAAACACGTTCACACTCCTCGTAATCAGCTTCTCAGTGTGTGAAAGATGCGAGGGCTTCGGGGTGGACAGAGCACCAGTATCACAACTCTCAATAGACGCAGATCCAATAGTCGCGGAGACGAAGTCGACGACAAGAATTTATATATAGCAAACAATGGTATCTCAACCAATATCTTCTATACGAACACAACCAACACTAATCCAATCCACAAACAACAATATAACAAGTCAGAACTTAATACGAAGTATTAAGATCCCTTGTAGCGACAGCGTCCAGATGGTGACGCAAAGCCCAAATATCAAGTCGACGCACTGCCAACTGACACAACCAAAAGTACTGAGTCGACGCACTGCCAACTAGTAAACCAAAATGCCGCGTCGACGCACTGCCAACTAACAGCCAATATCCAATGTCCAAAACCCGAGCACAACTTGTCGACGCACTGCCAAGCAAGAAGTGTGGAACCAAAGTTCTCAAGTCGACGCACTGCCAACTGACCAAAACAACCCGAGCACAACTAGTCGATGCACTGCCAAGCTAGAGGTGTGGAACGATCTCAACAAGGCCCAAAGGCGACAACACCAAGTGCCGCGACTAAACCAGATGCGGCGAATCCGACTTTCTGATCTCTCAACTCAAACTCAAATCACAGTAGCTACAAGTGCTCAGGGAGCAACTCGTCGCGACCGGGCAGGGATGGCAGAACTTCTTAGGGTGGAATCACGCGGCACGCAAATTGTACAAAACAATCTGAAATGATAGTGATTCACAGTCCGGGGGAAAGCTCCCTTAATACAAAGAGACGACGTGCTACTTATACTGTCTACAACGCTGCTTAGTAAAGTCCTGTACAACTGCATAGTAGCTACGCTATCTAAGATCGGTTGCCTTTTAGGGTAATTGAAAAGTTGAACGATCGGACAGGTCCTGAGTGATCAGGACCCCGCCCCATAGTCCATATGATACTTTTGATGTGGGTCAACCCACCGCGTCATACTTTGGAATACGACGTGTTGGATTGGCCAACGGGTATGTCTTGGCAAGTGAGACCAACGTGGGCGCCCCAAGAAGCCGTATGGCCCTAGGCACGCCAGTCGTCCCCCACATGGCTCGGTTCACGGATCTAGCCGTGTCGATTTCTAGTGTGTTTGGGTATGGACGCGACTCGCCGTGACACTTGGAAGTGTCACCGCGACGCGTCCACAATGTCCCGTGATCGAATGGATCCTGCCATGTGACGAGTCGTCGTCGTGGCATGATCTGAGGAAACGCCCAACTCAAAACCGGGAGTTGCCGCGACAAGATGGTTTAAGTCTCGTAACGCCAAGTCCTGTCCAGTAGTAGTTGTATTATTGAGAACGTCGCGCATTGCTCAGCCCTTCAGCCCAAGTTCCCATCTGCAGAGAATGACCCCTTTTTGAGAAGTCGGCGCAACGACAGATCCCTTTTGGGGAATGGTCGCGGTCCAAGCGTTCGTCACTAATGGCCCTGGGCCTGGTATAGACTCATAAGACCAATTCCACAGTAGTGATCTGACTGCCTTGCTATCGTCGACACTATCCACAGTCGTCGACTGGGCAGTAGACCCTTAAGTCCTACTGAGCGCAACACTGTCAACCACGGCACGATACACCGAGTGGTTCAAGAGTAAACTCTGTAAAAAGCGCAAAAATACGCTCTTACAGAGTTGGTGCAGAGCGCGTCTGGTAGCCAGCCTATCACCGGGTCGGCAAGATCCCGTAGAGCAGAGCCGGTCCCACTCCGTAAATCCAGAGCAAGAACTCCCATGCTTTATAGCCACTGTTGATCTTCCCAACTGGATTTCAGGGAGTCTGATCAAATGAGCCTGGAAACCATTGCTTCAAATTGCCGACCGCATCACCGTGATTCTTCCATGTGTTGCCAACAAGTACAGCCCAGTCCCATTCCGCTTTATTGTCCGTCCGACCAGCGTCTATGGTGCCACGCCACAGAGAAAGTAAGAGATCCGGAAGGTTAAGAGACAGGGCATGCATGAAATCAAGGCAAAAGATATCAGGAACCCCTAGTTGATGGTCCCCAGGAACTCCGCTCATGATTGTTGGCTTGCAGATCCCAGTCTTGAGGCAATTCTTCTCGAATTGGGTTGGGTTTTGTGAGGAACAAACCAGAGTGAGATTCCAGTTGTACCGCTGGCGGACTGAGTCCCAGTTACAGTTCTCAAGTAGCTTGACAAGATTTACGTCCTCGTGATCGCATCTATGCATAGAATATCCAATCGGCTTCAGGAGGGCAGGATTGTATATGCCAGAGCCGGACTGTTCACAAGATCAGAATTGTGTATCAGGCCTATAGACTCACAAACCTCATGTTGTCCAACCAAACCACAGTGTGAACAACAGCCTTGTCTCCCGTGATGTCCAACCCCACCAGAGAAAGCTGCCATACCCAGAGTATCCGCCATACCAACACCTATGAATGGTCGGGTCGTCTTTGAAGGCTCCGTTGGTCTGAGCGCATCCCAGACCTTCAGCCTTTCAGCCTTGTTCTGCAGTGCCGCAATGTGGTGGAGACCTGGAAATAGAAAGCTATCCATGTTCTTTGGCTTATTGGGACCAGGGACAACAAAACTGGGCATAATGTGATTCTTCTTGTAGCGGACCATCAGGGAAAAGTCAAATAATAGCCAGATTCCAATCCAGCAGTCGGAAGACTTATTGCAATATAGTTGAGCACCATCAAGCAACAAGCCCACCACAAAGTTGGCGGCCCCAATCTGGCCATTGTGGAGTGCATCAAGGAAGTCGCTTCCGTCAAAGAAGTTGGTATATGATTGGGTTTTCTCCCCTCTGTTTGTCCACAAGTCTTTCAAGATTTCTTCGACAATGTGTTTGCGATAGCGCAGCTTGGCGGAAGCTTCAGGTGATTGATGTAGTGCTTGAAGCTGTGGACCAAGGAGGACAGTATTGAATGTCTGTTGTGCAATGGATCCACTTTCGTTAGCGTCGTATCGCCGCTCACCACACTTGGGGCATTCTTCCATATCCGCAAATGGCCCTGTGTATGCGAGGCAAGACTGAATGCACATATCATGTGTCACATAGAGAACACCAGTGATGTGTCCGACAAGCTTTTTGACACAGTGGTAAGATAGGATTTCCGAATAAGGGTAGCAACGTAGAACGGCTCGGCGCATTGATTCATAGGTCTCGATAGATGCATGGCTGTTGACAGCAAAGTAGACGTCAATCAAAAGCTTTTTGTCGAGAGTGAGGACGGGGGGATCTCGAAGAGGATTCCTGATCTGCTGAATGGTTTCATGACTCAGTCTTCTGCACTGGTTGTCAAGCCTGGCTCCATGAATGAGTTGGATGAATGTATTTGTGATATTGATGTCTTCAATACAACTCTCCGTAAAGAAAATTGGTAGGGTATCTTCTTCGTCCTCTTTCTCCGCCTCTCTTTCGGCTTCAGTACTGGCCACATTACCTCCGAGTGTCTCATTGGGACCAGCAGCGTCACCCCCTCCATCCACTTGTTCCCCAATCCCCTCTCCAGTACCAATTGGGGATCCCCACCCAGTCGCCTTGATATCAGTCTCCTCGTTGTTCTGAATGAAAAGACAATCAAGAAGTGCCTTGTCTCAGGTGCGTCTTGGATGTACCCTTGTATTCTCTTGGCCGGTGTCTCCCTCCTCAGCTCTACTCTCCATCTCGATCTCCAGAGCATTGCTGTCTGCCGCAGGTTGCAATTGTCTACGCGCATGCTGGGATGAACGGTTTCCAACGCTTGTTTGCTTCTTCTGGTGCTTGTACCTCGTCAATCGAGGAACCAAACACCCATGATACCCACAGTGCTTTCTGCAGAAGCACTTCATTACTGCTGATGTTGACGAAGCCATATTGCGGAACAGAGCAAGGAGGAATTTTGATTGACAAGTGCGATCAGTCTTGACGCAGACGCATTTGCCCACCGCAATCACTGCAGATATGTACTCAATTTCGCTCACATCCAGTGCGTTAAACACGGTGTCTATATCTACACGTACGTCAGAACCCGAGACCGCATTTTGGCCTCAGCAGATACCGGAGCACACTGGGACGTCCAGCCGATACTGTGTTATACCTCGGGATACTGCTTTTTCACTGGGCCTCATGAGTCAACCTCATCGGTGCATTCGTGACGGCTGTGACTGTTCGCGTCTCACTTTCGCAGAAGTTCGGATCACAACCCCACGGGGTCCATCACTGATATCACGTTCGCCGCTTGTGCGGACTGGCAACCGTACTGCGAAACCTCATGAGCTGCCACCACAACCACCAGAAATCTACAGCTGCGGGGAGCGCGTACCCCACCCTCAATCCTGGCTCGGGTGCTAAATGGATCAAGAGTCTCACCCGGGACCGTATCAACCAGTTCAACGGGGGCCATTTCGGTGATGTGAATCTCGGTGCGGTGCTCTACGAGCGCATTGAAGGCGGGAAGAATTACGTTGACCTTCAAGTGTGCGTGCATCTGCTTCGAATGTGGTGATATTCCGTTTGTGACCCCTCGAAAGATGGAGCGCGCCGGGGCGGACGAAACCGACGTTCGCAGAGGCGATGAAGCAGGAGTTCAAGCCTGCGAAGAAGGGAGACTCGTTTGGGCCAAGCTGTTCGTCCCTCCTTTTCATCTTGACAGACTGTTCATCGCAATCCAGGGACGAACCACTGGTGGAAGGTTACACTGCATATTCCTCCGAAAGAATTCGACCAGTACGAGCGCGTACAGTGTATGCTCTACTTCATTGCCTCCTAATGCACTAGTGTTCACGACAAGAAGTCGAATTTGATCCAGGATGCGAGGCCATGATATTCGACCTCGATGGAACTCCCGTGCACGGTACGAAACCGAACCCCTCACACATCTGTGCGCTCACTCACGACTTCCTGCAGGTATTACCGGTGGTTACGCTGGTGACCGTCGCGTCGAATATATCATCCCAGCCGCTGCAAGGAAGGCTGGTGTCCACCATTTCATCGTCGAGAGCTCATGTAACGGCATGTTTGGCATGCAAGGCGGAGCAATTTCGCCTCCCGATGTGAGTTTCTCGTGTCGTCAGAAGAAACCAGGCTTGATCCAACAAACTAGCCCAACCGCTACTTTAGCTTGGCGTCTGCGGATTTGGTGGCTCCCAACCAGGATGCATGGCGACTGCTGTGGGATTTCACTACTCTCAGGGAACTGGTCGACACTTTACCTGGCAATACACCGTGCGTCCTATTTCTGGATCAAATCAAATAGCTCACGACGAGTTTTCCATAGACTGCAGAACTTAGCGCTGACTACTGCCAATTCCATTATGAACACATTCGACTGGCGCAATCGCGATTCAATCCTCAAAGCACGTGAGGTGGCGCAACGCGTCTTTGGCCAAGTCTCGAAGGATTACGAAGGGGTCTACGAGAAGGGCGACGCGAGACCACTTGTTTGGGGCATTGGACAGTGCGTTACAGCACTCATCCATAGCCTCCAATGCTGACTAGTCCTAGCTGCCATATAGACACAGCCTGGCTTTGGCCGTACAGCGTGACGCAGCAGAAGACTGCGCGCTCCTGGGCCACGCAATTGGATCTCATGGCTCGATACGACGAGCATCGGTTCACTTGCAGTCAGGCACAGCAGTACAAATGGTTGGAGCAGGTGCGTGTCACTGCTCGCTCAAATTCAATTGAGGTCCAACTCTGTCGCAGCAATACCCGACCCTCTTCGCTCGACTCTCAGATGCCGTTGCGGCCAAAAAATTCCACCCAGTTGGTGGTGCTTGGGTCGAGCACGATGGGAACATGCCGAGCGGGGAGGCGTTCGTCCGACAAGTGCTTTATGGTCAACGGTACTTCGAGTCTCGATTCGGGTTTCGGTCAGAAACTGGTTGGTTGCCCGACTCGTTCGGGTTGAGTGGTTCGTTGCCGCAGATCTTCCGAGGGGCGGGAATGAAGTATTTTTTCACTCAGAAGCTGAGTTGGTGTGTCTGGTTCTTGATGCCCATTGCATTGTGCTGAAATCAGGTACTAGGAATAACATCAATACCTTCCCACATTCGACATTCAACTGGGTCGGTATCGACGGGACCCAGGTTCTGTGCCATATGACACCTGTCGACACGTACACTGCACAAGCGACTGTCGGCGACGTGAACCGGGCGATAACAAACCACAAGGTCGGTGCATGTCTAGGCCGAGTCAAGCTCATGCTGACCTGTCCAACAGAACCTGGAGTCGTCTGACACGTCCCTGCTGGTGTTTGGAAACGGTGATGGAGGAGGAGGACCGTTACCGAAGATGCTCGAGAACGTAGGCGTGCAGATCTTTCTATCTTGCCTGGTTCTTGACGGCCTTGGTAGCTCCGCCGGATCCGCGCTGTGACCAATGAGCATCGGGAGCTTGCCCCTGTGACCATGGGCTCGTCAGTCGATGAGTTCTTTGCATATCTTGAGAAGAGCAGCGAAGGGGGCAAGATGCTCCCGAATTGGCGAGGGGAACTGTACTTGGAATTCCATCGAGGAACCTACACTTCGCATGGTCCCTGTCTATTCACATTTGAGTGGGATTGCTGCTGATCCGAATGATTTTAGGTTCGATCAAGAAGGGCAATCGACACTCTGAGATTTTGCTTCGTGATGTCGAGCACCTCGCCACGATTGCCTCGCTGATTGACACCAAGAAATACAAATATCCCAAGGAAACATTGGACGTATGTTGGGAGAAGGTTCTTCTCAATCAATGTGGGTAGCCACATCGACACCTTTCTCGAGAGTTGACATCGTCTCTAGTCCACGATGTGCTTCCTGGATCAGCAATGTGCGTTTCAGTGAAGTGCGGGCTTGTTTCTCCTACTAAACACCAACACGCAGTGGCATGGTATATGACGACGCCGAAGTCCTGTACGGCGAAGTGCGAAAAGACAGCGAGGCCTTGATCGACGAGGCCCTCGATGTGATTCTCGGCGGCAACGTCAGTCCGGCATCGCATGCCACGGCGCTCAGCCAACTGGTTACGTACAACACGACCCCCTTTGCGCGCCGCGAGGTCGTCAGCGTGGGATTGACCCGCGGTGCAGGATTGATGAAGAGCCAGGTTGTGCAGATGTCCAGTGACGGTAAAGAGGGATACGCTGTCGTGCAGTGCGCGGCTGGGGCTGGGGCTGTTAGTGTTGAGGCATTGCCGGTGACCGAGGCTTGGGGATTCACACCGGCTTCAGGTGGGTGTTCATGTGGTCCAACGATCATCAGCTGACCAGACTGAACAGTCTACACGAACGGGTCTGACCACTTCGTGCTGCGCAACTCGACGGTGCAGTTGACGATCTCGCGTGGCCGGATCACGAGTCTGTTGGATGTGAAATCCGACCGGGAGCTCATCCAGAAAGGCGCGACCGGTGGATTCGTGATTTTCGAGGACCGGCCCAATTCATGGGATGCATGGGACGTCGAGATCCACCATCTGGAGAAGGCCACCCGGCTTGAGTTCGCGAATGTGTCGGTCGTGGCGCAGGGTCCGCTGAGGGCTGCGGTGAAAGCGGAGGTCTTGTATGGCAAGAGCAAGATGGCTGTGACAGTAAGAATGCGGGATGCGAATATGACCAAGTTGAATTGGGACTAACAGGTTTTGACAGATATCCTTGGATGCAGTCTCCGCCACGACCAAGTCTGACTCGTTGTCGTTCTTCCGCTTCGATGCCTGGGTGGACTGGCACGAGAGACACGAGTTCTTGAAATGTGTGTGTCCGTTTCTTGTGGGCTACCCTCAACTCATTTTCGCAGTCGAACTGCCGTTGGACATTCAAAGCAACAACGCAACGTATGAGACGCAGTTTGGCTGGGTCCAGCGACCCACTCACAAGAACACGACATGGGATATGGCACAATTCGAAGTCTGCGGCCACAAGGTGTGTGGTTCATGCGCATTTGTCACTTGATCTGACAAGCGCCTCGAACAGTACGCTGACCTGAGCGAGTACGGATATGGTGTTGCTTTGTTATCGGAATCGAAGTACGGGTTTGCCTGCACAGGCAACGTGTTGCGGATGTCGCTTCTTCGGGCTGCTACTGAGCCCGATGCCGAGCAGGACCAGGGCGAACATACGTTCTCTTGGGCTGTGATGCCGCACAAGGGGCATTTCCTGGAATCGGACGTGCCTCAGGCCGCTTATCTGTTCAATTCCCCGCTCTACAGTCCGTGCTTTTTCTGTCACCTGCAACTCCGCGGCATGCTGATCATATCATGTTCGTCAGTCCGCGCCAAAGCCAATACGACGGCGACGCAGCCTCTCTTCACAGTCTCTGGTGCACCCAACGTTGTGCTGGAGACTGTCAAGCGGGGCGAGGACGACGGCCCGGAGCGCCGGACTGTCGTCTTGCGGTTGTACGAAGCGATGGGCGGACATGCGAAGGCGCAGTTGCGGATAGCCAACGGGCTCGGTGTCCAGGCTGCGTACGAGACGAATCTTCTGGAAGATATATCGGAAGAGGCGAGGTTGGGGCTCAAGGATGAGTGTGGCCTGGAGCTCAAGTTCCACGGCTTCGAAGTCAAGACTGTCGTGCTCGTTCTGGGCGAGAAGAAGAATCAGTGAGTGTGTCTGTGACGTCGGATATGGGGGATGTGGGCTAACGGGAATTCCAGGAAGCGGGAGAGCTGGGTGGAAGTTTGACGGATATGTGTATCATATAGGTGTTCTGTAGTCAGTCAATTGTAGGAGGTCGTAAGTACTCCGTGCCGTTCATGGATTGCTGGATGGAAGAAATGCGGGAGGATGCTATCTGTGCATTCTCACGTCCTATTAATACTCCAGTCTTCCTTATCCTCATGCAGCCTCTAAACGCGACAGTCAATTGCGATCTAGGAGAAGTATGCCCAGCACGAATCTCCTGTCAATGCACTTAGGGAACTTTTCCAGGGCTATTCGCTTTATACCATCGTGTGTGCCTCGACGATCCCAGTTCTCAACTCAGTCGAAGACTTTCCCAGGCGGACGATGCAGCCCTCATGAAGACCATCCATCTCGCTAACATCGCCTGCGGGTTTCACGGCGGCGACTTCGCGATCATGGACCGCACCGTGCTGCTGGCCAAACAACACGGAGTCAAGGTCGGCGCGCATCCGTCGCTGCCCGACCGGCAAGGCTTCGGGAGGCGCGAGATGCCGAGCATCGAGCCGGTACGTTCCCAAACATTAGATAATGGATGAATGCGCTGTGCTGTACTGAACGAACACCAGGACGAGCTCAAGGCCTGCTTCGTGTACCAGATCGGAGCACTCGAGGGCTTCCTGAGGCTGCATTCGATGCGATTGAACCATGTGCGTGTGCGCGTCCTCGAGGCCCGAGATGGGAGGTGGGGCAAGAGATGGGTTGCTCAAACCTGAGGCAGGTCAAACCGCACGGCGCGGTCTACGGCCAGACCGCCCGCTCCCTGCCGCTCGCGCGTGCCGTGGTAGCGGCGACCAAGGCGTTCGGAGGGGACGTCGGGTTTATGGGCCTGGCGGGGACTATGCACGAAGAGGCGTGTCGGGAGGCCGGGGTTCCGTTCATTGCGGGTGAGTCCACCACAGGGGCGGCAGCCGGAGACGTTAACGAGCGCTCTTAGAGTATTTCGCGGATCTGGAATACGACGCGGACGGGACGTTGTTGATTACCAAGTAAGTTGACGCCGACTTCGCACTTGGAAGGCACGTTAAAAGCCGCCGGGCCAGGATACACAAGCCAGTCGGCGTGGAGGATGTCACAAAGAGGGTACGACCGCAATCATTGATTTCAGACTCGGTGCTTGAATTCGTCACTAGATCAATCATCTGCTCACGCATCGAGAGATCACGACTAACGCCGGGTCGTACATCTCACTCAAGTCCTCGGTCGACGAAGTGTCGATTTGCTGTCATTCGGATACGCCGGTGAGTGTTGAACATTGGCGCCAGATACATTAATCATAAAGAGGGATCTCAGGACGCCGTTAGCATCGCCAAAGTCGTGAAGCAGGTGGTCGAAACGCATTTGAGCCGCAGCGACCAGTGAGGTAAAGAAAACGCGTAGTGACTACTCAGAGCGATCGAGATAAGACCCTATAAGGGTAACCATGATTTGGAATGTGCGAATGCCGCTCATGAAAATTAGTAAAGAAGCGATCTGGCAGGGTCTGGTGGGAGTTGTTGAATCACTGAATCAGGAGGCACTCGAGTCAAAATGATTGGGATCTCGTGATCCTGTCTGGTGAGTGGTGGCGGTGCTATCCTGGTCGCTGAAGCTCGTCCACGATCAATGAACTATTCTTCCTCGTCCAACGTGTTCGAGCATCCGCACGGCTCAAAGCTTGTTTTAGTAATGAGATGCCTAGCGTGATACCTTATAATGGCGGACCTGCAGTCCGCCCGGTAATGGCTACTACCGTGAACTTCACTCGCTGTTTAGACGAAGTCTGCGGGTCGATGGGGTCTTGTCGGGGCGCTGGACGACTTCGGACACCCCGTTGCGAACGTGTCGCAGGCGACCGCCATCTCTTACGGTCTGTGTGTGCGGGCCTGCGGGACGCAGAACGAGGCGTTCAATTGGAACATATTCTCTCAACAATTCACGTGCGTCGTCGGCAGTGTCTGTCTGTCCCCAGAAACTCAGAATCCTACAGTGCATGGCTGCTCCCGTATCTCGCGCTCGTCTCTCAGCTGCCGTTTGGCGCGCGGACCCGGTTGCAGAACCTCGTTTCGCTGCTGCTCGCTGTTGGTTCTCCCACGCTGGCCGCATACAGTCTCGCTCTGACCGTTCTCAACGGACATTGGATCGCTGAACGCTTCTCTCACCTCCGATATCCGAATGTGCGCAACGCCGTGCGCATACTGAGCAGCTTACAGCAATCGCCGCTGGAAGTGGACAAGAACGAGCTCGCGTCTCTCATCCTGCTGCCTGAGAACGATGAGTGGTGGGATGAATTGGTGGTCTGGTTGAATTACGTACACACATGGTGCGTTTGCTGGTGATGGATAGATGGAGAGCTAATGTTTCAAGGTCCATCGCAGCTGTCGCGTCCATTCTTTGGGTCGTGATTGCTTACTTGTTCACTGTCGTCGACTCTTTCACTGGTGTGCTTTTACCATTCAATGTCGAAGCTTTCATTGATATCTCCGCAGGCAATACTGTGACCTACTCCAGTCTGAACACCAACGGGCAGGCCGTGGGCTCGGTGTTTCTGTGGCTGCTTCCGATCGTTGTTTCATGGCTGCAGATTAGCCCCAAATGTGACCATGATCGGGTACATGAAGCCTTGCGGCGGGCCAACAAGATTGCGTATGTTGCCACGCCCCAAGGAGAACCCACGCATGCGGAGAATGTGTCCAGCAAGCGGGCGATCTTTCTCCGAAAGGGCTCTGGATCGATTCGATGCGACGAAGACTGCACGTCGCCCATCTTCAACTACGCACGCTTCATCCCGTGGACCCTTTCGGTCGAAGAAGTCTATTGCGCTTTCAGAGAAGCGTCGGTCAAGTCGGAGAGAAACGAGCCTGTCTCGCGGGATGTCACCTGGGAGAGAGGAGATCGCCATCATCGTGTCAAGCCATGCAACCGGCGAGGATCCTTGCCCCAGGTCGCAGCCTACATCCTGCCTGTCTCCGACGCATTTTCATTTGGAATACTTGGCTCTCGACGAAATCGACGGCCGGAGGGGATGGTTTCGCGGTTCCTCCTTGCCTCGCTGCTGACCGTGGGACTCACCTGGGGGACCATCGGCGCCGCCATTCTCGTCTCCTATTTCACACCCACGGAAGGGATCGGGTGCCGAGCTGGGTCGTACATCATCTACGGCGTGCTGTCGATGGTCGTCTGGATGCTGCTCGTCGCGTCCAGCCTCATCGCGCATTTCTCGACGCCGACGATGTCGCTCCACGGGCGCTACCTCCACACGGCCACGACCCGGGCTCTCGGCATCGCGTCGATTGTCATCCGGCGCGTCGCTAAGATGCTGGCTGCGCTCAACTCGGTGTGGATTGTCGTAGCCTGCTTGTTCCAGTTCAGCAGTTTCTTCGATCGGTGTCTGTGCAACAGCTCCGTGTTCTCTCTCGGAAGTCGTGCGTTCAATGCAATCGACATCCGCCCAGTCGATGTAAGGGGCCTCAACGTTCCTTGGATCGGCGGGGTCGCCCTGGCTTGGTGCGTTCCAGTCTGTTGACTGAATCACTCTAATATATATTTGCATAGTGGGTGCGCGATTGCCTTCATGGCATTTGTAAATCTTTTCATCAATCCTGTACTACCCGAACAGTAGACAAAAGGGTGCACGGGTGCAGAACCGATGTGCTATAGCGGATTATTCGAATTTTATTGTAGATCTTTTCCGGTCAAACTTTTGCTTGGTAATTGCCCGATCACTGATCAACCATGTTACGAGTGTTCCAGATGATGAGGGCAGATACCGCTTGATGCAAGATGAGAAACAATGGTAGCCAGGGACTGCACTGGAGACTCGACAGGCAGGTAGTCGATTAGTCGTGGTGGTGCCAGTGGCGTGATTCAGCAAGGGAGAGGGACATCGAGAACGGAATAAAGGAGAGAAAAATTCAGCTGAAAAGAGACTCGGGATGGGGTTTTCCTAACGCCGGAGGCGAAGCATGTTGGTCGAGCCGTTCATGATTCAGCATCCCATCAATAGCCATTCAGATTATCTTATCACATTGCCAGTGCCGCGCACAACAAAAGCACACACAGCTTTGTAGTGTCTGTGTTCAACATGAGTGGCTGATGCTGTGAAGATAGTCATTTCAATATTCCGGCATTTTACTGTGTTCGAGCTATGTAAGACCCGAAACAAATTTGACGATGAACTTCCAGGGCATGGTTCATATGTACGTCGTCTGATTTTGCTCAATATCTGATCGTGCGGGCCAAATTATGATTGACACATGACAGGATCATCACTACTTCTCGCTTTCTCAAAATTTCCATGGTGCGCGTGCGGAAGGAAAAGGGAGGTCCGCCCCAGGGCGCTTCTTCTGTCCCAGAAAATAAAGCGAAGGACAAATCGAATAAGAAATCTTCAAAAAACTCTACCACCAATCTGGAAGAACAAGTCCTCGCGCTGGGAGGGAGCAAAGCTGATCTGGAGCTCGTCAAAAGCGTCAAGGGTGTCAAGGGAGGAAATGCACCAGTTGCCGATGTGTGTTATCTTCTATCCTGCCTTACGCGTTTATTCAGTGTCTTTGTAGCCATCGCTTTCGAAGGACGTATCTGAGTTCTTGAAAACCCTCAACCTTGGATCCGGTAGTGCCGATCTTGCCTCGGCGGCGGCGGTAACGACGACCCAGAAGAAAACCAAGCACAAGAAAGCTACCCCTAAGCCGGTCCAATCAAAGAAAGCCGACTCAAAAGACGTCGAGTCCGCACCCAAATCAAAAGCGGGTCCCAAAAAGTCTGCGCCAAACGCAGTGGCCTCGACATCATCATCCGCACCCGAAAAGGCCACCCCCAAACAATCGAAGTCGGTCAAGCAGACCAAGCAGCGCAAGACCGTCGAGCCCATCGTAGAGCCGCCTGCTGTTGAAGTCGCAGAAGCAGCGGAATCTACGCCTAAAGTCGAACTTCCGAAGCAAGTGACACTGGACCCGAAATCGCGATTCATCGTGACTCCAGCGTCGCATTGGTACAACGTCGTCCCGACTTTGCCTTTGGATACCGCCCCCGCCTCCGCGACCCAGATCGCAACATTGAGCACCCGCGCGGCATCGCTACACGAAACGGACTTGCAGACCTTCCAGACGTCGTCGTCGTCCAACTCCTCAGCCTCGGAAGCGACGTTCTTGTCGAAGATCATACAGTCGGGGACCCTGTCCGACCGGCTTAGCGCGCTTACGCTGCTGGTGCAGAGCAGCCCGCTACACAACGTCAGGGCTCTGGAGACGCTCAAAGGAATGGCGGAGCGCGGCAAGGGAAAGGGGGGCAGGGACGAGAGCTTGAAGGCTCTGCGGTGTGTGGTCGATTGGTGGGTTGGCGGTGGGGCCCCGGGTCGCAAGCTCAAGTGCGTGTGCATCTCGCTGTCAGCGCATCTGGACGGTGGACTGATTGTATGCTATTTAGGTACTTCCGGGACCAGCCGCTGACCCATCCTTCGGTGACGGACGCACATCTTCTGGCGTGGTACTTCGAGGATTGGCTGAAAAAGTACTTTTTCTCGATCTTGCAGATCCTGGAGAGCCTGTCGTTGGACCCTCTGCCGTACGTCCGGACGCAGTCGCTCTCCCTGATCTCGACGCTGCTCCGAGAGAAGCCTGAGCAGGAGCAGAATCTTCTGCGTTTGCTAGTGAACAAGCTCGGCGACACCGAGAAGGCACTCTGCTCCCGCGCCTCGCATCATCTACTGCAGCTCCTCCAGACTCATCCGTCGATGAAAGCTGTCGTTGTGCGCGAAGTCATGGCTCTCGTTCTGCGTCCGGTGGGATCGTCCGCGGCGGCGGCGGCGGCGGCGGCCCCAGCTTCAGCGGCGGTGAACAAGCACATCAGGTTTGATGATGACGACGAGAAGCCCAAACCCAAGCCTAAGCCCAAACAGCAGGAAAAGAAACCTGCGGGCAACGTCCACGCGCGCTATTACGCGACAATCACGTTAAACCAGATTGTGCTGGGGCCCGGTGACAAGGAGGTGGCGCTCAAGCTCATCGACGTATACTTTGAGCTCTTCAAAGAGCTGCTGGGTGAGGGTGCGGTTCCCGAGAACGCTGAGGCTGAGCCCGAGGCCAAGGAGGAGGACGAGAAAAAGGCAGACAAGCATGGGCGGATCCGCGATCACCAGAAGGGAAAGGGAAAGGGCAAACAGACTGAGATTCGTGGGGCTGCCGGTTTCGCTGAGGTCGAGGACGAGAATTCCAAGCTCGTGTCTGCCATCTTAACAGGAGTCAACCGCGCGTTGCCGTTTGCCAAGATGGAGGCGGGTGAATCAGCGTCAGTCCCAGATGATTGATAGATTCGTTCAGGCGCTTATTTTTTCAGATTGAGCAAGCACATAGACACACTGTTCTTGATCACCCATACGTCGACATTCAACATTTCGCTCCAGGCGCTTGTTCTAATCCAGCAGATCTCGACGTCTCTGGAGTCCTCCGCGGGCTCTTCCTCGTCACCGAACTCCATTGCAGATCGATACTATCGCACGTTGTACTCCTCACTGCACGACCCGCGATTGGCGATGTCGTCCAAGCAAGCCATGTACCTCAATTTGCTCTTTAAATCAATCAAGGCGGATGCTCCCAACACGGACCGGGTGAAAGCGATCGTCCGGCGGTTCGTCCAGGTCCTCGTCAGTGGCGGGAGTGGGGCCACCGAGTTCGTTGCTGGAGGGTTGTTTTTGCTGGGCGAACTGTTCAGCAGCGTACCCGGCTTGAGAAGTATGTTGAGCGGCGGGAACGCCGCGGAGGAGAGCTACGATCCGAAAAAACGCGATCCACGATATGCCCATGCCTCTGCGAGTCCCCTGTGGGAGTTGGTGAGTTCCAGTCCGCCCTTTCCAACAGACTCTGCTGATTTGGGTTGACCAGACACCTTTGCTGCATCATTATCATCCCGCCGTCTCCCTCCATGCAAGACAGCTGCTTGCCGGCCAACATCTTACCGCGAGCGCGGACCTGTCGCTCAACACGACGTCACACTTTCTCGACCGGTTCGTGTATAAGAATCCTAAACAGGTCAAGCCGAGCGAAAATAGTCATATGGTGGGCAAGGGCAAGGGGTCGAGTGCGATGCAGCCTGCAGCGAGTGGACTGGAAAGTGGCGTCAAGCTTATGAAGGGCGAGATGACGGGCCTGGAGGGACGAGTCAACGACGAGACGTTCTTGAGGAGGAAGGAATCGGACGTCCCCGTCGACCAGGTGCGTGCGCTGTGCTTATATTGGCTTTGCCCTTCATCTGCGTGCAGCTGTTTTACTATAAGTTCTTCACGCGCAAGAGCGCCAAGGACAAGGGCAAGACGAAGGCGGATCAAGAAGACGAGGACGAAGATGGGGATGAGGCAGAAGCCGACGACCATGAGGACGACGACGACGACGAAGCGGACAGCGGCGAGGAGATGGATTTGACTGGTGACGAGGCAAAGGAAAACGGACAGGATGATGAGGATGACAATGATGGAGATGAGATGAGCGAGTTGGATGAAGACGAAGTGTGGAAGGTGCGCTCTCTACTGGCCCCATTCAACTCTTTTTTACTGATCCGGTGATGGCAGGCGATGAAAGCCAGCATGCCAAAAGCAGACGGAGACGAAGATCTACTGGACGACAGCGATGTAGATATCGATGACGACGAAGAACTCGACCTCAGTGCGCTAAATGGGGATTCCGATGAAATGGACGACGACTCGGAAGCCGCCAACTCTGCAGACGCTGACTCTGACGACGCACTGTCGTTTGCTGAAGGCTCAGACAACGAGGACCTCATCTCCCTCGACGGTGAAGGCGGGCTGATCGAGTACGATGGTGGCTCTGATGACGAGGAAGAGTGGGGTGGAATCAGTGGCGACGCAAACACCAAGAAACGCAAGCGTGACGAGGATGCATCTGCGAGCAAACGAAAGAAGAAACGCTCGTTGCCCACTTTCGCGAGCTACGAAGACTATGCCAAGATGATTGAGGATGGGCCTGAGGATTATATATAGCTTAGCGTGTTGGTGTAGGAACTAGACAACTTGACGCAAACTAGCAACGTCGTGTGTGTATTCGTTATTTGCTCTCCACGTGAGCGTGTATCCGATATGTGCACAGCCTTGGCTATTGACAGAGTTTCGCGCATCACCTACCACGTCCCCCGAAATTCGCTCATGGCAGACGCAGAGAAGAAACTGTACAAGGGTACATCCGGCCAGGCGACCCTTATTGTCGGAGGCTTCTGACACTCTTCTCAGCCAAGCTTGAAGCCCGGGACCAATTCATTCGCGAGTCGTGGGTCAAAGCCATGGAGGTCCGTCTCGTGCGCGAGGAGCTAGAGAAGTGCCGCAAGGGAGAGGGCCCGAACGCGCTGGAGAACTGCAGGTGGCTAGCCGACAAATACATGCAGATGCTGCAGGACAACCAGGTGGGTGTGCACTACTCTCCGGATTCGTCCGCTCGGCAGCGCTGACATGCCCTCAAGCTCAAGGGATACAAGACTATCGAGCGGGAGTAGATCTTTGCGGAGAAAACTTTTGATACATAGAATTCTCGATACTGCTTTCATCGACACGCTCGCATGCCAACCTCACGGGGTCTTCATTATTACACACCACCCACACCAGGTCCTGCTTGTGCGCCACTCGAGATTCTTCGCTGTCGCCGTACCTGGAACGAGCCCACGAGGCCGCAATGATTACTTTGCTAGCCCCTGCTATCTGTCTCAATCTCATATACCCCTGGAGACTGAGCCAAGTGGTAATTCAGTAGTCCTTTGACAGACAACCAGGGCCTCCTCTCAACCCAACAGATCTTGATCTTTTCTGTTTGTCCAGTGCGCCCATCCTTTTTTTGCGTCTTTGAAGGCTGCCAAAAGCTGAGGATGTCGGGTCAATATCCACGCGGGATCTGTCTTGAATACCGCACGCACAGTTCCCTCGATGTAATTGCCTTCCTTCAAGGCCTCGAATAAAGCATTTGGGTCCTTGCGGAGCTCGGGATTCTCCTCGCTCGCGGCATCAGCATCCTTCCTGATCTGCTCGGCAAGAGAGAACAGATAGTGGCGGGCTTCGTGGCTAGGGAGCCCTCAGTATGGCGATTCCAAAAACGAGTGGGAAAAGTCACGAACTAAGCTACGGCCCGGTTGAAACACCGCTTCCCGATGGTGAGCTCGAAATCGGGTGGATACGGCAAGTTGGGCGCCTCGGCGTTGTTCTCAAATTGCGTCTTTTTACCGTATCTGAGACCCTTCTCTTTCTTTTTCTGTACGTGACACGTTTATGAGTCGAGCGGAATTGGGGGCATAACGACAAACCTTGAACGTTTCATGATCGTAGATGCCTTTCGTCGTCGATATAAGATAGGAGCATGATAGATCGCAGGCGTATCTGCCTCGAGTCCAGCACGCGTGGCAATTGCTGCTGGAATCCTCCATAGTCCCAAGCGAAAGAATAGGTCGCAGATTCATGGTGGCGATGAAGGGCGCTTTCCAAGTCGAGTGGACCATTGAATCCGCAAGAGGATCGATATGTCTCTTCAGGGCGTTCACAGCAGTGGAAAAGTACTCCTCTGGACAACTTGTCTTCAACAAAAGAAGACACGAATGCAGGACGCACTCACTCTCATCTTCGGTCAGGGAATCGATGTAGTCCTCATCCGAAGAATGCAGGGCAACCATGTATTCGACGAAGACCTCGAAATGTTCATTGATCTCCCGATGGGAATAACGCATTCTGTCGAGAACTGCATTGGCGTCCGAATCGGCCTCCTCATCGTCGTCCACCACAAATGTATCTTCGCCGACGTCGTCCAGATCAGGTTCCACACCTACGTCGTCGCCGTCTTCTTCCGACGCGTCTTCCTCAAGATCAGAGAGTGAAGCTCCTGCCGTAGGCTTGCCGATGCGGTCGTCATACCCTGCATCCGATGACGGCGCGGGCGACGATCGGTTCTTGCGCCGGTGATTGTATCGGGCGAGGGCATTCTGCATCTTGTCTCGGCGTGTCGGTTTCGAAGAAGGCATTTGGGGGGCTGGATTGAGAGTTCGATGTCATGCAGACGAGTTGTATGACCAGGACACACCTTCGAGGTCTTCGTCGCCGGAATCCAATTGATATAGTTTGGCCGGGGTAGACCGCTCTACTCCTGAATCTTCGTCCTCTCCGCCTGATGGCGAGGGGTCTCTATGGCGTCGCAGACGTTGCCGTGGGGGTGATTCTGCTGTGCCTCCATCCTCGTCGCTGCTACTCTCAACCAGCGGCGATTTCTTGCGGCGCAGGCGTCGTGGTTTCGAGACCTCGTCTTCTTCAGAGTCATTTAGCACCGCGACCGTGGGCGGGGGGTTACGCTTGCGCTTGCGCGGAGGCACCGAAACATTCTCCTGTTCGCTGTCCGATTCGATGTCCACGACCTTGACCTCTTCCTCGACCTTCTCCTGAGCCTTGGGCTTTGATTCACGATTCTTCTGTTTCTTCTTGCTCTGTGGTGAAGCCACGGACTGCTCATCTGAATCCGACACGATCTTGACTACATCCGACACCCCTTTACCCTTCCTGCCTTTCTTCGTCTGACTAACAGTGTCGTCGGCGGTTTTCTTGCGCTTTTTCACAGGTATCTCCAACGGTGGCTCCACGTCCGATAGAATTGCGATGGGTGCCGACTTCTTCGACTTGGTCGGCCGTTTTATTGTCTCATTCGACGCGTTTGTGGCGCGACGCGAACTCTGTTTGACTGGCGGAGACATACAGTTCAGTTTGTTCGCGCCGAGATCCTCTGTGTCGCGTTTCCTTTTGGTTTTGAGGGGCATGGAGTGGGGAGTTCTCGTCAGAGGGCGTGAGTGTCGGTGCAGTGCGCGGCTCATGTGACATCATAAGGAAGGCGATGATTAATGATCATAAATGAGTCGTCACAGCTTAGGCTAAACGAATGTGCATGTCTCCCTCTTAGCTCAGTTGGTAGAGCGCGTCACTAGTAATGACGAGGTCAGTCGTTCAAATCGGCTAGCGGGAACATTTTGAATTTGCTTGCTATTTGTTTGCCTCTCACTCCCGCTTGCTGGCTATTCGTCTCTGTAGCCACCGCGCCGTCATTGTTAAACGTTCGATGGCAATGCATCGTCATGTCTTATGAGTCTCATGTACCAAAAACCCGCTGAATCTGCTGGAATTTTGTACGGCGTTGTTCCTATGATCGGGAGTCCACCCCGTGGTACGAATCTGCTCCGTACTATGATGTGCCAAATAAAATGACTGCTCAGGTGAAAAGGCAATATGCATGCAGACGTCGTGCATGTGACTGAGTACGCATCTAGAACACGAGGTCGTCATACATGTACACGTGATCCAGGGGAGGAAGCGTTGCTGGCTCACAGCGTAGCACAGGTTTTAGTCAGTATACCACGTACATACGTGCCGGTACTTTATCCTGCTTCTTAGCTTTACCAACGTGGGCCAGCGAATGACACAAGGACCCCAGCAGATTTGACACGTAGAATTGGCAACATTGACAAGTAACACGCCCCCAGGGAAAGACCGAAGAGAATGGACCCACAGAAGATCCAGATACTCGCGCGATGAGAAGGAGGAGGTCCAGCACAAATGACTGACACACTGCAGCTATTGAGTGAAGAAAGAGCTCGGCTCAGCGAGTTCAAGTAAGCTGATTACAGCGAACGTGGGCCGCCGCCGCCGTCGCAGACACTTCGTGGGTAATCCTCATCCTCAAGGAGAAATTGAACGTAAGTCGTCTTCGCTGATGCTGCTTTGGACAAGATGGGTGTCGACTTTGATCTGGATCGGTACATCACAGAGGTTCTCGTCAAGGCTCTGAAGTCTAGGCGCGGTGAGACTGGGACAGGGTTGCCTCGTCGACCGTGGGATCAGTCTCCCAGATCCGATGGGTGAGATGAGATACTTATCGAAGAGACAACTATAACATAAAACTCGCCAAACAGTGAGCTATGGCAAAGCTGTAGAGCTCCGGCCAATGAGGACTACGTAGATATAAGCGTGGCGCGTGACGGCTGAAGAGCATACCCCCGGATGCATCGATGGATGCATCGAGACAAAACGTGCCAGTGGCATAGAACAACTTCAGCCTCACGGCATGGACATCCATCCATCTGTGGCCCCTTTGAGGAACTGGTTTGCGTGTTTAATCTCCGTGGTGGCCGTGTCCTTAGCCGTAAGGCACTGACTTGGACAGATGCAGGCCTGGAACCGTCGTACAAGTTCGGCGAGCAGATGAGAATCCTCACCGCCTTTTCACCGCCGATAGACTATCGCAGCTCTCTCATCAGGATGCATAAGTAAACCGTAGAAGCCAGATTGATCTGGGAAGGGATTGAACAGAGATAAGAGAGATGGCAGACTGATTACGAGAGCGTTAGTGCAGCGTGGCATGACCGTGGGTGTGCCGTTTGTAACGTATAGCGAGTTTGTCCTGGAATATCGGTCCCGATGACCTGGTTGGCGCCCGACGGGTGAGTGCTGGGCTGATGCTTGGCGTATCCGAAGCTGATTTCACGCTAGACATAGCACAGCTGGTAGCTTCCCACTGGTTCTTTTGCGGGGAAATTGTCCAGAATTTGTGCGTGGTGTCAATTCGAAGGGGACATGAGCGTGGAGTGCTTACTCGCTTTGATGGGTATGGGTCTGATCCCAGCTCGAAATCACAGGCTACATAGCCGACGTTGCTATGGGCCATATTGCCGAGGTCGCTTGAGGTATTTTTTTCTCGTCCAGAACTTCGCAGGAAGGAGGAGAGCAAGACGGAGTACAATTATCTGTCTGCTCCCTGTTTTCCGGAGTTGCAAGAGAGAATGAGAGTAATGATTACATGCTATATTCCAAAAAGAAAAACATCCGTGCGGGGTTCAGCGGTGGTTCCGGGGTCCCTCCTTGGCAAAGCTGGAGCGTTGATATCAGTCCCTTTCATCACTCCCAGTCTAAGACCAGTGACTGCTGCCTCTTGCATGCCTTTTTCTCGTCCTCCACTCTCGACTGCGACTCCACACTGATGTCGCTCCTCTCGCCACCACCGAGCATACTACTGCTCCCTTCGCAACGCTCATCAACGCATAGTCTTTCTTCAGCCAGCTCTGCATCATCCAGCTCCGCATCCTCCAACTCCGACTCGTCACATACCAGTGCTAGCGTCAACACGCCCACCAAGTTGAATATGCAACCACAGCGGAAGATTCGATTTGCACCTCTCCCGGATCCCAGGAGAGCACTGTTGTTAACAGACGATGGTGCCGAACTCCCTCTGCCCGTGGCGCCGGACACCGCCGACATTCCCGCCGCCATTTATGCACCGCAGGCTGTCTATGGGTTTGGTGTGCAGCCCGCAAGCATCATTCAATCACAAACTAAAGCGCATTATGCATCCTCGAGCTCCTCGCCGAGCGCCTCTCCATACCAGTCTCCATACCAGTCACCCGTGCACCAAACTCTGCCCCTGCCCTCCCAGACTCAAACACCCCCTCCCCCACCGCACTCATGGGGCCCCTCATCCCCGTCCAAATCATCGACGTGGCCGAAACCCAAGTCGTTCTTGCGGTCCCTGCGCAAAGGTTCTGGCACGCCAGCCTCGTCGACGGACAGTCTTACACCCACACCGTCCGTGGACGCGAACAACGCTCCCAGCACGCATTCGGACTCATGGGGTGCTCCCCTTGCACGATGGGGGTCCACCAATAGCACGATTTTTGGCTCTCCTCTCGCTCGGACGCAGAGCCAAACCAGCATGACAAGCCTGAAGAAACGTGGGCGGAGTCTATTCAGCTCGAAGGATTCGAAAGCTAAAGAGGAGAGGGGGGGATCGCGGGGCCGCAGCGTTCCGCCTGCTCTCAACCCCTTCGCCAACAGCATCAACTTCGGGGCTGGCTCGAAGATGCGAGGCCAGAAAATGCTCAACGGAAGAGTTTATGGCCGTGGTGGTGAGTGGTGTATTTCTTTCTCCCTTGGTTTTGTGCTATGCCCCATATCTCAATATCGTGCCACGGCGCACCGCGGGCACACGGGGATCTTCGCAAGGTTCCACCCTCGTCATCTCATCTCATCTCATTACACACACGTGCCACGCTTGCTGCTGCCTCTGCATCCATTTTGTCCACCGCCCATCCCCGTTGAGGCGAGCTGTTTACGTATCGGCTCTCGATCGAGCGTTAATGGCGCAGCTCGGCCTTCTATGTCCCTTACTATCTCTCATCCTCGGAGGCATTGGCTCACATTCGCATTGTCACACAGGGAGCACGAACCCGTTCGCGTCCGCCCGCGATGAGGACCCGCAGTTCGTCGAATGGGGTTACGGTGGGATGGGCTCTGTGAAGAATGGTGCAGGGCATTCTGCTTGGAGTCGCGTTCAGGGTGGAGGTGAGTCTTCCTCGCTCGTCTTCTGGGCTGCTGGGGTCCCGCTAGCTCGGAATTCGCGGAGACCGCTGTCCTGTCATCCATCTGTTAGACACAGGGCAGACGCGTCGCCCGCGTGTGATTGATAATGATATGCGGGACGCGATGACCGGATGCTGATTATTTTCGCAGCGACTATGCCGGACGATCCACGCGCTCAAGGGAAATCGGAATCGAATGGACATGTCGGCATGGGCACGGTCTCTTCGTCAGGCGGAGGAGACGATGACGATGATGGAGGGGGGATGGGCTGGGTACGACGTCGGAGGGAAGCGCGAGAGAAGGAGGCTCGGGAGAAGGAGGAACGAGAGCGTGAGGAGAAAGAAAAATTAGCACAGGAAGCTGCAAACGGGAACGCGGAAGGTGGCGGTGAGATTGTCGAGCCGCAACAAGCGAATGGAGAAGACGACGTTACCTGCCCAACACCAGAGACTGTCAAGTCGAGCCCCTTACCTGACACGGACAGTACGCCCGCTGGCACGCCCTCCCTGCCACATTCGGTTCCATCCATGTCTCCCTTGCCCTCAGTTTCTCCCGCAGGCACCCCTTCGATTCCCAGTCCTGCGGCTCTGTCGTCTATTTCTCCATCGGGCACACCGTCGATGCCCAGTCCTCCGATTCCTGCTAACGGTGCACATGTCCTGCAGGCTGTGAATTTGCCTGCTGGATTCCGCGGACATCATCATCATCGGAGCAGTTCCAATGCCAATATTATGGTAGCAGCGGCCGAGCAAGCCACGCGAGATGTCCCATCTTCGAGCTCGAGTGCCGGTTCTGTGTCCGAATCTGACACTGAGGACGAGGGTGACGAGGAGGAGGACGACGGCGAGCAGGACGACGGCGACAAGGAGCTGAACGACGACGACGGTGAAGATGAGGAAGATGAGGACGAAGCTGCCGCGAGACGCCGCACTGCCCTCGGAGCCGGTGTGGAGAAGATCAGCCGGCACAAAGAACAGAATCACGACCTGCACGACTCCACTGGCTAACTTTCAACCTGCGATCCCCATGACACACCCCACTCCTCTTTGCATTATTAACTTAACATCATCGCGCAATCCAGTCTCACCTCGTTAAAAATAGTATATACTCCGTTTAGGTGCGTGCTTTGGCTGCCTGATTGTTCAATCCTGACCCAATGCCTTCGCAGTGGCCGATGTTCCCGACGACCCAGACCTCTGCATCTTTACTCTAGCTGCGCTTGCCTCCGTTTAGTAGCCTAGTTTTCTCTCTTGCGCTTCCCCCGTCACGAGCCTTTTACACTCTTGTTTCTGGGTTTTATGTTGGTTGCGGTCCTGTGTATGTACATTACAGTTATTCACTCCCGTTCAATGCAGTTGTGTCACATTTCAGATTGTCTGCAACGAAAGATGGACACAACTACTTTGTAGCTGGCGGTGCTGAGGTTCGATCCAAAAAAGCACAACTTCCCGCTAGCCGATTTGAACGACTGACCTCGTCATTACTAGTGACGCGCTCTACCAACTGAGCTAAGAGGGATGTGGCGACGACCGCAAACTTGAACCCACGATCCGTGGAGACATTCACCCGTTCTCCAAATGACAGTTCTCCCCACAGACACGAAAGGAGCGGACAGTACTGTACGCAGTAAATGCACAGCTATCTCATCAAAGATGCAACAGAAAGTGATATGAATGTGCTATACTTGGTTGTATTGTCGACGTCAGAGCCGGCACAGGCCTAAATTGTTTGTCCGACCCGTCCGAGAAGGGCAACATTGCCCGTGCTGGACAGGACCTGTGCTAGATTTCTGTTTCCTACTTCTCTCAGACCACCCTTGCCTCGTCTCGTCCCTGTGGCGAGCAAACCGAACCTCCAGCGGCAGCCGTCTCAGGCCCGATTAGCCAGCGAATTCATGTCATGTGGCCGTTCCTAGGAACAGCCAAGGCCCGAGCTCCGGCTGCCTCGTTGACACCGTCTCTCATGCACACGGCAGCACGGGTAACAGCGCGGGAGGCAGCGGGTTCGAGTGCGGAGGGGAGCGGAGCAGCGGGCGGGATCGTTCTGCCGCTGCAGTTGGTGTCCAACGGGGCGGAGCAAGTGTGCGTGTGCCTCTTCCTTGAATCATCATTTCCTCGGTCGCGCGGAGCGCGTCACTTTTACCGTCATTGACCCCGCCCGTCGTGCGGGGGTGGCTGTGGGTGACAACAAGCCTCGCTTGTGCGCCAGACCGTGTCTCCGCCGCCCAGTAGTGCATTCGCCTGACGGGCTTGCAGATCGTACACGCTCCCCGTGTTGATTGGGTCCAACGAAAGCCCACAGAACTTCTCGCTTCAGATTGACACGGGCTCCTCCGACTTGGTACGCATCCTTCCAGTTGGGATACTCTCACGTTCTGAGTGGATTCTCGCAGTGGGTAGCCTCGTCCTCTTGCGGCTCGTCCGTATGCAAGAATGCGCCGGGATTTAGTCCAGTCACCGCTTCCGCGACGGGTCTCAATCTCGACATCCACTATCTGGCTGGTGATATCTCCGGCCCTATTCTATGGGACACGGTGACAGTGGGTGGCTACAGTGTGTCGAATCAAGCATTCGGTGAGTTCAAGCCGTGATCCTCACACTCTCTAGCATACTGATCGGCTCCCAGCTTCTGCCACCACAGTAGACTCGGAACCACTCGGGTCACAGTTCTCCGGAGTACTGGGTCTGGGACCGCCTGGGAACTCCCGAATAGCTGGCCAAATCCCGCCCGTGCTAGGGAACGCACCAGATGGTGCCGTCTGGGCCTCCAACTTGTTCTCAATCACTCCAGCGACCTCGGCGCCGTCGTCACCATTCCTCTCGCTTGCACTAGAACGCCCGGGGAGCAGTACTGTTCCCTCTGTGCTAGGAATCGGCCGACATCCCGCTTCACTCGTCCCGAACGCGACTCTGGTGGAATACCACCCATTGTATCAGCCTGCAGCAGAGGGACCCTTGTTTTGGAAATCAGCCTTGACCGGGATCACAGTGTATACCGACAGCGGGAGCATACCTATTTCTCTGGGACACTCTGTAAATGGAGCATACCCCAGCGCAGTGCTTGACACGGGCGTCTCTGTGATTCTGACGACAAAGACCGTGGCCAATGCGATCTATGGCGCTATTGGAATCCAGGCTGATTCGAGCGGCAACTGTGAGTGGGGCTTGCTAGATGAGTTTCAGAACGAAACTGACAAGCGAGGGTAGATTATATGCCATGTACAACCCCTCTGAACTTGACGATCTCCTTGGATCATCGTCGGGAGATGCCCATCCATCCTCTCGATCTGTCAACTCCACCCCCATCATCTTCGTCCAATCCGGGCGACTGCATCGGGTTGATCCAGACATCGGAAGATGCGGTGCTGAGCAACCCTGCGTCGGGGATCGGAGATGTGATTCTGGGAGTGCCGTTTCTGCGAAACGTCTATACCGTTCTAGCCTTCGACGCACCCTTGACCAACGGGACGTTTTCCCCGCAGAACTTCTCCACTTTTGCTGCCGTACAACCGCATCTCGGTCTGCTGGGGCTCACAAACGCGACTGTCGCGATGGCCGAGTTCCACAGGGTCCGCGTGCTCAACGAACCTATAGGCGATGGCAGTGCGAATGTGTCAGTCGCGTCCAGCTCTGGGCACAAATCCGTGGGGATTCCCGTGGCCATCGGCGTGGGCAGTCTGGTCGGGGCCTGTTTGCTGCTGTTTGGCGTGTGGTGGTTCGTCGTGCGGCGCCAAATCCGACGACATGGGGATGGAGACTACCGCTACGACACGAAGGACGGACTGCCTCTGACTCCCTTGCCGACGGAGGACGAGCTCAGAAGCCGGCGTCATCAAGCGTATATGCAGTCTCTGCACACGCTCAGCACGGACCGCACGCAATTCGAGCTGGTCCCTGAGGAGGTGCCCAAAAACAAGGATCCGCAGGTTCTTGAATCTCACGACGCTATGTGAATCTACGACCACGATTTTGCTATGGGCGTCGGACGCTACTGCTATCTTTCATTCCTATTAAGGACTTGTTGTACTCTAGTGTGTATTCGTTAGGCTTATGATCACGATTTCAGAATCTTAGAGAAAGTCTCCTTGAGATGAAAGCACTAAGCATGAAGTACCTAGTCGTTTGGTTTCAGCATGAATGCGGCAGGAGCTCCGCTTGATCTTAGGTATCCGATGAGCATCTCAAATGGCTGTATATGGCATTAGGAGACAGTGGGGGATCATCTGGAATAGGTTGGCTCTGGATTCCCCATGAGTATCAGTGACATCAGTGAGATCGGCGACAGACAACTCAAGAACCACGTGATCGTGACATCTATGATGTCTCTCCTGGACCAGTGCCCGCGCTCTCCAGCCAGAGACACCATCGAGAAGTATCGAGCTTCCTTCCTCATAGCACCGAGGAAACAGCCGGAATGCGCTTTAGGTGTGGGTCATTTGCCTTATGACTCGATGCCTCGCGACTTGGGCCTGCCGCGTCCCAGGTACGTACGCAGGAGCCCGGATTCGCATATAAGCTTGGGAGATAAGGACGTTTCTCCTCCTCCTTCCGTCAGACCACAATGCCCAGATGCACTCGAGCTAGGGGGGACTATGAGCCCGGGGATGAGCGTGCTTCACGGTCGCGTTGCTGTCAGCGCGGTAAGTGCAGTTCCACTCCTTTTCGGACTGCCGCTCATTCACACGGGGAAGCAATCAGCAGAGACTGGACGCCAGTCGTTTTTAATAAGACGAATATCTACGCCAGTCGTTTCTATACTGCAAATACCGTTCGGTACACATACAAACTCAATTCGTTCGGTAGGCGGTCGTTCTGTCATATCGCAGCTATTCACTGACCACAAGAATGTCAGAATTTGAGCTTTTGCGTCGACTTTCTGACATGAGTGCATATTGCGATGTGCCCAGTCGACCTGCCTGCGCTTCTGGGACGCGCGAATCCACGCTTCATGACCTCACCGAATGGGCATGCAGCAGCACCGCTTCCTCCGGTCGCGCTCTGCAGCTGGCAGGTCCAGCCGGCGTCGGCAAGTCTACCATACTTCGCAGCCTTACTTCGAGACTGCGTGCAGCAGGTCGTTTGGCGGCCAGTTTCGCGTTCTCGGCGAGCCACAAATGCGATTCTTTCGTGTTTACACTGGCGTATCAGCTTGCCTGTAACGTTCCATCTCTGCGGGAACATGTTTTGGCCGCTGTCCGCAAGGATCCTAAGATCGCTTCCCGTAGTGCATGGGTGCAACTGAGGGAGTTGATTGTGCAGCCGTGTTCTCAGGCTGATGTATGCGGCGGCCCATTCACATTCATTATCGATGGTGTCGACGAAGACGACTTATTCCAGGATCTATTCCGCCTCTTCTCATCCGCTCTACGCCAACTTCCCGCATTCAAGGTCGTAACTACGGCGGAGGACTGCGGTGGAACCGTTCACCGCGTCGAGCCGTCAGTGCAGGATGTGCGGGTGTTGTTCGAAGCAGCACACGTCGATGCTGACCTGGCCGAATTCTCTGGGGGTTGTCCTCTCTACGCTTCCACCCTAATCATCTACCTGGAGGACCACAAACTTGAAACGGGCCTCAAGCCTGGACTGGATGCGCTGTACACATTTGTTCTCTCACAGGTGCCCTGGCGTGACGCTCTCCTTGTTCTGCTTGCGATTCTCGTCACACCGTCGTTTGCTGGTCTTACGGTCGAGCACGTTGACCAGCTCGTTCCTGGTGGGGCCCGACGGTTGATGCGCTATTTGCGATGCGTTTTGGATGTGTCGACCATGGCTATGGCTGTTCGCCATCCGTCAACGTTTATTGCATTCCTCCTCGATCCCAGTCGGTCAAGTCAGTTCTGTGTGGCCGAGTCGACGTGTTTGGTCCGAGCGATGCTGCAAGTCTGTGGCGAGACTCGTGTCAACCACATTGCATGGTGAATCTCCATCCTATCTGCGCATATTAGGCACTAAGCTGCACGGCAGGAAACACCTGACCACGATGGTCGACTATATTACATCCTCTGACCCAGACCCCGGACTTCTGCCAATCGTGCAGCAATTCAATCCAGATTACCTTTTTGGCACTCTGTCCGCTTTCGAGGCGTCGGGTGTCCGGATGATTCAGTGGCTGCAGAAGTTTGACCCACTGCCAACGGAACTTATTCAGCTCTGGAATGACTACGCATATCTTAACCACTTCCATTCTATCGTCAACGACTTCGACTTTGATCAAGCGCCGAACCGCACAAATGCCTCATTTGCGTCGCTGGACTGGGACCCAGAACTGATACGGCTGCTTCGTGTCTCGGTGATGTTGCCTGCGCTCACTCCTCTCTTCCCGTTCCGAGTGCTGCTGGGGATGAGTTGGGATGAGTTGCGGAAGGCTGCCTGTTCTCTGAGATCCGTTGATGACGCCAGCTTGGCATCGCTTTGGAGATTGGCCTGGCAGGATCCCAGTTCTTGGGATGGGGTGTTCCGTGATGTCGCACTTCAGAGCATCCGGACGATGAAAGCAGCGCACGCGGATGTGCTTCCGCGCCAAGTCATCGGGTGCGCACTGTTTCCTTTGCGTCGTTCTTGTTGGCGCTGACAAACGCCCTAGGTTCTGGATGGAATGGGGACGATTCGTTCGATCCTCTCCTCCCTGTCCGTTATTGGCAAATGAGCTTGCCAGTTTTGTGCCGGAGGACGACTGCTTCTCGATTGCGACTGAGGTTTATGATGTCATCCGTTGGCTCGAGGTGTGTAAATATAGAGCGCATGTTCTCCCTGAGAAACCTTGACCGACGAATCCTCAGGTGTTTCCCAAAGGCCTTCACATGCAAAGAGAGCGCCATCGCTGGATGTCATATATTCCTGGATCGACACACAATCTGGACGACCTCCGCGATGCTTTTGAGACGAGATGGGAAAGCTGGAAGGATATTGAAAGACTTCTGGTCACTGATATGTAGACTGTTATTCTTGTGTATGCCCCGGTTCCATTTAGTCAATGTACTTGTGTTTATTCACCCAACCCATGAGCTGCGCATTGATGATGAGTTGCTTTGTAGTGGCGGTGATCTATAGATTCGTGACACCAGTCACAATACGTGACTTCCCATACCAACGCTCCGCCTCCATCTCCAATCCCTCGGCATCCAAGAACACCTCAATGGCAAGCAAAGCGGCCTACAAGCGAGTTCGTCGCCTCTCTCGATGCTGATACGCCGGCGCTCAATCACTTTGGATAGCTCACGAAGGAGTACGTGACAATGCAGAAAGAACCTCCACCATTCGTCTGGGCCGCCCCAGATGAGAAGAACATTCTCACATGTGCGTCTCCTTAGTCCTCGTATCCACCGGGGATCTCATCCGGAACTGCTCGTAGGGAACTTCATCATTGTACGTGCCTGTCGTGTCGATCCTGGAACCCGCCAAGATCCCGCCAACTCACTCATTGGTGTCTAGCGTGGTCCATCCGACTCTCCTTACGCAGGCGGCGAGTATCACGGCGTGCTCATGTTCCCCTCCGAGTACCCTTTCAAACCCCCCGGAATCAAGGTATCTGGCGCATGCCCGTGCCAGGACGAGTCGCTGATAGCACAGTAGATGATGACACCCTCCGGACGTTTTCACCCTGACAAGAAAATCTGTTTCTCAATGTCGGATTTTCATCCTGGGACGGTGTGTCGCGCATGAGGGACGGCAGTAGCGTGGTTCTGACTCTGGTTTGTAGTGGAACCCTGCATGGAGTGTCGCGACAATGTGAGTGACCCCATTCTGTTCTCTGCATCCTGTTCGATGTATTTCTCCATTCTCGGACCCTTTTGAGCTTCGAGCTCTGCGGGATCTGTCTATGCCTTCGGCTCTCGCTCCAGTCATTAACCGGCCTTCGCAGATTGACCGGACTGTTGTCGTTCATGCTGTCGGATGAAATGACGACAGGCTCCGTGAACACATCCGATGCGCATAAGCGGGTGTTCGCTGCGCGCAGTCACGAATGGAACCTGGGACAGTCTCGATTCAAGGACGCCTTTCCGGAAGTACGACATCGCCATCTCCGCTCTACTTCCTCATTGAGCTGACACCCGCCACGCAGTACTGTACGCCGCAGATCCGAGACGTCCCGAACATGGGCGAGAAAGAACGCGGGGCTTCCGCTCCAGCACCGCCACAGCCGGAACCCGTGTCAGCTGCGCCAGCCACTTCCGAGAACAAGGCGGTGATTCCGGTGGATGATGCGGTCAACTGGACGACGTCCTTAGGCCAGGTTCTGTGGGAGAAGTGGCGATGGGGTCTGTTCATCATTCTAGCGGTCGTTGTCTCGCGGATCTCCTCTCCAGCTTGAAAGGACTGTCACGGAACAGATGATTGTTTACCCACATTCTTTGTCTTTACCACCCTCCTCAACAAGACCAATCCTTTTTAGTTTTACATAGTTGCGTAATCTCCTGCTAGCTATCTACGCCGTTGTATCATCAACCTGTATTCCGTCCGAGGATCACAGACTTGAGAAAGCCCTCCAGCGATTAGGACCATTATTGTTGGGGATGCGGATCACATCGCGATCACCTGACCGGTTCGGACCGGCACGTGAGAGCGATGATCTGCACTGCGGCCAAGTAGAAGTTGCATGGGAAGATCAAACACCATCTGAGCCGGGTGCCATTCCAGATATATGAGCACAATAGACGTTGGCTTGTCGGTGGCGGCCGCGATGGCGGCTGGGCTTTCCCAAATGCGCTTCGGCTCTAGATATACCCTGAGAGGCTCTCGGGGCTGACACATGTTGGCCCCGGTCGTACCTTCGCGCTATTATTCGGGACGGAGACTGGAGAGAGACAATCGATTAAGGGTAGAGGGCGCAACAAGTCTCCCGGGTCCATTCCATGGCGCTTCGGTTGGATCAGGAAATTGCTTGAGCGTTCAGTTCAATCCACCAGTCAAGTCGCCATGGTCAGGCTCCAGGTACTCCAACTTCGATGAGTGGGAAGGGAATGCTGAAAGGATCGCGGTCACTCCCAGAGTTCGGATTCTCGGTCAGTCGCACCGGTGCGCGTAGTCGCGTGATCCCGGACAAGAAGAACGCAGTGAGGATATCGTGTCAGTAGCAGCAAACCCTATCGGAGCCACGTTCTCGACTTCTGTGAGCCAGATACCGAGCGTGCAGGGAGCCAGGCAGCTGTCCGGGCATTGGATCATGCATGCGGACTGACATGCGACAGTGGCGCGGCGGATATTAGTCTCGTAGATCGGCGTCCACCCGTAGCGTAGCACACGAAGGGAAGTACGGTATCAACAATGGGATCTGCGATGCTCCACCGTATCATACATCCAGCTCGCGCAAACTGCCCGTGCGTGCCATGAGCTGGACACATGTTTGTGCAAGGTCCGGGGCATGGGGTATGGGGCATGGGGCATGGTGGAGCAGCGACACAGACGAGACCGGTCGAAACCTTGAAACAGTTCAGAGACTAATGATAGGGGACCCATAGATTCCAGGTAGCTGAGACGCAAGGTAATATTGCTGAGCACCGTAACCCCAAGATGTTCTGCAGGTATGCACTGCATCTAACCCCCCTTAATCAGGGCCCTTGCCATATATGGTTAGGTCTAGGCTACTCTGGATAGCCACAGCCGCACACGTGTAGCCTAGACCCTTATGTCATATATTGCTACATCATGGATACCTGTCATAGCCAGACTCTGTCTACCTCCACGCGGCAATTGAACATTGATGGCGGACATGAGGTCGATGAACGATCACATCATTCTGATGAACCCGGCAACAATTAGGGAACGCTTGGACATCGTCTTCATGAGTTTGGGGACCATTAGGACTCAAAACTAAATCATCTATGGCTACCTAGAGTAGCCAGAGGGTAGCCATATGTCAGATCCAGGCATAGCCAGACCCCCCTGGCTAGCTGCGGCTACAGACCCCCTGGCTACTACCCCCTTAGATGCAGTGATGCCGCAGCTTTGACATGAGCCGGTGCGCCATCACGCTCGATAGCAAGCACAAGGTGGTCCAAGAAAGGAAAGGAGGGGACAATTGAACGAACATGTTTGTTTGTGCGGGGTCGCCTGAGTTCGACAGGAGCTGGGAAGGAAATCAATGCAAGATAGTCCAAAAATGCGCGCAAGCAACCGTGTCCGTTTAGCGCATAGCAGTTTGGGTCGGGTTGAAAATCCGAAGAATCGCAGACTGCACGTCTCTGCTAAGAGCGAGAATTGGACCATCTGGGACGGAAAGATTGCGCACGCCGGTGCACCTAAAGATCGATTCAGTGGTTGTCGAATTGGCTTACGGACCATTAGTGAGGGGCAGAGAGAAAACTATTCTCTGGCCACATGATGTTTCCACCGAGGCTCTTGTCGTAGTTATGCCCAAAAATTGAGTCCATCGCCGAACAGATTACACGGCATGTGGCTGAAAGTAGGAGCGATATTGAGGGTGGGTAGTTTCAGAGGTGAAGGCGGTGAACGGATTTAGGAAAGATGCGTGACTCAGTAACGATCTTTGCGTGAATGTCGGGGGCAGACGTCTCGACAGCGCTATGGTGGCCCAGTCTAACAACTTGAAGATGACTTGTCTTGCCAGTGTGGGCTCGAACAGCTTACATAAGCGTGATGCGATATCACAATATTTCGACTGTGTTGTGGATGAGAAGTCGCACGTGCTTGCGGGCGATATCCTGCTTCAAGGATATCCTTGATTACTGAGAAGCGTTCCAAGAGGCTTACTTCATTTAGAAGTGGGTTGAACAGTTGCAAGAAAATTCTCCGGCTCGGCTCCCAATCAGGTGATCGTGTTTTGGCCGATTCGCGGCTCGGGTTTTGGACGCCGAGGCAGGCCGTAAGCCTCGGCTGAGTTCCGACGTCCATGAAACGAAACGCCGACAATGACCTCCCGAAGGAGACTCATTGCCAAGAAAGTCATGTACCCAAACCTTCGTGAAGCCTCGCACAAGCATTAGACGATGCTTATGCCATGTCTGACAAACAGCAATTGTATTGCCCCTGGATCGACCGACAAAGTCTCAGGCCCCGCTCTACCGACCGCATCGCTGTCTAGCATCGATCGGCGCTCGCAAACTTTGTACAGCCTCGCTGTCTCAAGCCCCGTATTGCCGACCGCATCGCTGTCTCAACGTGCACGGGCCATTCCCGATTGACATGAAGAAGTGCATATAAGAAGAGATGGCTTTTGCCATGAGGACTAACCCAGAAGCCCCTACCATGACGTCCTCACTCAACTCTTGCCCGACCGAACTCTGGGAGCAGATTCTGTCCACCCTGTGGCACTCACCACTGTCTTTTGCGGAGAGGAAGCAATTCATCCTCGCCTCGACGTTAGTGTGCAAGAGATGGAGCGCCGTGTATGATCTGGTTGCAGCTCGCGATGTCTATATCGTATCCCCCACCCCGTGCGACGAGTTCCGGCAGCGCGTCCGGGCAGAAGCCACGGCATCGACCCGTGCTGCTATAGCCCGAATCGGCGCTGCACCCACCCATCAGGGCCAGTCGTTCGTGCAACGATTGCTCCAGCGCATCTGGCCCCACAGATCGGCAGCCGAATCCACCCAGGCGCCGACGAACAACTTCCGATGCCGCTCTATAACCATTTCGCTCACCAACTGCCCTTCTACGGGCCGCCTCTCTCTGGGCTCCTGCCTCGACGAGCTGCTCGAAACCCTGGACGTGTTCTCCGAAACCCTGCCCAATCTCCGAAGACTCAATATCGAATACACAGACGCGTCGCCCGATGATCTCTTCACGCGGCGCACCTTCGCGGGCCTCCCACCCCAGCTGACGCATCTCCACATCCGATTTACGGAGACCGCGTCTTCCGCTCCAGCCGCGGAAAACACTGAGCATCCCGCGCGAGACCCGCCGCGTCCCAAGTGGTACTCGGAGACCCCCGTGATCGTGTCGATCTTTGGGGTCAACGAAAATGTGGTGAAGAGGATGAGTGAGGCCGTCCCCTGCGGCAGCGTTATCGCAGCAAAAGACTGAATCGGAATGGTAGTTTCGTGTTAAGATTTTGCGTACTTCTCTGTCTCATAATAGTTTAATGCTCACCTTGGCTATCTTGCGACCACTGTCTTGAATCACCATTCACGAGCACGTCATCGAGCTCAAATCAGACTGATTCTGAGATCACCTAGGTATTTGAGCTGAAAGCCCTCCAGCTCGCTGCTCTCTGGGCCACTGGAACATATCTCAAGTTGGTCCGATTGAAGTGCAAACGGCTACAATCGCCGATCCTTGCCACCCGATCTGAACTGCTGAAAATCGAACGTGCATACTCTATAGCCCAGTACTCACAGAGTGGATGTTAGCGATAGGCTCTTCTGACCGTATCCATATTATCGAATCTGATCAATATCTTATCTATCTTGGTTGTGTACACGATCTCTGATAGATGCATGGGACTAGTAAGTAGGCAAAAATTGAAAGCAAGACCCGCGTGTCGTCAAAAATCAACTGAACAAAATCGATATGCGTTGTGCGACGGTGGTGTGTCAATGCGGATTAATGGGTACTCACTTTGAGTGGAGATCATGTGCCATCACAAAATTCAAACTCCGGGCAGAACTCCTGGAGGCCCCTAAATCAACTCCAGACTTGGTCTATTTTCTCTTTCCTTATGACTAAATCTGCTCCACCCGATTCAACTCTTCAAGCTTCATAGTTCCAAGTGACAGCGTTAGTCGGTCGGGCTCCAAGTCGCCACGCAAAGTCGGTGTCGCTGCTGCACGCTACATCTCCTCCGACCTCCCATCCCCCAGCAGACAGATAACAACGCACTCGCGATCTGGAAAAACAGTATGGAGGCCTACTTCAGAGGTGTCATTTCTATAAACGAGATGCTGGAATCGATGGCGAAGGCCACCGCGGAAACAGAGGATTGCATCAAGATGATGGCGAAGCTGGGCCAGCCCGCATTGGACGAAGCTCTGCGTTCTCGCAAAGCTTCAGAAGCCCAAAACGTTGCCAGAAATGCCGAGGCACGTGAGAAGGGTGGCAAGCCCAAGGATCGTCGGCGGAATGAGCAGTCCATCATCGATACAATGGTGCGCACCATCTCCATTTTTCAAATCATGCTATCTCACTTTGTCTTGCCCTTTCAGATCCCGTATCTCAACAAGATTGTTCAAAATTTCCCTGCCGACCACAAACCCAAATTCGAGGACACGCACGCCCGCAGAATTGCCAGCGCGGACGATCCAGCCGATCATTATACCGCACCGGACATCACTGCGTATCGGCCAGGACTCGACTCTTCAGCTCCGTACACCTGGCGAAACATCGGATTTGTGGCCGAAGTCAAGGACAGTCTGTCTTTCATCGTACGCCGGAGCAAGCACGAAGCCGAAGCTGTCGCTGACGGTCAGGCAAGTGCTCCCATTGACGACGAGGAGATTGGCGAACCAGTTGCGCCCCAGGACGAAGACGACAAGGACACCAGTGCCCAAAGCGATAGTTCCGAGACTCGCAGTGACCCCACACGATACCGACTCACCAGAGGCCAAGCAGGTCGCAAGGCCTATGTGCAGCTGGGGAAGAGCGCGAGGAGCATGCTCCTCGCGTCTGGTGGTTTGCACGTCTACCTCCTATCCATCGTTGGCAGAGCGGCGTTCATCGTCCGATTCGATACTTCTGGGTGGACGGCGACTCCGCCAATCAACTTACAAGAAGACAACACGGTCTTGCCTCGATTCTTCCTCCGACTGTACAATCCGCCTAACACACCAAACCTGGGTTCGGGCCGGATGGCCGGCGACGATTTCACAATCACGCCTCTCACGGACCAGGAGAAGACCAGGTTGCGGGACGCATTGGCAACGAAGGGAACATACGCATCGGACTTGGAAAGTGTTGACGGCGATCTGACGATGCGCAGCGTGTCGATGCTCGCGGTGCACTCGATTGACGGTCCTGACGGCAAGCGGCAGCACCGACTCGTGCGCTGTTTCACATTCGGGAAGCAGCTGTGGCTCTCGCATGGCCTTTTCAGCCGCGCAACGAAAGTGATTCGGGTCATCCTTGAGTGCGATCTCGACAAAGACAATCCCACTGTCTACGCGCTCAAAGACTCGTGGCGCCAAGGCTGTCGACGACCCGAGATGCACTACTACGATCTCATTGACGACTTCAGGAAGAGAAATCCTCATGTCGTGGAAGCTCTTCGAATTGGGTCCATGGCCGAATGCCATGGCTCGATCGACTTGTCGCTGACTTTGCCCCTGGACCTCGTCAGAGAGAAAGACGGATACAAGTGCGATGTCGAGTGGGATACCGAGTCTCACAAAACGAGTTCCATCCTCGGACACCCCGATGAGCTCGTTGTCATCCGTTATCATACGCGGACTTTGTTGACTCCCATTGGTGTTCGGGTGGGGCGATTCAAACGGGTCAAGGATTTGGTCGAGGTGATCCGGAACGGTCTAGCTCGTGAGTTGTCTTGTGTCTGCTATGAACATGATCTCACTGGTAACGCAGAGGCCGCTCTCGCTCATCTCGCAGGAGTTCGACATCGCGATATCAGCAACGGCAATCTCTTGGTCGACGAGATCCTCAAGACCGGATTCCTTCTCGATTACGATTACGCCGAATTCACGCCGGAGGGTATCACAGCTTACAAAGCTCTGCTTGAAAGCCGAGGTTTACCGGACGACATCGATTTATACGAAGAAGTCGAGATGAGCTTCACAGATATCATTGTGCGTTTCACCAATTTTGTCTTTTCGCACTCGTTGACATTGGTCAAAGGGTACGACTCCTTTTCTGGCTCTCGATCTCGCTTTCGGCGAACCTGTTACGCACCAAGACTATCACGACATCGAATCGTTTTATTGGCTCTTGATCTGGACCATCCTCCGGCACACTCCTCCAGAGTTACATGGTCACCACCGATACAAATTTGCACAATTATTCAATCCTGATTCTCCGGCTGAGAAATTTTCGTGGATGCTCAATTACAAGACTGTTGGACCGCCAGGCTCACCGCTTGCCAGACTTTCTCTTGCACTGGTGATTCAAGTGAAAGAACAAAATCGAGTCATCGTTCCACCGGTGACGCCAATAGAACCAACACCCGAACTTGCCTCGCGATTGAATCTGGTCTTTGGGAACCGCAATCGAGTCTCGCCTACTGTCCCTGATGTCCTGCCCCCTCAGAAAATGCGATGGGATACGGTCTTGGAACTGTTCGGATCTTCGCTCAACATAGAAGGCTGGGACACGATGCCAAATGATGGATGGGTTGAGTACATTCCTCCCTCCACGCCGGGGTCCACCCTACCAGACGAAGATGACTCTGGGACTCTCACAACTCTCGGACGCGAGTCCATCTCAAGCCCCAGGTCCGTGGGATCATTGTCCCGTGCGCCTGATATACACGCCAAGCGACGTGCGGACCCATCCACCAGGGGCAGTAGTGGCTGCAAGCGACGCAAAGCCGCGGGTGGAGACGAGACCGTTGGTCGTGCTACTACTCGTGATGATATCGACTAGCTACGTGTGATTTCTCCGAATTCAGTCATTGTTCATCGATGAGAATGTGGTGAAGCCCAATCGAGACTCAAAAGCAGCTTGGCACGTGGATCCTGAAATACTTTGGTCTTTTGGTTGAGGAGACCCCCGACTTGCTGCTCTCCGGTTACTGGGATATATCTCCAGCTTAACGCAGGGCCATACGATTCAAACGGCTAAAATGACCGATCCTTGCTGCCAAATATAATATTCGGAAACTCGAACGTACGTATCTCTGAAACCCAGTACACACAGCAGTAGAGTATCGAGCAAGGATGTGATCTAAGTTGAAAATGAAGCTGTAATCATGCATTATACAATATGGAACATCTATACGTCAATGGGACCCCAACTACTCTATAACATCACGAGCGGCATCTCGGCCGATTCTCTCGTCCTGACCTTGGGCCTTGCGTCGCTTGCTGCTGGTTCCTTCACGTGTATCCCGTGCCTGTCGTTTAGATCCTCTGTCCTGGGGTATCGAGCCCAAGGCGGTGGGCCCGGAGATCGACTCGCGTGTGAAGATAGCATTCAGGGCACGGGTGTCATTTTGAGTGACTGTGGTGAGCTTCTGCGTATAAGGGGGCGTGTATTTGACCCAGCGATCGTTTGGCATCGCGTCCCAGCCTTTTTGTGCGAGCCAACCCCCGACGAGCGTCACGACAGCGCGAAAGTCCATCTTCATTGCCGGTTTAGCCGTTTCGACGGGAGGTTCCTCAACCGGAGCGAACGACTCGTCGTCCTCGCCCAGACTCGGGATAGCGAACGAAGCGGTTGGCGGATTATTCAGGATCGGGACGGCCACTCGATTCTGCTCCTGAACCAGCTTCACCCATTCCAGAGTGAGTGATCGAAGCGGTGAGTCAGGTGGCCCAACAACTTGATAATCAGTTATCCATAACTTTTTTTTGTCAGCTGAGTCGAAGCCGAAAAGTGCAGCGAATTTATTTTGTTGATGACCATGGAACTGAGGAGTGGTATGTCGAAGGATGATCCAAATGAGAAGCCAGTAGAAAGACTCGATGTCGTGGTAGTGCTCGTGGGTGACATCTTTGTTGAAAGCGAGATCTAGGGCGAGAAACGGAGGCGTGCCCTGGCCTTCAGTCAGATCATGTCGAAAGCGAAGCACAGAAGGGACGTACCGTGATCTCTTTCAAGCTTTTGTTAATGTCCTGGTAGAGGTGTTCGTCATTTCGCGCGCGGTCTTTGGATAACTCGGTGAATGCATCGAAACCCTCGGGCGTGAATTCGGCGTAGTCGTAATCGAGCAAGAATCCGGTCTTGAGAATCTCATCGACCAAAACATTGCCGTTACTGACATCGCGATGTCGCACTCCGGCACGATGTGCTAGCCACGCCTCTGGATAGATAGTCAGTCGACTGGGCCGAGACAAATGAATCAACTGACGGGTCAGAGCATCATATATCACCTGAACAACATCCTTCACGCATCCAAATTTCTCCGTGCGAAGACCGATAGGCGACAGCAGAGTGCGCGTATGATAGCGAACGAGGATGTTCCTCGCTTCCTTTGACAATCGATCAATGGAAGACGTTCGATGGGATTGTGCGTCCCACTTTCCATTCCACTTCTCAGCTGCCTGGAGTTTCATAGGTAGAGTCAGAGACAGATCGAGAGAGCCATGGCATTCAGCCACCGAGCCGATCTTCAATGCTGCCAAGACATGAGGATTTTGCTTGCGGTAGTGGGCAAGCACGTCATAGTAGTCCACCTCCGGCCTGCGACAGCCTTGGCGCCACGAGTCTTTGAGCGCATAAATCGTAGGATCGGGGTCCTTGAGATCGCACTCGAGGATGACGCGAATCACCTTCGTGGCACGACCGAAAAGACCGTGCGAAACCCAAAGCGGTTTTCCGAACGTGAGGCAGCGCACAAGTTTGTGCTGGCGCTCACCCGCGGGTCCATCGACGAACTGGACAGTAATCATCGAGACGCTGTGCCTGGTGAGGTTGCCTTCGGTTGCGGCCAAACGAGATGCATAACCACTTTTCTTCCTCGCCAGCGCACTCTTCAGTTTCTTCCTTTGCGCTTTCGTCAGCGGGTTGATGGTGAAGTCATCGCCGAGGATGCGACCGGGCCCAAACCGAGGCGCTTTGGGTGGATTGTAGAGTCGAAGGAAGAATCGTGGCAGAATCGTGTTGTCTTCCTTCCAGTGGATGGGAGGAGTTACCGTCCAACCGGAATTGTCGTAACGAACGATGTGGGCGGCTTTGCCAACAACGGAGAGAAGATAGATGTGGCAGCCCCCAGACGCGAGAAGCATGTTCCTTGCACTCTTCGCCAGCTGCACGTAGGCCTCTCGGCCTTTCCTCCCACGAGTAAGTCTGTATCGCATCGGGTCCTTGCGGACCTCCTTCTCATCGACTTCACCCCCCGTGCCCTGATCATCGTCGTCTTCTTCAGCTTGCGGGTCGATATCCTCCTCAACCACAATCTCATCTTCGATTTCGGCCACCTCCTCGTCGTCGTCCGCATCGTCGTCCGCGTCGTCATCATCCGCGTCGTTGTCGTCAGCGTCGTTGTCATCTTTCTCGTCGCCGGCTTGTCCGTCCTCTTCGCCCTCTTCATTCTCAGCTGCCGAGTGTCCTGGTTCCCCTGGATCGTTGGTTTGCTCGGCGTCGAGGGCGGCCTGCATCTCTGACGCGCTCCGCTTCACGACAAAAGACAGGCTGTCTTTGAACTCGGCGACGAAACCGATATTTCGCCAGATGAGTGGAACCTCGGAAGCGGGAACGAGTGGAGCCTTGGAAAGGTCTCTCGGTCGCAGGGCGATAAGATCGGGCGCAGTATCGTGGTCGGCTGGGTCGTCCGCATTAGGAATCAGCCGCATATGAGTGTCCCTGAATTCTGGCTTGTGCTTGTCGGGGAACGCTTGCACGATAGCGGAGAAATATTCGGTCTTGAAAAGGTATGAGCTGATACGGTTCCATGACTGTGCATGACACTCACCATCTCGTCCAATAAAGTCTGCTCGTTCCGTCGGCGTGGTTTCCTCTTATCTGCATGCTCGCGGGGCGTGGGGTCGAGGGCGGCATTATGCGCAGACAATGCTTCACGCGATTTCCAGGCCTCATCCAATGAGGGCTGTCCGAGCTCCACCATCGTGCGAATGAACTTCGGTGTTTCGAGAGAGGGCTTTGGCATTGAGTCGAGCATCGACTCCGTGGAGATCACGCCCCGGAAGTGATCTTCAGACATCTGCACCCAGTGGTCGAAGGTGTTGTCGTCCTTTTGTTTGCGGGACTGCAAGTCGGTGGCACCGTGACGAGCGGCAGAAAGGCGTGGTTTTCGAGGAGAGTGGGACGTCGATTGACCTGTGCCACCTGTGAATCCATGAGATAGAGACCGGACCACACAAGGGGACGCATACTTTGTGTCCGGTCGGACTGTTGGGGAGCAGGTTCAGACATGTCAGACAAGAGGAAGATGTTTTAGGGATACGTACACGTCGCAAGCTCTTTTATCAAGGGCCACGGGACTAGTTCGGGCGAACAATGCAAGAGACAATCGAGCACTTCAGAGAAGGTTGAGAAGAAGCACAGACTGGAATCAGCACTGCCATCGACCCAATCGAATCCTCGCTGTCAATAACACGTGAAGGCAGTCACGGCCGCGCGATGCTGAATCGTTGGTTGTGGATGGCCTAGTGAGCAGAAATGAACGCCATCCTCTTATGCATACGAAAGGGAAGATTTTTTTCTCCTTCAGCAAAAGATCTGTTTGAGAGAGCATGCTCTTGACGTGGGAGGGGAACCTGGTCCCAGGTCATTGTCATTGTTGGCGTGACTGTTCGTGTTTGATGATCACGCCGTTGGCGGTTCTCACAGATGATCGACCGAAGTGCTGTTCTTGTCTACTCAAGTTTCATCCCCCAACCAGTGGTCAAACACTTCCCAGAACGTAGACGGACAAACATCTTCACACGCAGAACACTATCCTTTTCCAATCGGAACTGACACACTTATCATGCTCACGAGACCTCTGTACCAGTGGCTTGCTTCCCACACCACATGCAAGACTACGACCTCTCCCGCCCTCTCGACTCCACGGGTCTCAGACAAGGGCTGACGAGCTACGGGGATGCCCATTTCTCCCTCTTCCTCCGCCGAGTGTTTATCAAGGCGGCGGGATACGGCGAAGACGCGCTCACCCGACCAGTCATCGGAGTCATCAATACACATTCCGGATTCAGCCCTTGCCATGGGAATGTGCCGCAGCTCATTGAAGCAGTCAAACGCGGGGTGCAGCTTGCAGGGGGTCTGCCGATCGAGTTCCCGACGATCAGCTTGCACGAATCGTTCGCAGCGCCGACCAGCATGTATCTGCGCAATCTGATGAGCATGGATACGGAGGAGATGATTAAGGCTCAGCCGCTGGATGCTTGTGAGTGCTCTTATCCGGTGGAGATCGTGGCTATCGGTTTGCTAAACAATCCGTCTCAGGCATTATGATCGGAGGATGTGACAAGACGGTTCCCGCCCAACTCATGGGCGGAATCTCTGCAAACAAGCCTATTTTGCCCCTTGTGACGGGTCCCATGATGTCTGGATCGTACAAGGGCGCTCGTATTGGCGCGTGCACAGACTGCAGGAACAACTGGGCGAATTACAGGGCTGGCGTGATTGATATGGAGGACATCGCAGCGCTCAACGATGAGCTAGCGCCTACTGTATGTCTCTTCAGCTGAATTTCTCGCTCGCTCTCAAGTTTCAAGCAGGTTGGAACGTGTGGTGTGATGGGCACCGCGAGTACTATGGCCTGTATCACGGCTGCTTTGGGCCTGATGCCGCTCCGAGGCGCTTCAGCTCCAGCTGTCTCTGCAACTAGACTGAGGGTTGCCGAAGAAACCGGACGAAACGCGGTACACGCTGTGTCAGATGAACACCGCCCACAGACCATTCTGACGCGGGATTCGTTTCTGAATGCGATTACTGTGCTTCAGGCCATCGGGGGCTCCACAAATGCTGTAGTCCATCTCATGGCCATCATCAACAGACATCCCGCTGTTTCTGGGACAATCTCCCTTGACACATTCGACGAGATCGGGCGGGTGACACCCTTGCTTGTCGACTTAAAGCCTAGCGGAGACAACTACATGACAGATTTCCACAACGCAGGTGGTATGGAGGCCCTTCTGCACAAACTACGTCCGCTCCTCAAGCTGTCTGCGCGCACGATCACGGGCCAGACGATGGGGGAGGTCCTGGATGCCTCTCGGATCCACGATTTTGCGTATGCTGACGAGATCGTTCGGCCGCTTTCAAATCCACTCTACCCGCGCTCGTCTATTGTCGTTCTCAAGGGCAATCTGGCACCCGGCGGAGCAATCATGAAGGCCTCCGCGTCCAAGTACCGGCACTTGCTCGCCCATTCAGGTCCGGCGGTTGTCTTTTCCGACACTGGTGATCTGGCGCGCCGGATTGATGACCCGGATCTGGATGTCACACCCGACTCGGTCCTCGTTCTACAAGGCATCGGGCCCATCGGCCATCCGGGAATGCCTGAGGCAGGCCTGATCCCCATTCCCCGGAAACTCGGTGCCACCGGTGTACAGGATATGCTCCGCATCTCCGACGGTCGGATGTCTGGAACTGCAGGCGGGACGATTGCGCTGCACATCTCTCCAGAATCAGCTATCCCCGACTCGGTATTTGGCATCATCAGAGATGGGGACATCATCCGGTGTGATGTCGAGAATCGGTTACTGCAACTCGAAGTCGGGGAGGAGGAGATCGCGCGACGCATCGAACAGAGAAAACAGGTGGATCTGTCAACCCGTGGATCTCCAAAACGGATCAGAGGTTACAGGCATCTTTATGAGAAGAGCGTGAATCAGGCAGAAATGGGTGCAGACTTCGACTTTTTGGTAGCTTAATGTACCCATAAGTTGCTTTCGAAATGCCTAAGATGTCCCTTGTTCAGACTAGACGACTGGAAACGGTAAAGCACGATCATGTGACCGCGAGACCTCGGCTTAACATCATCGATGACAAGTACATGGAAGTTGAACCCATTCCGACCGGGCTTGTTCAATTGTTCACGGCCAGATAAACACGTTTGACCAACCGCTCAGACTCAAATTCTTAGAAGACTCAGAAAGTCACGGCCGAGCCCGGATCAAGCCTCGTGGTCCTCAGTAGTGATGGGCCCTAGAGACCGCCATTACCTGAACCGCGACAACCGACGTTCGTAGACCATGGCTTCAAATTCTCAAGCGTCATCCTCCAGGCATCAGAGACGCAACACCGACAATGCTCTACTATACTCTTCCTTTACATCCAGCAACGTAGATCCGCCACGGCCTCGTCCAACTCCTGCTAGCGCTGCGCCGGTCATCTCCTCACCATCCTCGCCGCGGACCCAATCCTTCTCCACACGACGCCCAGAAGACAGAAATCGGAGCTCGGGGAGGGATAGGGCTAACAGGGACACCCCCCAATCACCCCAAAGCGTCGCCGCCCTCTCATCCAACATCGCTGCATTTCTCGCGAAACCAAGCGGCAGCCCGGGCCCCAGCTCCCACCGTGCACCGAAGGTACAGCGAACTCATTCAGAAGCATCGAGTACACCCGGTAGTTTCAAATCGGCCATGAGCCTGTCCCCATTCCGATCACGATCGAAGAGCGGGCGCGGGCCCAGCCTGTTTGCGGATCTCCCGCCTTCGTCGCCGGCTCCGAGCAGCACTCCTTCGAGGCCAGATTCAGGCAAGTGGGTAACAGCGGAATCTGGGTCTCCGAGCTCGAGCAGGTCGAGACGGAGTGGCGCTTCGAGGCTGTTCAAGGATCGCGTCCGGGATGTAGAGAAGGAGGGTACGGTCGCGAGGCCAAGTCGGGTTTGGGTCTCCTCCCCCTTGGCAGCGGCGGTCACCTCTCATCCTTTGGAGATCGAAGTTGCGCGGAAAGCTGAAATGGTTGAGGACGATGTAGGACCTCAATCTGCTGAGGCTGTCATCTCCAGGCCAGTAGACGAACCTCAGCAGACCGAACCTGTGGAACCAGTCCACGACGCAGCAACCGAGCAGTCTACTCCCCGTCCCTCACCAGCTGCAATACCGGTTCGTGAATCGCCCGTGGCGCCAGTGTCCGCCCTCAGCCCAGAAACATCTCCTCCCGAATCGAAAAAACCACCCGATACAATCTTGAATGTGGCTCAAAAGATCCGCGGGCTGATGCACTCTCTCCCTGGACTATCTCGCTCTGCTGCAGGTCCCTCGAATTCTGTCGCGGACCGCGTGATTGTCGACGGCGACGGCCGTCCCATTGGACCCCCTGGTTCTGCAGAACTAGATCCGGAACTCATCTCTATACTGTCAAACTCGAGCGTCATGAGCGGGTCTGGTGGCAACAGAGAGAGTGTCTGGAGCATGCTCGATGCGATTTCGCCACCGCCGACCGGCGTCGCGACCCCCAGCAGTGTTGCAGAGAGCTATGATTTCGTTGGCTCGGACCGGTCGAGTGTGATGATGTACTCGCCTCTAATTCCTGGTGCTGGGTCTGTTGTTGAGCTGGCTGAGCAGGAAGAGATAATCGACAGCCCTTTGGTGACTGCGACTGAGCTTGGTAGCCCTGGGGCACCAGCTCCGCAAGGCTGGTTCTCGTCTGTATTGGCCACCTGGTCATTCAGCGGCCGGCAAGCAGATGCTGAGCCCCCGCGTCCAGTGCGTCGATGGAAGCCGTCGATCACGCATCTCTCATTCGAGACCATCTGGTGGGGGTACCGAATGTTTGTAACAACATCCCATTCTGAGCCAAGCCCGTGCCTCATCTTGTTGCAGATATCTTCCTCCCCCGGTGCTTGACATCTTGGATGATCAGTCTGTCGAGGCAGCGCGAAGAGCCACTGTAATCACAGCCGCATTGACTTGGTTCTTCTCCAACCTGCCCATCACTGCATTCCCACCTCCGTTGCAGCCAGCAATGGTACTTCTGCAAAGACTCGTTCCTTTGGGCTCGTATCTAGGCACCTTCATATCTTGGAGCTGGAGCACCATCCGAGGCTTTGACCAAGGTAACTTTCCTCCTCTCCGTATATTATTGCATCTCATCCCGGAACAGGACACGGCGTGATCCTCACTGCAACATGGCTTCTGCCTATTGCCGTCATCCCCGGGACATGGCATTCTCACGACGTTCCACTACCTTCGCCTGCACCCAATCCTCCTGTTTCCCTTCTGCAAGCCATGTCAGAAATCTATTCCGAATCGGATGGATCGCCAGTGCAGCAAGAGCAGCAGCAACAACAACAACAACTGCTGACACCATCCACCAGCTCGCCACAGTCCGACACGCACTCCGTAGCCTTCACTCTGCTGTCTCCGCTGTCTTTCTCGACGCCCTTGTCATTTCCCTCCGATTCGATGCTCCTCCGTCCAGAATCGGAGTCCGTGTCGAGTCCCGCAGAATCGGTATCAGATGTCTCCGGCGGGTCGAGATTTAGTAAACTGCGCAACGTCTTGCGTTGATGCGCTCTGGCTGTCATGTCACGCAACGGAGATTGGCTGTGGGCGCATGGTGAAGCGGAGTTTCTCCCCCTCTGTTGCTGCGATCGGACGCCTTGGATCATCGCTACAGCCCTCTCTCGCTCTGCATCCAGTCGAGAGCAGATCCAGCGAGAATGTTTGCGCGCAGTCACATGCCATCGCTGAAGGGGACAACGGAGAAATCTGGCCGTTTTGGATGGGAGCGCATATGAACATGCGATGATAGCCTACTTACCCAGCCCGCAATCTCTCTGTAGAATGCCAGAAAGAAATCATCCACGGAGATTACTGTAGATTAGATACGATAACGATCATGATCGGATGTGCCACGGCGCGTCAACAAGACCTCACTGTACGCGATCCCTTGTGTCTGACCACCATGTCGCATGGCGGAGGAAAAGACGAACCGTCGTTCTTCGAGCGCGAGCGCGAGCGATTGACGCGCGACATTAAAGCGGTTCGTGCGCACCCTGCTACCCTCAATATCGATCTCCATCTCTCTTTGGCTGTGCAGGACTTTGTCGACGTGCTGTCCTCCACCAACGACGTCAACCGCAAACTGGAGGAAGTGCTCGGGATGACGCGGGAATACGCGACGATTGCTGCGCTGTGGGACAGCTTCTACCAGCTCATGAAGGAATCAGGGCTCCACGCGGAAGAGGAGGCACAGGAGGCTGTATCCCCGGCATCCCCAATGCATTAACCTTCCCAATGCACTGTCCATATCGCGACTGCCAGTGTGTGTGTGTTTCTGCGCGCGCATCTCTGGATACAAGCGAAATGATCATTACTATGTACCTTGAAAGCCATTACATGTACAGCGTGCATAAATATCCGACATGAGATTCAGTCACAGATATTACAGGCAACAGTCGATTTATGGATCAACTCAGACTCCTCCACCGCTCTTTTCAACGGCAACGCCAGAACGCTTGACTGAGGGTGTCAGTGTCACTTCCTTGATGTTGCCGCAGATCTGGATCCCGGTTCAGAACGTATTCAACGCAAAAGGCGGTGGTGTGGTGCAACTCACCTCAAGGAACTCATCCAGCGCCAAATTCTGCTGCACTTGGAAGCCAGTCTCCTCGATGACATACTCGTATTCTTTGGGCGTGATGGCCTCGTAACCAGGAACCTGCTGCAGAACGCTGCGCAGCGCAGCCTTGTCAAGACGGGCCTCGCCAGAAACGTCCTCCTTGGCCTGCTTCGCGAACGCAGCCTTGAGCGTGGCCAGCTCCGCGCCGTCGAATTTGGCCCGGCTGTACACACGGATGGGCGTCGTCGTCGCAAGGAGTCCGAGCCCGCGCCCGACATCGCGCAACTGCTCAGGGACCCAAGAGGATGATGCAGAGGGAGGCACCACAGGCAGCTCGATGCCCATGCTTGCCAGGAAAGAGATCGTCCGCTCGATTTGACGGGCTTTCTCGGCACGCGACCAGCCCAGCTCTTGGGCCATGATGTCAGCGACACGAGGGAGAGCGTCCAATGCAGAGTACGCGTTCAGGAACGACAGACGGGTCCGGCGAGCGAGCACGTCGATCGGGCTGACGGCGTATTCGTGACGAATGGCATATCGGATTTCGGCCTCAATGACTGCAGTCGATCAGCATTGGAGCCACGTAGATGCAAACGACGACATACAGGGATACGAGGCAGCGATCCTTTTGCCGTGCAGGGGCCAACTGGCACCAGTCGGTTCGGCAAGATCGCAGACAGTCCATGCCCGGTCACCATAGTTGTCCGACAAGTGTTTAGCAACATCAGTCTCAATTCCATACTGCCCGCAACATCAGCAAACAAGGTAGAAAGAGCACCATAGGGAGCGCACCGTCTGGATCAATCCAATGAACATATTCCGGTTCCAGCCGTCGCTGCCAACCAACCGAAGGTTATGAGTAACACAGCCGGTTTTGGGCTTGAGCGCAAAGACCTTGACGGCCTCGTCGACAGTCTCCTCAGCCATGGCACGGTATGTCGTCCACTTTCCTCCGGCAATGGTCAAAAGCCCACTGTCGGATACATAGATCATGTGGTTGCGGACGAGACCTTCAGTGCCAGACGCATTCGGGTTCCGGACAAGCGGCCGGAGACCGCTCCATGCGCTGAGCACATCGCCTCGGCGGACCTTGACATCTGGGGACAGATAACGGCGGACCTCGCTGAGCACCCATTGGATTTCATCCTCCTTGGCCCGGGGCTCGCGCTCGACGGGCGCAGCGGCATCCGTGGTTCCAGCGATGGTGTTGCCTTGCCAGGGAAGGAAGAAGATCACACGACCGTCGGAGGTAGCCGGGTCGAGCAAACCCATCTTGCGCGGCGAGTAGTAGTTGGGCAGCGTCAAGTGGATACCCGAGGACGGCTGGACGATCGGCTTGTGGGCGGGGTTGTCCAAAGTAAGCAGTGCGTCCGAGAACGGCCCCGTGGCGTTAATGACACCCTTGGCGCGGACAGCAAAGCTCTCGCCGGTCAGGTTGTCGCGGACTTGGGCACCGTTGAGTTTGCCAGCCGTGTCCTTGTGCAGTTCCGTCACCTCGCAATAGTTGGCGACCGTGGCTCCCTCCTTTACAGCCGTCATGATGAGGGCCATGTTCATCCGGGAATCGTTGTGTTGTCCGTCGTAGTAAACCACCGCGCCAACCAATCCGTCGCTCTTGAGCATTGGGAAGGCCTCGAGCGCCTTGCCCTTGCTCATCAGGTACGAGGACTCCATGTTCTCCTTCCCAGCCAGAATATCGTACATTTTGCACCCAGCAAAATAATAGGGAACTTGCCAGTACCTACCACAGACTGTCAGCGAAGGACCCCAGACCGAGAAGATGTGCTCACTTGTAAAGAGGAAGCATAATCGGAAGCATTTGAGAAAGGTAGGGAGCCGTTTGCAAGAATATGCGACGCTCGTAGAGCGCCTCCTTCACAAGTTTGTACTGCTCATAGTCGAGCTCGAAGACGGCCTTCTGCAGATATCGCACACCACCGTGCACCAGCTTCGTCGACTTGGACGAGGTTCCTGGATCAACGATGACGTGCGGGGTAATACTGCCGTAACTCAAGGCACGCACCAGCACTAAAATCATCCCGCTCGACCAGAGCAACTTTGAGCCCACGGCTCGCCGCATCAACCGCGACACCCGCGCCCGTGGCCCCACCACCAACAACGAGCAGGTCGAACTCCTCGTCCGCGAGGCCCGTGGTCTTGATGAGCCCGGACGCTTTCAGCTGCTTGAGCATCTGCTCGCGCGGCGGGGGCGTCCACGGCGGCGGAGGCCGCCGCGTCTCCTTCGTCGACTGCGGGTAGGCTGGCCCGGAGTTGAGCCAGTACACGCCTGCGCCGGACGCGAGGACTGTCCCGGCCGACGCTATCCCGAGCGCCCGCAGGGTGAAAAGAGGACGCAAGAAACGACTCATTGCGCCTGCGGAGAGGGAGGAGTGTATGGGAAAGAGAGTTGAAAAACGCGAGGGCGGAGTTTTGTTCTTCAGGGGGAGCGGGCGATGATGCAAGACCTATTTAGACGGCTAAGGTCGGGCACCGAGCCTGGGGCAGATGGAACTTCCGAGGGTGATGCCGGACGGTGTCGCCGCTCTGCGCACTCGGGTGAGGGAGAAAAGAGAGAAGGGCGTTGGCCTCGCCCAGTGGTCTGTGGAAGAGCGTGGATGACACGAAGGCGCGCTCGAGAACTCGAATGACATCCAACCACGCACCGGACCGGGGCGCGGACCGGGCTACCAGCGCTGCACCGGGCCGTGGAACGTGCGTCGGCCGTTCGACCGTCCGCTTACTCGGTGTCACGTAAGTAAAATTTGAGTATACCTGGGTGTATGATACAAGCAAATGTACAGATAAGGCTACAATATTTGGGATTTTCAACTGGGGACGAGGGAGAACATGGCGGCATTCGCCGAATTATTCCCAGCGTTCACCAGCGCTCCAGTCGAGTCCAAGACGATATACTCCGAATTCACGCCCGCCAGCATCGTATAGGTCCCATTAGCTTGTTTCGTAATTCTGAAATTCTCCCAGGCCTGAGCGACCGTCCGGGCGCTGCTGAGCGGAGCAGCCCCGTTCTGGTCAGCAGTCACATACATTCCGGTCCCGAGGTTGAGCATCGAGCCTCCCCCGGGCATGTAGTCGAATTGGAACCGAGTGCCATTCGCGGCTGCGTTCGCAATAAGCTGGGTAACAGCACCAGTGGACGTCACGAATTTGCCGTTCGGTCCTTTGATGGTGAAGACGCCAGTCGGGTTGCCGCCAGAAGCGGTGCAGATGTTGGCACCGGTCGGGTTTTTGCGCGTGGCGAGGTGGTACAAAAGCCCGGCCTGGGAAGTCGTGCCGCCCCAAGCAGTGATGTTGGTCGACCGAGCGAACGCCGTCTGGGGGCTGACTTCACCGTAAGCCATGTAGATGATCGACTTCCAGTCGTCTCCGACCGCAGGGTCGACCATCTCCCCGCTGACGTAGCTCCAAGCGCCCGTTAACCATGGCACATCGTAAAGCCCCTCGTTGATCGGGGTGACCGGCAGCATCTGGATCGCAGCAATCTCGGATCGTTGGGCGCCCCAGAAGCTGTTCGACATCAATCACGTGCCCCTTTGGAATCAGGATTCGACTCACAGCCAGGCTCCGGCTTGGTAATCCATCACATTTCCGATCGTCGTTAAGCTCCGGAGGCCAGCTTCTGGGTATGGCGTGTCTGGATCGTTCGATGTTGGATACAGATGCCAGTAGGATTGCACAGCGGCGACCTCCGTCGCCCACAACAGTCGCGCCCAGTTCTTGAGATCCTGCTTTCCCACGAGATCCGCATATAGAATGAGACTGTAGTACCCGTTGACCGCCTCTCCCGAGGATTCCTGGTCACGGGACCCAGCTCCGTTGGCGATTCCAGACGCTGTGAATTGCTCAGCACAAGCAGCCCATTGACGTGCAGGTAGATTCGCACCCCAAGAATGCCCGGCGAACCAGTCTTTGCATCTCGCGACGGTGTAGTACGGGTCCTGTGCCGAGGGATTTCCGATGTCGCGCACGAAATGGGTGACGAGGGCCCGGTTGGCCGCCCACCAGGTAGAGTCATAGCGTCCGATGACCGAAGCGGCATAGATGAAGTAGCCGTAGTGGAAATGATGGTCGTTGTACTGTCCCCAGTTGAATAACGCGAAAATGTTTCTCCGAAAGTGAGACTTACATAGCCGTTCCCGTAATCGATGTTGGGATTCGTCGCGCCTGGACCGTCGACAACCCCGCCCCAGACGGTGTCGTAAGCAGCATAACAGACATTCGATGTCCCGGGAGTGAGCTTGGAAAATAAATCATTATTTTGATTACAACAGGCAACGAAGAAATGACAAACCCATTGAGAGTAGCTCTGCTTCAAGACGCTGATCACCGGCTGGATGAGATCCGTGCGTCCAATATGGTCAGCGATCAATCTTCAAGCCGTCAGTCGAGCTCAATCGGAAAACGTGGCCAATGATGCACGCACGCCAATCTCGCCAAAGACTGAACCGCCTTTCCCCAGAAATAGAAATCCGACGGCACAGCAACGGTCGCGTGCGCGACCTCGTATTCCAGCGCCTGCTCGAGCTGCGACAGACACGAGTTCTGCGGCACCCGCGGTGCTTGCCACGTGATCGTCGGGAGGGCGTACGACAAGCGCCACACATTCCCCCGCACAGGTTTCATGTAGCCTTTTGTGGAGAGATACGTCAGCCCTGCGATGTACGTGGGGCTGATCAGCGCTTTTCTGGAATCCGAACCGTGAGAAACGTCAATCGATGGGAGATGAAAAACAGCCCGGACCTGTGATGCGGCCAGGACAGATGGATGAACGAGGAGGCATTGCCGACCACGTTCCAGGTGAAGCTCAGAGTGGCGTTGTCTCCAGAGAATGTGTAGTCGAGGCCAACACCAGTCGGATAAGCGGAGGAATATTGATCGAGGACATCGACACTGGTGGTCGGACTGACCACGCGAGCGATTCGGATGACGCCCGAGAACAGGGACGTGCCCGTCAGCGCATTCGCGGTGACGCTGAATGAGATGGGTCCTCCGAGCGAGTAGATCACGTATGTGCCGGCATTGTTGATAACGGTGAACTTGGTGCCAGAGACGGTGACTGATACGGTGAGTCGATAAGCTACCGATGGCCGGGAGAGCAGCAGCAGCAGCAGCACTCACCGGGAGAAGTCCCGACTGAGATCCCATTGATAGAAGCGATGTTACCATTGGTGCTCGTGAGCAAAACCGTCGAAGCGTTGTAGTTGAACGTCAAGTACGGAGATCCGGGGACCACATATGTCGTGAAGCCAGCGCCGGACCCGGAGAAATATTTGATGGTCACACTTTGAGTATCCTAGGCCCAAAATGAAAAGATGCGGTTTCGAAAACGGTTTCAAATCGTACCCAGGCTGTCGCCTTGTGACTCGTGTGCGAGTTGGGGTTCTGGGCGTACGACACTAGCCAGTCGAGATTCGTCGTCTGGATGATCGATGTCCCATCGAAGGTTCGCGTGTTTGATAGACCAAATTGGAAGCCGGTGTCGAGTGCGGCTGACATGTACGGGAAGGGGCCAGCTACCACACTGCGCAAGAAAATTCAGTTTCATGGTCCTCCGGGAGTGCATATACCCTACCTGTTCTGGTTGGGATAGGCAGCATACCCTATCCACCAGTTCGTCGTGGGGAACGGAGGTTTGAAATCTTGGAAGAACGGTCCCGGCGGTGCAGCGTTCTGCACCTTACCACCAGGGATCGACGGAGCAGACGTGTCGATGGGCCCAAGAGCGGCGGACACGACTCTGAGGGCACAGAGAAGGAGGGCGAGTCGGAGCACCATTGTTTCTCTGCAAAAAAAGCTGGTTGTCCACCGGCGCGTCTTTATGGAATTGGCCCACCTTCCCCGGTTTCAAATGTCTATGTCATGCGACAGAACGAGATAGGAAGCCACTGCACAGAATGCAGCTCGGTATGCTCGATGGGGGCCAGTTTCCTTGGCTAAGGCAGACAAAATGTCGGGGAACCGGACACATGATGAAACCGCCATGGTCCTGTGTTGTTTCAGCGCTCTAGTGGAACTAGCGTGCAGCATGATCGAGATCCGATGCGCTGCACTTGACTTTGGGATCGTCCTAGAAGCAAGCCTTCCCAGAATAGTAAGCCACAGGAGGTCGTCGTCCGGCGTTCATGTGAGTTCCGTGGCGGCGAGGTTGGCCTCGGTCGGTGGAGTCGGATTTCACGTGTTGTGCAGCGTGCTGCCAGTGGAACTTTACCCATCTTCTTCCCTTGCGTGTTGTGGTTGAAAGCAAGTTCGAGATCGGTCCGCTTGGCCGAAGAACCACGTGTGGAGAAATGATCTGGCGGCCCTGGGCCTATCGACGATCGTTGACCTCGGTCAGCACGATACATACCAGACACTGCGCAGTCTCGGAGCCCAGAACGGCCTGTCAGAATGCTGTGTGAGCCCATAAAAGGCATAGCGCGGACAAACTCCAGTCATTTGAAGGTTTTGACCTGCACCCTCATTTGCGGTGTTTCATTATGCTCAACACGGCAAGAATACGGCCAATTATTTTGATCTTTGTCCTTCTGTTAAATCGTGGTAATTTTGAGCAGAGCTGCGGCGAATAATTTTGACATTCAGTGGTATGATGAGTTCATGAGAGAAATGTGACATGCCTCGGCAGCTATTTTTGGCAGCCCCCGAGCGCCCATTTTTTGCCCACGATAATGAAGAAGTAGATGCCGGTGTTCGGCATGCTTCTGGTCTGGCCCACCTATGACGTAGCTTTGCAAAGAAACAACCTACAGTCTCATCGCAGGGCCATGAAGTCGGTTTCTTCGCGACGCCTCATGTTGAGCTCAGAAGTGGCTGCAACTTTGTCAGATGCCAGAGACTTCTGTCTGCCCGCTGGGCGAGTAATTTCAGGAGAGCAGCTGCTATGCACGCGGCTGGCCACGACCTGTTCAGTGATCCTTTGATGGCCATCTGTCAGCCTTGTCTCGGCCAGCATCACCGTAGTCTACGCTGATCGTCCGCAGAACTCATTCAGCACTCCACCGTCTGAACCGGCAGCGCGGAGGTAACTACAGAACCGCAGTCAGTCGTAGCGCCGAGTCTACGCAGCCCAGCACCGCATTCATTGAACAATCAAGGGCAGCCGAACCTTGGCCGATTAATTATCTAGTGCGGAGTACTGCAGATCTCCAACCCCACCCCTCTCTTTCTCATATGCACGACCACAGGCGACACGGAATGAGCCGAATACTGGAATCGATCGGATCCACCGTCCACACCGTCATCCACCGCGCACACGACAACGCGCACGACCTCGCACAAGTGACGAAATCGTTCGCCGAGGAGAATCTGCTGGATGCCCGGTATGTGGACTTGACGATCCAGGTGCGTTGCTCAGTGCCATCCCGCGCAGGAAAAGACGAGCGAGAGACGAGACCCGTCGGTAGTTCATTGGCGCTTCTGGGTTACCCAAAGTCGACGTCGTAGGATCCGCGGATCCGTACTTCGTGGCGAAAATCGACGACCGGATCTCGTTCGTGTGCGTGGTCCCGCCCGGGTCGGTAGGGCGATTCAGGAAACTGACACTACCCTCAGGTCCGCAGTCAAAGTCAATACGCTCTCCCCTGTATGGAACGCATTGTGGAGGATTAGGAATGTCCCAGCACACGCCACGCTCTCGGTCGAGGTGATGGACAAGGACGATGGGGCGAAGGTCGATGACTTTATCGGGAAATTTTCGACCACCATTAGTTCTGGTGCGAAGGAGGTTGAAATCGTGGGGCCCGTGTATCGGCGCGCGGGTGGCTCATTCTGGCTCAAGGTACGCTCCCAAGGATTGCATGCCTCTTTCCTCTTTTTGCCGACGCCGCATGCCAGATAGAAAGTGTGAAGGCTGGAGACGATCCCCAGCTCTTTCCATATCTGTTCGACGGCCCCATCCGTTTCTCTCGCCATTTCTCTCCAACCATCGGGCTCTTGACGAATACCACCCTCTCCGATGACTCCAAATCGCGGCTGTACTCTACCTGGAAGATGTACATCCGCGGGATCCGGCTGTTCTTTGGGGACACCGTGCAGCAATGGAACCACGGTTATAAAGCTGCCCAAGCGATATTCAATCCCGGCCCATCATCGCTGGCTGTCCGCTCAGGCATCATCGCCGGGCATCGCCTCCTCTACGCCCGGGCCACAACCAACCAGTTCGGGACGATCGAATCCGCCGCGGACGTCCTGGGCGTGCTGCACAGCGACGGGCGCGTGAAGCCCGCGGTCTACACGTACATCATCTCCGCCGAGGACGAGTCGCTGCGCTTCTCCGAGACGGGCGCGGCGTTCTTCGTCGACTTCGCCTCGAAGCACGCGCTGCACGCGAACTGCCACCCGTGTGTGCGCTACTCGGGCGAGTTCCACCCGCGCCCCGCCGGGGGCTGGAAAGCCTTCAGCGACGCGCAGGCGGACGGGGACGTCGCGTGGGAGATCGTGGTCGACAACAACTCGGGGACGTACTCCCCCGACAAGACGCTGTTGCCGCAGCTCAAGGCGCTGCTGGAGTACAACTTCCCCGGGCTGACCGTCCATGCGCTGGACCGCGAAGACCCAGAGCTGGTTGCCAGCCGGGAGGCGTGCAGGGCGTATGCGCTCGAGCACCGGGGTGTCAAGCGGAGCGAGCTGCAGCCGCAGACGCATGGAGAGGAGTCGACCGACACCTTGGCTGCTCAGGCCATGGCCGTCTCGGCCGAGGAGCAGGCAAGCATCCAGTGCGAGCCGGCGTAAATGATTCCATTCGTGCTGCTCATAAGAAGCCGTATTCGACCGTATGGGATCACTTTGGATTTAATTGTGGGCAGTGTAATGTATCGTAACTGACACCGTCATATCATAGCGTTGTATGTAGTACTTAAGCTTGGGTGTCTGAATCGAACTCTCGCAGGCAAATGGTGTGATGACACGCAATCACATACATAACACGTGAAAATACACGTCTTTAGTACCCCCGACTAGTTGACGGTCCAGCCTTCGCGGAAGCCGCGGCGCTTTGTCACTCCTAAGTCGACCATTCCATTGAGTAGTCCTGAAATAACTCGCTACTAGACTCAACTCAACTGGATTGGCATCTCGATACAACTCGGGTTTTTCGATAAAAAAATCAGCCCGATATCTCCGTCCTGAACCAACCCGTTTTTGTAGCCTGACTTTTGGCGTCCGAATCCGACCTACTTTGAGTGTCAGTTCATTCAATCCGGGTTCAATATCCAGGTGATCCACAGGGCCAACATTTTCTGCCTGTGCTAAGTAAGTCACAGTGAACTCTTCTTGAATCGAATGACTGATTGCTGCTCTAGAGTCCTCGACTCAGCTTGCGATTACGATTGTCTGTAGGGTTCAGACAGCAACTTGGCGCGCGAGCCGTAGCACTACTCCGTTCTCTCCGCTCCCTATGCCTTAGCCCGGCATGCGAAAAACATGTCGTCATCCGCGTCCCCAAGTCCCTCAGCTCCCACTCTCTGACTTGCTGAGTTCTGCCGAGCGCCGATGCCTCCCTCGAAGCTATCTGAAACGACTCTACCCGCCGAATCTAGATCATCTATTCTCTTTCAACTTGGTATGCGCTGCTCCCATCCTTTCCTCTCATGGGCATGGGTTGGGTTCCATTTTGGAGCCGTTCAAACAGTGGTGCTAGCAGTAGCAGCGACTGCTAGTCAGTTGTCGTCCAAGCATAAAGATTATTGAACAGATTACAAGCAGACACCATCATTGATGCCTTGATTACCATCCATAGGAGTCGTCTCGACTCATCAATTGCTCGGTTCCGTGCTCGCTGGCGTCTAGTTTATTCGAGATGATCTATTATTATTACAGTATCGGGACTCGCTTAGTATCATCCAAGGCACGTGCAAATTGGTTTGAATATGATTTGATGAGTCCGCTGCTTCTTGGCCTGGCTGGCAAATCATCAGCCAAGTCCAGTTGAGTCCGAAGGAGATTCAAAGTACAGGGGGATGATGATACTAAACTCAACGATCAGTCAGTCAGAATCCCCAAAGTCAAGTCGAATAAAGACAGTCTAAATGTTGCACATGGTGCAAATAACAAGTCGGGTTTAGGGTTTCCCATGTCAAAGTCGAATCATCTATGACAATGCTAATGTTGCATTAGGATCTCTAGATTTTGGTTGTTTTTCTTGTCCGATGAGAAGTAGGGTCCAGTCGGGACAGAGGCCTCGGAATCGAAGTTGGGCTGAGACCCTCGTATTCTGCATAGTTTAGTACATGATGGAATACTTGGGGTCAATAATGCTCTTGTGACGGCAACATTTCCGACCGCAGCAATGCAGCCATTTGTGCTGTACCTGGGAACCGGTCAAGCCTTTCTTCAACACTTGACCGTCAGGCACCGGTGTCAAGGAACCCTTGCCACGGGTGCGCGTTCTATTGGCATGCAGACTCGCAGCGCTGGCCGTTCAGGCCTTCAAGAGTCGCTCCCGGCTCAAATCTGCGGCCCCGCTTCGACGATCGTTCTCTCGGTAACGATGGTGTCCCTGATTTCAGAGTCCGCACGGGACACGAGCCTCCACCGGATGTGGTTCCAGGATGACGCGACTGGGAGGGGTCGGGTCTTGACTCGGAAGGATACTGAAGAGCCCTCCCACCACAGAATCCGAATTTTCGAGGAGATAACCACTCTCGCCTGGGCCGCTCAGCGAGTAGCAGCCTTGACATCCGCCAAGATTCCAATGCCAGCCACTGTTGTGTCCTGTTTGCACGCAGTTCAACGACAGCAACGATGACGTCATCGCGTCAAGGACATCGATCTAATACTACACGATAGAAATACAGCACCAGAAGCGAGGGAATCACACCGGCGGCGTGGCCGAAGCGTACGGGTGACCGGTCGGAGCATTGTCGTCCTGCGACAGCCTACCCGCCACCGCATCCCCGTCGTCGCCGTGCGGACTACCAGACTCTTTCGCGTAGGGCCTCCACGGCGAAGGAGGATCCTCGACGAGCCCGCCCGACTTGGGGTTGGCGTCCGACTCGGTGTAGATCTCCGTCAGCGAGAACATGTGCAGCTCGTGGCGGGCGCCTGTTGAGGTCGGCGCCGCAGTGCCGCGGTGGCTACGCGACGAGGGGGTGGCGCTGCTGCCGACGCGCCTGCAGTGGAACACGAATTCGAGGATCGGCTGCGGAGCGATTTCAGCGCCATTGCGGAGTCGGATGAGATGTGATGTGGCGTACCCTTGACGTCGCGAAGGTGAAGAACACGGCAACGTTGCAGGTAGACAAGAATATGTCGGGCACGACCTCCGAAAAAGACGTCACGAGCGAGATGACCCCGACGCTTTGTGGCTGGTCAGAATCCAGAGGACAGGCAGGATGGGCTCGACCTACACGAAAGCGACACCAACGAAGATCGAGAACGTGAGAGTGCGCAGGACCAGGGGGTAAGACACGCCGGGGTATTCTATAATCCGACGGACGTTCCAGCGCGTCGTCACGAGAAGCCACGTGGTCCAGGCCGCAAAGACAAGACAAATGAAGGTGAAGGCGGCGCCGAGACCCGACGAAGCATCCTGTCTGGGGGCTAGATGAGAGACGAATTTCGCATTCTATCCGCGGAAGCTCGCGCACAGTGTCGTGTGGTCCACAACGCAGTAGAATGGAGAGCCCCGGAAAACCCTGTCTCGCTCGCCGAGCCCGATCTGAAACGGCTGTTAAAGCCGAAATGGAGCAGCGAATCGGGATGGGCTTCGTACGACAAGTCCGGCGATGAACAGCGGCAAAGAGGAGATCAGCGGGATCGCGAGCAGCTGACGGGGACCGTCAGCGACAGCGCAGCAGGAGGCCGTCGACGACGCCGGAAGTGGAAGGGGAAGGGGGGACGCACGAATGGCAGACACGTGACGATCTCGACGGCCCTGCGCTGGCTCGGGCGACACGCGATCACGACGCTGCCCCAGACTCGCAGCACGAGCGCGAGCGCGGCGCCCGCCTCGACGGGGACGTTGGACATTGCGACGAGCGCGCTCTGGAGGCACAGCGGGAACGGCGGGTGCTCGTCGAGGGCGTGGCCCGTGAGTGCGAGCGAGCTGCCCGTGAGCGAGGTGACGACGAAGAGGAAGATGAGGTTCAGCAGGTTCGCGTTGGCGTTGGCGCGCTGGCTGGCGAGGATGGCGCCGAGGAGGACCGCGTTCGCTACGCCTGCGAAGATGTTGAATGTGTTCCAGAGGTAGATCTGCGGGAGGAAGTCGTGCGGATTCACGGTGGACATCGCACGGCTGCATGAGGGGAGAAGGGGAAAAGAGCGCGCACAGAGCAGACTCGTCGCTTGAATACTGTTGCATCGCAACAAGGGGCAGATGTCTTGACAGCCTCGCAGGTTGAACATTTCAAATGCTGGCTGCAGGGGTGACGCAGCCCCTCTTCTCGAGAGAAACTCCAATCGGGCGCCCAGTAAGTACCCCGTCGAGCTGCTGCAGAGCCGCGGCGACCAGTGGAGATACGATCATCGGATTTCTTTCACCCTCCTGCTACTCTAGCTAGCCGACGTCTCCTTCGCCTTGAGTCGGGCGAGAAAGTGGACCGCTGCCCGGCCGCGCTCGTCTGTGCCGTGACGTCATGCAATGAACCGGCCGGGCCGGTTGGTGATTAACCTTCAAGCTCGTCCTTTTGCAATTCCATACTGTGCGCAAACAATCTTTGGCGACTCACTTAAGTAATTATGGAAGACGCCCGGAATTCAGAAGCTGGAGAAGCACTGTATCGATCGCAGATGGTTAATCAATGAGGTCGCGGATTTAAGATTAGCCCATCGATGTGCGGCCTACATATGATGGTTATTCGAGGCCCAAATTACTCGGTCGGCTCAGAGAGAATTATCAGAGTCTCTATTCTCAAAGTCTCTGCATATGCCGTCTTACCCTCCGATCTACTCATCAGGCCACTCGATCATCCTCGGGTTCTTCCGGACAAAGTGGCAGTAAACCACAGTACACCGTCCTCGTGACTTTGTATGCTGTTCCATTGGACTCTACATTGCGGGTCTCAGACAACTCAAATCATAACATACATATCATCGGAATCCCTGTGGCATAAAATCTAGCCGCCTCGTCTTCCGTACGTACTCAGAAGGTGATCCGCACTCGCTTGCGCCTGCGGATTGATTCAGAAGAGCATTATTAGAGAATTGCAGCTAGCTGCGATTTTGCACATCCGCAGATCGATCTTCCCCTGCAGGAGCCCGGTCCGCAGCCCATTCCAGCTACATATCACGCGACTGCAGCCAGGCCAGAATACACTGTCAACGAAGCCGGCGGCAGCCGCGCTATACAGTACTGCCCGAGGGAGGTGGAATAGACGTGCATTCTTCATCAGGATGGGACCGAAGTTGGTTTGTGGAGCACGACATGCCGATCGGCATTCAACCATTCGGCAGTGGCATGCGACGCTCGCCTCGGGGCTTGACGCTCCGGAGTCCAAGCCTGCATGTTGAGCATGAAGTACTATTGGCTATCACGTCGAGAGTCCATGAGCTGCGGTCTATTCCTGGAATCCCCAAGAGACAGGATACAAGGTACTGGACACGAGTATGGTCAACCCAGGGGAAAGCAGAGAACCTCAAATTGCACCGGGGATAATAACGAATAGCCCTTGTGCAGAATGGCTTCCCGTGCATTTCAAGACGAGCAGAACTGCGCTCCAGTGGATTTCGATCTGTCTCGATCAAAAGAATCGAGGATGCGGTTGCATCACGATGCTGCTACGCAGCGCAACCCGACTCGATCCCAATCGCTTCGAGTTTCGACAGGCCAGGAGAAATTAGCAGCGCTCTAAACAAGCGAGTCGTCGAGCGCCAAACACTGGGGAGCGAGGATCAAAACCACGCCGCCGCCCAACCGAGACTGCACGCACTCGATATTCAATGAAGGCGTTGGCCGATTCGTCCGGCGAGGCCCCGCGCCGGGGAGACGGCATCAGGAACTGCAGGCTGAGCAGACCCTGCTCGTCGATGCGCAACGACGTCTTCGATGAGATTTGCAGAGCACGCAGGGCACGTGATATATGGCCGAATCGATAGCTGTGAACAGGATGGTTGGGCAGAGATCCGACAGAAGATGTGCAGGAGAAATCGTACCTGAATTTTACAGGTCTCACGCACTCGAACGTCTCGAGGACTTCTCGGTCATTTGGGTAGTCCATCTGCATCGCATGAGCAAAAAAAAAAGATTAGGAACTCGCGCAATGCGAACCTCGGTGCTCCCGAAGTTCCCCGTTGCTTGAATCCGCAGCATGGGTTTGCTGGCATCGGGAGCGCGCCCCGGCCTTTTCGCATTGTCCGGCGGATTCCCGATGATCGTTATCTTATCGCAAGTCGCATCGATCTCAGAGAGCGCATCGCGTAACCACGAGGATTTGAGGATGATCTTGAGGATCCTGCAAATGTGTGAGGGAGGGAGAGCACGAAGCGGGAGGGGCCGGCAGACATGTATTCAGGATCAAACTCCAACTCGAGGCGGGGCTCGGCGTCGTACGTGGTTATCTCGCATGTGGTCGTCGGCCCTGACGCGTCTTCTGCTCTGCACGGATGTCAACGATCGATTCCCGTCGTCTTCGTTGGTACGACCCACATAAGGAGCGTCAGCGGATACCCGGACCCGGCATAGGTCATCCGCATGGCCGTCCCGTGGTCCGATCCGGGCGCGAAATACTGGTCGATCGTCCTGTTGCCCACAGCCGCTGTCCCCCGTCGTTGGCCATCCGCGTCATCGCCCGCCTCGTGGTCCGAGTCTTCGCCTGGCCGCTTCCACTGTCTGAGTTTCCCCGAAGCGGCGGTGGAGCTCGACGAGGAGATCGATCCTGCGGTCCCGAAGATGTTGAGGCACTCGACGAGCGTGTTGAGTGGGATCTCGAAAGCGCAGGCGGCCGGTTCGTCGTCGTTCTGCGTGCTCTGCAGAGTAGCCGATCCGGACTCGGGCATGTATGCATATTCGTCGAAGACATCAGAGAAGATGTAGGCGGTGGCTTCGAGAGAAGAAGAGGGTGTCAGGATTGGCGAGTCGAGGAAGGAAACAGCGTACCGAGCAGGGTACGCGCCTCCTCGACGTTGATGATCAGCCCCGAGTGATTCATAGTGACACTCGCATTCTAGCATATCGTTCAGCGCACCGAGAACTACGAAATAAGCGTCTGACACACGTTCATGAAGTTGACCCCGCGCAGGAGAGATGCCAGGAAGCGCAGATCATGGACTGAGGCTTTGAGGACCTGGGGGAAAGCTCAAGAGACCTAGCTGATTTTCTGACAGGTGTTGTACCGGCGGCAACGGAGCGTCGTCCATGGTGTTTTCGGTATCTGACATGGCCGGTAGTAGGACGCGCGGGGAGAAATGACGCGTGACAATAAACACGTGCTGCAGTCATGTCACTCAAGTATGTTGACCTCGAATCAGATTTTCGAATGTTGTCACAATTTGTTGGGCAGTCTTAAGCGTCCAGCCCATTACTGCCCGAACACGTTTGCCTTCTTTTTCTCCGAGCATCGCTCCGAATAAAATAACGGCTTTCTGCTTGGTGGCCATAATGATTGATTGCGAAGCGGGCACCTCTTGCAAGACTTGGTGAGAAGCGCTACTTCAGTTGCAGGGAAAAGGTTTGAAAAGTATTCAGAATACACGCTTGAAAGAAAGCTCTCGAGGAAAAAGTGCACTGTGAATCCAAGTACGTGAGTCACAGTTATCCATAGAGATATTGAAAGTCGAACATTCCGGAGGCGAAAGGACGCCTATCTCGCTTGCTACAAGTTGTAGGCTGGAATCGTCCTCGTTCGCTGTGCGCACCGTGATGATTGATGGAGTGTATTCATCTATATCTGTCTTTGACGTGAAGGCATGAGCAAAGGCACTCGAATGCAAGACGGCCGCCTTCCAACCTGGTTTCACCTCCGGATCGTTTACAGGATTGAAACCGGGCTTGGCACGGGGATCATGTGACTTAGCACGGATGACCGCGCTTCGCTTACAACTCAGATTTCACATCCGATCCCCCGAACCACCTACAAAACCAAACCCTGATAACAGGGAGCCCCCTTCTTTACCAAACTGGCTTTCGCATTCCGTTCCTCCACAAAAATCTCTCTTCCATCCGCCATCTCAAGACTCGCACACGTCAGCGTCTCCCCCAATCGACACGCGTCGCGTCTTACTCATCCACCCTCCGCTTTCTTTATGCAGATCTCTCGCGCTCTCTCATCAACTTCGATGCCGCCCATCTTTGACAAACCGACCGTGGAGAAATATGACTTGGTACTGATCGGCGGTGGGAGTGGTGGATCTGGATGTGGCGTGCGTGTCTTCTAACGATGCTCGCCCAATGTGCTCACATGCAGAACAGCGCCGCGCCGCATCTTACGGAAAGAAAGTGGCGGTTGTCGAAATGAGCGGGGTGCTTGGCGGGACATGTGTCAACGTCGGTAAGCACACAGTCACTGTCTGTCGCCCCAGGCCGGAGTTGACCGTCTTGTCGCTAGGATGTGTCCCCAAGAAGGTCTGCTGATGCATGTCGCCCCCGAGTAATCCAAGCCGCTCATGCCCATACACAGATCATGTGGCACGCCGCAGATCTGCAAGAGAAAGTCGAGTACCACGCTAAGGGCTACCAAATCAAGGGCGATGCGCCGATCCCCAAGTTCAACTGGGCCGCCTTCAAGACCCAGCGCGACGCCTACGTGCACCGCCTAAACGGCATCTACGCTAGCAACTTCGAGCGCGAGGGCGTCGAGCACCACACCGGATTCGGGCGGCTCACCAGCGCGACGGAGGTCGAGGTCACGCGTCCGGATGGCGGCAAGTACGTGCTCAAGACCGACAACATCTGCATCGCGACGGGTGGCACGCCGGTCATCCCGTCCGACGCTGAGATCCCGGGTGCGTCGCTGGGGATGAATAGCGACGGCTTCTTCGCCCTCGAGGAGCAGCCCAAACGCGTGGCCGTTGTCGGCGCGGGCTACATCGCTGTCGAGTTGGCGGGTGTGTTCAACGGCCTCGGGTCGGAGACCCACCTGCTCATCCGTGGCGAGACGGTTCTGCGGACGTTCGACCCTGCGGTGCAGGAGACTCTCACGCCGTGGATCGAGCGCACGGGCGTCAAGCTGCACAAGACCAGCCACATCGTCAAGGTTGAGGGGCAGAAGGGCCAGGAGCTGACGATCACCACCGACAAGGGCGAGACCTTCAAGGTGGATGCGCTCGTCTGGGCTATCGGCCGCAAGTCGCTCACGGCGGACATGGGTCTCGACAAAGTCGGCGTGAAGCTCGACGCAAAGGGTGATATCGTCGTCGACGAGTACCAGAACACAAACATCAAGGGCATCACCGCCATTGGTGACGTCCAGGGTAAGGCGCTGCTCACTCCGGTCGCCATCGCTGCCGGCCGCCGTCTTGCAAACCGTCTCTTCGGGCCCGCACAATTCAAGAACGACAAGCTGAGCTACGAGAACATCCCTACTGTTGTCTTCTCGTAAGCTGCCTCACATACCTGTATTGTATCCGGATCTGACCTGGTCTTAGGCATCCCACCATCGGCACTGTGGGGATGACTGAGCCCGAGGCCCGCAAGAAATTCGGCGATGATGCTGTGAAAATCTGTAAGACGCATCTCCTGCGTGCCACGTACACTGCTCACGGCGCCGGTAGACAAGACGTCCTTCCGCTCAATGTACTTCGCGATGGTCGACGAAGACCACAAGGAGCCGTCCATGTTCAAGCTCGTCTGCGTTGGCCCCGAAGAGAAGGTCGTCGGAGTGCACATCCTCGGCGCCGGAAGTGACGAAATGATGCAAGGATTCGCCGTAGCAGTGAAGATGGGCGGTGCGTCTTTCATTTGAGACCCCACTGTCGAACATTGCTGATAGGTTCGCAGCACGCAAACAAGACTTGGACGACACAGTGGCTATCCACCCGACATCAGCTGAAGGTTTGTGGTTTTCTTTCCTAACATCCTGGAGACGGTCTGATTGGGCTCACAGAGCTTGTGACATTGCGATGAAATATGTAGATCGGCTTAGATGTAGAATAATCACTGTTTATCTTACCCAGTTAGGGATTTACTTGCAGGTGTCTTTCATTAACCCCAGCTCCATGGCCTTGATCATCAGTGCCTGGAGGGCAAAATCAAATTCGAGGCTCCAGAGATCAAGATAGTGCATAGCTCACCAGAGGCTTGGACAGTGTCCGCGACATCGCGAATTCTCCGCAGGCGAACCACAACTAAGTAGATGATGTCGTGTGAGAATTTTTCCGCGGAACAGACAGCGGATGACATACACCAGGTTGACTCAGAGGACGATAACATCCTCTGACCTCGCCCTCTTCGTCCAATCCCCACACAGGCCCAACCTTGTCCATAATGGTCTCACCGAACAGCGGTCGCAGGGTGCGGGTGATCGATTCGTGAGATGTCCTAGAAGAGAGGTTATTGGAAGTGTGCGGATGTGCTGCGTTGCTTGCTCACGCGAAAACCACAGTGTCCGCTTCCAGAGAGGTCCCGTCAGTAAAGACCACGGAGTCCCGGCGGAATCGAGATATCTGAACGCCCTGCTTGACCTTGACACGTTCTTTCTTGATAAGGTCTGCGCAGCCGATGTCGACCCCTAGAAGCGATTCAATGCACGTCGAATCAAGCACGGCATATCGTGCGTACAGTATCCTGTTCAGGTTGTATCAGCGATCGAGGACTGTAGACGCCCATTGCCGAACACACCTCCGTATGCTTCATACCAAAGGATCAAGAATCCCTTGTTTCCCTTGCACAGGTTGAAGCCTGCCTCTTTCAAGCCTCGATGCGTCTCTTCCTCGTCCTTCAGCGTCTGCTTCTCCGCACACATCTCAAACTTCCGCGTCAGCCGGTTCGGCCGGCCCATGGCCAGGAAATCAGACACCGCCAGATCCAGATTCGGCGGATAGATCTGCTTCAGCAGCCTACAGACCGTGTCGCGCGACACCACCCACGATCCGGACCGCTGGAGCATGGTGACGGATTGCGAGCCGTGCTGAACGAGGTCGTAGCACACGTCGGCGGCGGTGTTGCCCGCTCCGACCACGAGGACTCGCTTCCCAGCATATTCCGCCCCGCCCTGGTACTGCGAGGAATGGATCACCGTGCCCGAGAAACGGCCTGGGACTGACGGCATTCGAGGAGCGCCGAGGGCACCGGCAGCAACAATGATGTGGGCTGGAGCGAGCTGGACTGTTTGTCCGTCACGATCTACTAGAACGTTCCAGCGTTTGGCATCGGGGTCGTAAGTCGGACGAGGGAGGACACGTGAACTCGTCCAGATGGCTAGTTCCTGGGTCTGGGAGTATTGCTCGAGCCAATCAGCCAGCCTGTCACGAGGGATGAAATCAGGCCAGTCGCTGGGATAATCCTGGTAAAGCACTACGGCGGTTGAATTCAGCATCCATCGTGGCCAAACATACCAAGGGACGTACTTGAATTTCCTTTGTTCGGAGTATGGAGTGCAAGGGTGGGGTATCGTTTACGCCAGTTATCGCCCACTCGCGCGTTGGTCTCAATCAAGAGCGTAGGGATCTTCATTCGTCTGAATCGAGCAGCGACATTGAGTCCATTCTGACCCGCGCCGACTTAAAACCGTCAACTCGCTTATCGATCAGGTTTAACATCCAACTTACTGATGAGGACATCCGGGTTCGTCTCAGAGGTCTGGCGCCATTCGGGATGGATGGCGGCATCTTCCTCATGCCCAGCAAGCTCCGTCAACGCGAGCATAAGAACCAGCGCCTTCCATTGGCCCAGCTCATTCAGCACTAACGAGCACTGGCCTCTCCCAGGACCAAGCCCCCCGCACTTGAAAGTGAACGCAGCGGACACAGCAGAAATCGGCACCTTGTCCGACATCCGGCCGTACTCCGCCATCAAACCGGGCCTCTGCTCCAGCTCGAACTTGCGCAGACTGTCCAATGCAGTCGCAGATTCGCTGAGAAACGCAGCGGTCTTGGGGTGGCCGTGGAGACACCGGTTGTTCCAGCTGAACACCTGGAAGTCGCGCAGGTAGCCCTTGGGGTGGATGCATGCAGCTGTGTCTGACGCGCTGCCGGACGCGAGCGCAGATTGGAGGGTGTTGAGCCACGCGAGAGCGACTGCATGGGCGTCGACGGACATCGTAGTGGTTTGTAGAGAGCAAGTGAGTAAATCGGATTAGAAGACCATCCATCCCGCGCGAAGGTAATGAGGCAAGCCTGTTCGGATCCGCGTGTTGCATCTATCTAGTACATATCAGTTCCAGGCGATACCCAGGTGACAGAGGAAGGTGATGGAAAGACGATATAGTCAAGGCGAGCGTACATGACGAGAAAGTCCAAGTGTATACTTATGCATCAATCAAATCGATTAGATTGATTACATCAGTGTAGGGAATTCCCATGTTGGACAATGCTAATGTACCCCCGGAGATACCGCAAGCCACGGACTTGCACTGAGAATCAAGTGGCAGGCAAGAACACCGTTCGCGTACTGCCAGATCAAGCAATGCATCCTGCTTCAACTTATGGGCCGAAATCTGCAAATTCCGCATCGAATGCTTTGCTAGTGACTTGGCCTTTGCGCATTTTCTTCGCCATCCGCTCCTCGCGAGCAAGATCGTCCCAGTCCTCTTCGCCGTCATCATCGTCGACGGTCTTGGGCGCCTCCTCCTTATTTGCCTGCTCTTTAAGCCATTTGCGCTTCTTGCCCCGCTTCTCTTTCCGCTTCTCTCGCTCCTCCTTCTTCACGACCTTGTCGCTCCACGCCGCATTCACTTTCTTCTGCTCTGTCCTCTCCACGCGTCGCTTCTCACGCTGTGAGTCGAGGACTTCTGCAGCAGCAGTCGCGGTGGCAAGTCGCTTCGCCTCTTGCGCCTTGTCTAGATAGGCAAAGGTGTTCCACTAGAGGCAAGATCAGAGAACTTCAATGGAGAACTGGCAGGAGAAGACGAACGTCAATATCTGCATCTTCCCAACCGTCGCGTGAAAGATCCTTGAGCTCAGGCATGCGGGGCAATCGCAGCAACCCGAAACTTTTTGCTACGCCGACCAGATCGAGATTTTTCACGCGAAAGACGTAAGAGGCCTCGTGCTTGGAGTACGCGCGGACGAAAGATACGAATGCCTTTGCGGCCTTGACATGACTGAGCACAAGACCTTCCCAATCAGCCAAGACAGCTCACCTGGTCGTAGATCGCTCTGTCCATCGACACTACTTTTCGGATCCTCGACAATGTGACAGGCACCTCTTCGTCATCTGGGCGAGCATCTTCTTCGTCGACATCCGACAGCAGCGATCGACCATCAGGACCAGAAAGATACGCGTGCTCGGTCATCGGGATCTTCCGAATAGCCAGGAAGTCTGCAGCAGATCTCAGCCGAAGATCACCAGCCTGGGATGTCTCACTGACCAACATATCCGATCTCTCGCCCGACAAGGAGTACCCAAGCCCGTCCACTGCGCCCAGCGCGGGCAGTCCGTCCGCATCGGTGAGAAAACGCCTTGGGATCAGAAGGGGGGTCAAATTGGATGATCACCTCAACGTGCGGCAGATCCAATCCTCGTGCGGCCACGTCGGTCGCGAGTAATATCGAAGGTGCCAAAGGCGTTGCGGGTGTATCCGTGAACGCGTTGAGCGTCCTGGTGCGCGCTGCAGGTTGGAGATGGCCATGCAACGAGAAAAGGGATGCGTCGGCTGGTAACAGGTCTTGAAGAATCTGTTTCCCATATTATTGCAAGAAGATGAGAGTAGCTGAGACACGTACGCGGTAGAAGTAGTCGACGCAAGCTCCGGTAGCAAAGTACACGATGAAGCGAGACGACTGGTGCTCAGTCATCTCAGCCGCGATGATTCGCAGGAGCTGGAGAAGCTTCTCCGATGCGTGACAAACGACGTAGTGGATCTTCAAACTGGAAAAATATTCAGTCTCACCGTCGAACAAGAATCCTCGGGTGCGCACTTGGCCGGTATGCGTCTCTCTTCGATCGTTTCCTTGCTCACAACCCCTCCGGCTTTGAGCACCTTCTTCGCTTGCACTTTGACCACGATACGCGCCGGGTTCCGCAGCCCAACGCGCACTAGTTCAGACAAAGCGTCTGCATCGGTCATAGTCGCACTGAACAGGCCTGTCCGCCGTTGTTTCGGTAGATGGGTTATGATTTTCGTGACAGCGGCCTGGAAACCCAGATCAAGGAGTCTTGAAGTTTATCTCAATGTCTGAGAATCGGACCAGAAGTGTCAAAACACACCGGTCTGCTTCGTCGAGAACCAGTACCTCCAATTCCTTCACGCTGACCACAGTGCGTCCCTTGCCCATCAGAAACTCCTCGACGCGTCCAGGCGTCCCGATGACGATATCAGCACCCGTAGCAGTGAAGCGCTCGATGTCTTGCGCAGGAGAGGAGGTATCTGATGAGATGAGCAGCAGAGCATCCGGATAGTCTGGTTCCGGGGGGTCTTCATCCGGGTTCGCGGGTTCCTGGCGTGGTTGTGCGGAGAGGAAGAGCGTGAATATAGAGTGGATTTGGGTTGCAAGCTCACTTCAAGCGATGGATGAATGACGCGACATCAGGGCCGAGAAAGCACGCACCGTGTCGGACTGATTATGAGCGCTCCGACTTCACTTTTCCGGAGCTTTCGTTCGCGGCGGATGAGGCGCTCGAGAATTGGGATGACGAATGCGAGGGTCTTTCCGGACCCTGTGACAGCCTCGACTACGACATCCTTGTGCTGCATAAAGAGCGGGATGGTGGACGCTTGAACTGGCGTCATCTGGGTGTGTCCCATGGATTGAATGACATCGAATCTGCTCGGAGTAAGACAAAAGCATATACTTGAGAGCTGGCTATTACATCCATGGGGTCAGAGACGTGGGTAGTGAGGACCACGAGCCACCGTACGCGGTGGATGAAGGGGCCATCAGCGGGGAAGAGATAATTTTTGAACGTGAGAAAACATCAATTGATGGGCGGCAGCCTCGGTTCCGGCGGGACGAAAATTGCTCATCGCATGCTCATTCGCACCGTATCAATGACCTTACTTAACGAAGAAAATGCTTCTTAAAGCCGGATCTCTGCATCCTTCATCCTCGCAGGAGACTCTCTCCGACTACCGACGATGAATGCGCCTGGAAATTA